GTTTTATTTTTCCTTGGTTTAATTGGTAATTGTGATATTTAAATTAATTGAATTTTTATTTTATTATTTGAATTGTTAGACCCATTTATAATTATTTGAATTATTTGCGTTAATGATATTATTATTTGACTGAATGGATTTATGGGTGATTATTGGTATTGGTTGCGTTAATTTCATTATTGGGTTTAAACTATTGTAATTAAGTTAAGTGAGTTTTTAGACGTCACCTAAGTGTAGCCGACATAGATTTTAAACGTAGGCTCTGTTTATGGGCCGACTAGTATTTAGATTAGGGCTCTGTTTTTAATCCTACAGGGTATAGGGTTTCAATTAAGTCTATATATATAGAGAGCAGTATGTCACCTTAGGGTTTTAGCAATCACAGACCTTATTTACGTTCAGAGTATTGAAAGAACAACAGAGAGGAACAGAGAGGGGTCGTGAGAAACAAACAGAGCTACTTTGGTGAGGGTTTGGCCGTGGCTTACAGGACGGACGTAGGAGAAGGGAAGATGGAGCAATAGGAGATTTAACAGTGAATGGGATCGCCGGAAAAACTTAGAACAACGGCAACAGAGTTTTGAATCCAAAACTGTAAAGGCAAGTTCTTTCCTTTCTCTCTCCCGTTGCCTGTGTTCTGTGCATCCTTAGACTGTCTCTAGGGTTTTAATTGATCAATAGTTAAATTATACATGTTTGTTATATGCTAAATCAGATGTCCATATGTGTGGAATTTTTCTGTTAAAGTTCTGGTACCTCTGGTTTGTAGTTTGGAGTGGAAGCATGTTTAATCGGTTAAGGTTTTAAACACTGTAATTGAATTGAACTATTATGAACAAGTCATGGGGATGTTATAAGACCTTAGGTTTAGTTTTGAAGAGGAGCAGAGGGGTTGGAATGGAACTGTAGTTGCAAGATTGTATTCAGTGTTTGATCGTAAAAGCGTGTTAAGACGATTGTTGTTTTTGTTGTTGTTTTAATTCCTACTGTTATAGCAAACTGATGGGATGCTACTGGGTGTTAATTAAACTCCTAAGATCAGTTTTAAAGACCAACAGAGTGTTAAGAATAGACCAGAGGTGAAGAGGACGGACTGAAGCTCGCAGAAGGGGAAAGAGACGGCTCCACGGAGGGAGGAGACGGCTCCCCCATGAGTAGAGCCTGCTTTAAAGGAAGTAGAGCAGGCTCTACCTCTAAAAGAGGCGGCTCTAGGCAGGTTAGAGCCTGCTCCACTTATTTGGAGAAGGCTATGTGATCCTATTTGTGTTCTGGGGCTGTTTGTGTGTTGTTTGGTTTGATGGTGGTTTTTCTGAGCTGTGTTTGGGTTAGGGAGATAGATTTATATATTAATTCAAGAAATATTAAAGCCCTAGGATGCATTAATTTATTTATATGCTAAGGTTTTAAACCGTAGGAAAATCTAAGGCAAGACGCAGGCAGTTTACGGATTTAGCGGACCGAAAGGACTTAATTGTGCAAACTGCGTCTAGAGATTAAAAAGAGTTGGAACATGGATTCCAAGCATTATATTATGCTATACTAGAGCCATGTTTAATAAATTAAGGTCTTTATACTCAGGGGTTTAAGCGTTGGAAGGTATACAGTAGTGCAGGTTGTTAACGGATGAAAGAAGTTTAATTGTTTTTTTTTTAGTTTAGCAATTTAACGAAGTATGTATATATTTGTAACTCTTGTTGTGGTTGTATGCTAGGATCACTTAATTAACAAGTTTGGTCTATGCATATCCTGGATGTTAATTGTTGAAATACTAAATACTTTTCTGCAATACATAAATTTAAGCTTGGAATTTTAAATTGCTGTAATATTAAGCATTACACTGCAATTATTTGGATTAGGGTTTAGACTTTATTTGTTGGACTTGTACTTAGGTTATGCCAATCTAATTAGACGTTGGCCTGGAATTAATTGAAGAAATAAATGTATATTTTCTGTCAATTACCTGGATGGATGCTGGATTATAACATGACGAATTAGTAAACTTTGTCTCGTTTAATTACATGGATGGATTCTGGATATTTAGTTGATGACTTGTTTAAATTCTGTGTTTGTCAGCTATATGGCTAATGTGGACTTTATTTGATGTACTGCTTATAATGTTGCATCATTTACGGATCATTTGCATATATGCACCAGTATGGGACGGTGGCATACGGAGGGATGGATTAGGTCACAACGCTAATTCCAACCCATTCATACATACGGAATGGATTAACTAAAACAGTTGAATCCTACATGGTTTCATGTCCTGTCAACTAAAACAGTTGAACGACATAATGGATGGTTGTTTATATTTTCTGTTAATAGGAAGGATAGGGATTTAATTAAAACATTTAGATCCTAATTATATGTTGTGTTTTGGCGACGAATAGTTGACCGGCTCAACATTGTATTTGGATGGGTTGTATATACGCTTAGTTTATGTTAGTCTGTGCGACTGAACAAGCTGAACGACTAGCTGGATTTCTTATGGTTGGATAGGATCGGACTTTATATATATAATTATGGTACCGTGATTTGAGCTTGAGTCTCATAGTCGACGGTTAGGGAACGTATATGCAGTAGGATGCGTAGCTCGCTATGTTGGTTGAGGTATACCCTGTTAGGCTTAGGTAGTCATGCCCACTCAGGTGCGTATTGCATGTTACCTTCTATTCAGGTTGAGACCCTCAGCATAGTTAGTGAGAGTCCTGTAGTGTGGATATATATTTATCTATTACGGACTATATAGATATGATTGAGATGTCTAGGATGTATCTGCGTATCGGGTCTCTGTTTGGATTGTAGTTAGGATAGAACTTGTTCGTGAGCCTAACCCACTATTATTTTTCAGGTAACAGACGGTTCCAGATCTTAGAGCTTATTCGTGCTGAGCAGAGACGTCTACTCATTCTACCGACGATGTAAGAGGTTCTTCATGGTTTAGCAGTGGACTTCTTTTTAGTGGTTCGCTTTCTAGTATTGGCTTTTGATTAGAGGTCCACCAGATGGATTCTCGAGTTGTATTATAATTGGAAAAGTTGGTTATAACAGACTAGTTCTTATTTATAAGATTTATTCTGAAGTTTTTAATAAAGGATTTTCATTTAGTTTCTTTCCAGTGAATGTTATTTACTCATGTTTATCTTAATTATATTCTGTGTTCGATTATTGCTAATTTGTTTAATATCCTCGGGTAGTCGGGCGTGGGCCTGGCCAACCCGCATCCGGAAATCCGGGGGTATCACAGTATGTGTATGTATATATATATATATACATATACATATATATATATATATATATACTCAGGCCATGGACACCAATCTTCAAGCTCGCCGGAGTTATTGGGTCTTCAATATATAGCGTGGCTTCAGTTGGGTTTTCAATGGTGTGCATCAGTTTGACACTGACCTTTAATGGAGCTCACTGTTGGTTCGCCTCTGAAGCTCACTGGTTTTGGGTCTTCAATGGGGCTTCTCAGTTTTGGGTCTTCAATGGAGCTGCTCGAAACACGAGGAATTCAATGGGAGTTGCCGCTCGGAGCTCGCCAGTTTTAATGGACGCTCCTGTTTTGTCTTTGTCGGTGACATTCTGGCCTCGCCGGGACCTAAATTTTGCTGGCCCGTGGTTCAGTTTAAGATGGGTAATGTAGTGGTAGAGGTACGAGGTTGAATGGTGGTGGCGATTTGAGGGTAAGGTGGGCGATGGCGAATTTTGGGGGTGGTTTGGTGGAAGTAAGGGTGGGAGGAGGGGTCGTGGTTGGGGCAATAAGTGGAGGAAGAGAGGGAACGGATAAAGGAGAAAGAAAATACTAAATAGGATTGAAGAAGAAAAAAAAAAAAAAAAAAAAAAAAAAAAAAAAAAAAAAAAGGTGTCATAGGCAAAATGGTCATTTGTTATTTTCAAATATTGTAAGGGAAAATTACATATAAATGGAGTCAAAGTTCCATATTTACTTAGAGGCTGAGTCAAAGTTCCATATTTCTTTAAAATGGATTGCTGAGGTGGCACATGATTTTTTACTGTTTAGAAATTGTGGTGCCTAAAATACCCTTCCGCGAAGGTACTACTTTTTCTTCGAAGGTACTACTTTTTTGAACTGAAGGTACTACTTTTTGGTGTCCAGGTACCATGTTTTTTAAACACCCGCGAAGGTACTACTTTTTCTCCGAATGTACTACTTTTTTGAACTGAAGGTACTACTTTTTTGTTAGAGAAGGGCATTTTAGGCACCATAATTTTCTAAACAGTAAAAAACCATGGGCCACCTCAGCAATTCATTTTAGAGAAATATGAAATTTTGACTCAGTTTCTAAGTAAATATGGAACTTTAACTCCATTTATATGTAATTTTCCCATATTTTAAACCTTTTTAACAATATAATAATAAGGGTAGTTGAGTAAATTTATCTAAAAAAAATCCCAAAAAGGAGACAAACCTTTAATTTACTTGCAATTAATTCAAACCTTAAAGAAGAGGTCATTGTAGTTTGCCCTAATATTCTTGTCGTTTCATCAACAACAACTGAATGAGGGGGATCCTTGGTTAGCCTTTCACCGAAAACATACGAAAAAGTATTGATCCTACTTTGTTATGTTTTGTATATATCTAATCAATTTTTTAAAAAAAATTTGTGTTTTTTTTTAACAATATATCTAAACTATCAACAATCTTCGTATAAGCATTTAATTTAAAGTCCAGACCTTGTTGGGATATTATTAGAGGTCTGGTGAATTGAACTCTTGAATGAAGAAAAGTGCATTAATATATTATAAATAAATTTTAATACTAATTTTTATTAAATTAATTTACTAAAATAATTCAAACCATTTAATACTTTCAGCAGCATTTTCGTCTGCCCAACTTTAAAATTTATTTTAAAATTTTAGGCTTACATTTTTTGTAATTAATTTTTATTTTTATCAAATAGAAAGTGTTTGTGGTAAGTGAAGTGGCACAAACCCATTAATCATCTTAGAAATAGTAATCATAACCTAGATACATTTATTCTCCTAATGACATACAACCTCTGGAATCAACTTCGAAATTTCATAACAAAATTGATTTTTTATTCCTTTGAATCCTAATCTCAGTGGTTATTTGAAAAGATCAAACGTTCATTATTTTTTGGTTGAATTCCCCTAATATTCAACCAAATTTATGAAAATTTCACTGAAATTTCAGGCTACATGGTATATATTAGATACAGAAGTCCCATAAGTGTTGGAAGTCTGAGTTGAGGAGTTCAGAACTCAAGATCGTGATTTTTACTCTGGATTGCGGTCTCCTCACCCCTCAATTTCATGGCTGACCAGATCATGGCTGAAGACCACCACCACCACCATCAACACCGCCCTCACCGCCTCTCAGTCCCTCCACGCGCCACCTCAAGACCCTCTTACCCTCTCTTCTCGTATCCTCCGACGACCCCAACACCAACTCCGTCCAAACATCGCCTCTCCTCTCTCTCTACCCTCAACAGATCAACCCACAAAAGAACCACTCTCTCTTTCCTCTTCCTCCTCCTCTTCTCTCTTCGCTCTCTCTACTCTCTCCTCCCTTTCATCCGCTCCTCCCCTTCCTCTTTCTCTCTCTTCCCTTTCTCTTTCCTCGTCTCTCTCTTCTCTTTCCTCCTCACCCTCGCTTTCTCTCTCTTAACCCACTCGTCTTCCTCCAAAGACCCTTTCCGACAGAAGCAAAACCAACCCTTTTTCTCTCTCACCATGATTTCCCAATCCCAGCGCAGGCTTCTTGTTGCCAAATCTCTCCTTCTCGCTGTTGTCTTCCTCCTCCGATTCCAAGCCCTCCGGTACTGCGGCACTGCAGCAATGATTCTGGCTGAATTGGCCGGAAACGTTTCGGCCAGGTTCATCGCCGAGGGCCATTCTCGCAATTCTGATCGAGTTGGATTGTCCAAGGTTCGTGGGTTCTTCGCTTTGTTTCTTGGGTTGTTTTTGTTATCGATTAGTTGGGATCGAATTGAGTGCTTTCCTTTGTCTTCTGTGAATGTTGATACATTTGGATTTTCTATGCTTCCAAGTCAGAATTGTGTTAGGTTATGGCCAATGTTGCTTCCTTTTCTTTCTGGGTTTCTGGGGTGTTATGAGCGTGTTTCCATGAATTGGGGGTCTATTAGGGAACTGGGTCGAAAACGGGTTCGATTGATTTCTCTGTTTTTCACAACAGTTGTGCTTTTCATTCCTGCAGTTATTAGTATGTTCATGTTTGAAGCTGAGGGAGATAGTATCTCTATTGCAAGTTTAGGTTGGCCTTTGGCTAATACTGTTTTGTTTGGGGTACTTTTGACTGAGAATTACAGTGATGAGAAATTAGTAGGTTCCAAAGATTTCCAAAAGGAGTTCCTTGTCACCTTTGTCTGTACACTTGTGTTGGAGCTGTTCTATTTCCCCGAGCTTTCGCTTTGGGGATTGTTGATTTGTGGTTCCTTGCTTGGTGTCTCTGTTAGGGAACTGGATCCTATATATTCAGATTATCTTGAATTGGGATTACAGTCCTCGGAATCGCTTACCACCATAATTATGAAACCTATTCGTCACATTTTGAGTGAAAGAAAGTCCCGTAAAATTGCACTTTTCCTGTTGATCAACACAGGTTACATGTTTGTGGAATTTGTTGCTGGGTTCATGAGCAATAGTCTCGGGTTGATATCAGATGCCTGTCACATGCTGTTTGATTGTGCAGCTCTAGCAATTGGATTGTATGCTTCATATATTTCACGGTTGCCTGCAAACAGTCAGTTTAATTATGGTCGTGGAAGATTCGAGGTTCTTTCTGGTTATGTCAATGCGGTTTTCTTGGTTCTGGTTGGAGCACTAATTGTGCTGGAGTCACTGGAGAGGATTTTGGACCCTCAGGAAATTTCAACTAATAGTCTGTTGACAGTTTCTATTGGAGGGCTTATTGTGAATATGGTTGGCTTGATCTTCTTTCATGAAGAGCATCATCATGCCCATGGTGGAACTGGATCTTGTTCACATTCCCAGTCACACCACCATCCTCATTCACATGATCACCACCACCATCATTCACATAATCACCACCACCATGATTTGCATGACCACGGTGGACTTAATCATGAAGTTCAGAGTAATCATCACGAAAATACAGCTGTTTTGCATGAAAAATCGTGTTCTGGCCACAATGACCGATGTCGTGATAATCATGAACACCATGACTCTAATCACCATCAGAACACTGACAATACAGAGAGCCACAAAACAACAAGTGGTAGTTTGCATGGCCACGATCACCATGACCATGTTCACCAACATGACCACCATGACTCTCATCACCATCATCATCATGCTGACCACCTTGTCCATAGAAGCGTCCCTGATAGTTCTTCAAGAAGCTCGCATAGCCATTCCCTTGAGCTTGAAGTTCATAGAGGGGGAGATTCTCATGGCCAAAGAGACCCTCACACCCATGTCCACAATTCAGATTTTAAAGATCATTCATCTTCAGAAAATAGCGGTTCCCAAAATAGAGAACTGTCTTCTGGAAGAGAGGGACCACAAAGGCATCACCACCACCACATTGACCACAACATGGAAGGCATCTTCTTGCATGTTCTTGCAGACACCTTGGGAAGTGTTGGGGTTGTTATTTCAACCCTCTTAATTAAGTACAAGGGATGGCTTGTTGCAGACCCTGCGTGCTCAATATTTATTTCTGTATTAATAGTATCTTCTGTGATACCATTGCTCAGGAACTCTGCAGAGGTTTTGCTTCAAAGAGTCCCTAGGGCTCATGAACAGGACCTAAAGGAAGTTCTGAATGATGTTATGAAGATAAAGGGGGTATGTGGCATTCTGAACTTGCATGTATGGAGTTTTACAAATGCAGAGGTTGTGGGGACTCTTAATCTTCATGTTTCAGCAGAGGCAGATAAGGCTTGTGCAAAGGCAAATGTGTTGCACATATTGCATGATGCTGGGATCAAGGATTTGACGGTGCAGGTGGAATGTGTCAAGCCTCAAGAATAAAGCATTCTGACCTACATTTCACTTTTTTGAAGTGTTTAGAGGAGAAAAAAATTGCTCTTCAATTTTGAGAAAAACTTTGCTTATGATGAGCTCTTTCAAAAATGCTACTGATGTCTACAGATGTGCTATTCAAATGGTTCTCCAGATCATTGTTCTTTGGATTTGAATTTGAACAAAATTCAAGAGTGGTTACAACCCCTTTTGGATTTTGTCAAGCATCAGTATCTATGGTGGAAACTCATGTTTGCTATGTGTAATATCATTGTGCATCTTCACTGTGAGTGACTAAGGATTAGCTTTCTTATTGAATCAGTCAGAGAATGGGTAAAGAAACATGCAGGTGGTGCTGACTTATTTGGGTACGTTAGCCTTTCTGCACCCTTTCTTCTTGTTTTAATTAAAAGCTAGCTTTGGGTGGCAAATTCTCAGTCCACCTTCTTATTGGGGGAAAATAGAATAGGAAAGAAAAAGAATAGAGGCATAGTTTTTTTTTTTTTTTTTTGATAAGTAATAGAGGCATAGTTTTACTTGAACGGTTCATGTTGTGAGCCATTTGAACTCTAAATTGTACTTGTGGCATCTCTTTTATTTGTGTGTGTAGTTCTTTAAGCTATTGACAAACTGGAAGGAAATGAAATATATGGCTGGATAGTTTGGATCCTGATCTTCTCTTTGTGTTGCACTTGTATCATTGCTGTTTCTTGTAAACTCTGAGGAAATATAACATAGGGCTGCATCATTTGGATGACTTATGCAGGAAAATCCTGCCATCTTATGTGTAACACAACAAAATCTTGCAAAAAAGCAGTCAGACCCTTAATGTGAGGTGATTGATGAAATAATCAGTCTACATGAACATTCAAAAATAGAACTTTCAAAAGAATCTGATTGTTTTCAAATTCAAACTGAATTGTTTTGCGTGATTTAATCTCCTGAATCCTGATAAAATTTTAAGGAATAAACAGAAAGAAAATGCTCGGTGCTGATGTGTTCACTGACCATATCTTAGGGGTTTTGTAGATTTTTTCAAGCTCACCATATTTCAAGAGGTTATTACCACCTTCTTGTTTTCAATAATGTTTAGATTTTGGAATAATGTATAAAACTGGAAAAGATACATTAAAGTTATTAACCATTTTTATTTTAAAGTCTTGTTGGATGACATTAAATGTGTTGTAGGATAGGCGATTGAGGTTAAGATATAAGGCGAGTTCTCGACTGAAAACAGAATTGACAAAGGGGTTTAAAGTTGAGTAATTTGTTCGACTTACAAAATGTTTTCAGTTTCATTCATTTACTAACTATTCTGTTTCATAGGAAATAATGGCCGATATATTTTCCTTGGGGACTGACAAGGTGTCACCAAATGGTATAAATAAAATCATATTAGTCCAGGTAACATGAAAATAACCTGTGACCAAATGAAATTTGTTGCACCAAAAGATAGTTTTTATAAAATGAGGGAAGAAAGTAATTTTTTGTGAAATGTGTTTCGTTGAAAGATTTCCAGGAGACTGTTGATATTTGACAAACTGAGGTGGTGATCCACATGACTTGTCAAGGCCATGGATTTATACAAGCCTAACACAGAAGTTTGTTAACCTCAATAAGATTAGGACACGGGGATGTGGCCTGGGTACTACAGACCTAGAGAGATTTGACAATGTCATATGAATATGGTTAGCTCGACCATAGTATCCGCTTGAAGGAAGGCTAGTAATAGGCAATTGACATGGTTATTAGATTTTCGAAAGGTTGTCAATCATTTTTCTTTTGAAACTGTCATCCTATTTTTGTCCAAGGTGTCCAGCCAACAAAAGACCACTAAAAAACCGAGCATTCAAGTCCAAAAGTTGATTATTTGTTTGATTCTGCAATGGCTTGTTCTGAGAAGGAAGTCATTATTCAAAAGCATTCAAGTATCAATGACACAGGTCGGCGATCGCCCAACTTCATGATGGAGATCATCAAACAATGAAGAGACACGAGGTAGGACATACTCATTCATAGAATAGCACCAGACCAATCACAACAAAACATAAGACACTTGATTTTAGTTAAGTTCATGTGCACAGAGTACTGGATGGTCATCCAATTCCTTCTTGCCAGCTCTTCACTGTGGCAAATGGAGTGAACAGGTTCTGAAAGAATGAATATCAATCAGCAACCCAACCAGTCAGGAAATTGTAGGTTTTTGCTCTTTCTTTTCACTTATACTCTCTTCCAACTTATAACTTCACTGGTATTTTGTATTAGATATCAAGTTGCTTGCCTTGTTTAGTTGTTTAATGTGGATGGTTGCATTAGCAATATAATGAAATCCAATTAGTTTCAACACCAATTATTTTATTTTTTACCCTATTTATTATTATTTATTTATTTTGGGGGTTGAGGGGCTTTTTTTGATTAGGTGCTGTACCAGCAACAACTGCCGAAGATGTTAAAATTGCAGTTGATACTGCTCAAAGAACTTTCTTCAGGAACAAAGGAAACAATAGGGATACTGCTTCTGGTGCTGTTTTTGCAAACCATTGCTGCAGAGGTAATTTGACTTCGTTTTTTTTAATTTTTCCCTATGTTTGACAGATATCTTTTGCGCAGCACATACGTCCATCTGTCTAACATCGGTTTGGACAGTTAATTAGGAGTCACCTTTAATCACCTCAAAGTGCAAGGAACTAGTTCTATTATGCATTTTTGTTGTAGAACCCCTAATAAAGTCTTTCATTTCTATCCATTACTTTCTATGGTTATTTTTCATAGGCAATCATATTAGATAAACCTTTTACTAAAAAGCAATCTAGTAAGAATATAACCTCAGAGCAACTCGGATGCATTATATTTGACCATAGAAAGAGGTTTTAATTCTGATGGAGAATGTTACTACAAGAGCTTTTTCCACACTGTGCTTTTGCTGTACCTTGTCAACTCAAAATATAGACAGCGAGTTACTGTCCCTCATCTTATCATGCTCCCTTATTTAGCTATAAGATAGTAAGTATGGGCACATCATATTGGATTATGCGCCGTCAGTTAATATCTTACAGCAATTGGTCATTGCATTAGACATCTCTCACAAAAGTTTCCCTTCCAATATTTATTAATGGGACATTATGCCTGGTATGAGCATGCTTATAATTGTAATACAGTTTGCGCAGCATGAGTATCCATATTTTTTATTCTCTATCTTAAAAACTCAACTCAACAAAGCTTTTTACCAACTATTCGTGTAATACTTCTTTCTTTCTTCTTCTTCTTCTTTTTCTTCTTCTCCAATTCTATGTCTTTTGGGATACGTGTTTATGAAGTCATTTTGTGTGGTCATCAATGAGAAATTATGATCACAGAAAAGAAATAAGGGGTGAGCTCATCTTTGCAACTATGATTGTTATCCGAGCATTAACACATATATTTGAAATTAGATGCTTATAACTTTGTTCATCTCTCTAACCTAATAGTTATCGTGGGTGTATGAGATTTTAATTCCGATCTCACAACCTCATACATGTTTCGCCAACCCTGGGCTCTGTTTTATGCTCACTTCTGATTTGAAAATAGCCATCATAGACTACTCATCTTTTTTATGTTAGAATTATTAACTTCTAATTCCTGTTTGTTTTTTCAACTCAATACAACATTGTCCCAACTATTTGGGGTTGGTTACATGAGTGACATTCTGCTCTATTATGCAGCCATTCAGTTAAACTATACTCTACCTTTATGCAGATTTGGAGGAAGGAAGTTTCTGGTCCTCTTTAATGCGTTAAATTAATTATGAATGAAGATGAAGCCATTGAACTAACAAATGACATGTAGTAAGTTGCTAGTATTCTGATATCTGTTTAAAAGATGAAAATTGTCTGAAACTTTAGTCCGTAGATATAAAGATCATAGTTAGTTGATACGTTTGTTCTTGCTCCTCAGTTTATGGCTTGAGAACTGCTGTAATTTTCAAGGATCTGGAAAGATGTGACCGCTTGACCGAGGTGAAATCAAAAAAAAAAAAAATGCAATAATCGGAAATAAGATATAACGAGGCGCTAAGATTATAACTATTCTTTGTGGTTCCCAATGTGTTACTTTCTAAGATTATAACTATTCTCTTGTGGTTCCAATGTGTTACTTTCTTACTTTGTTGTTATGAAAATATGGCCACGGATTCTTTGCTAACAAAACCTGAATATAAATGTTGCTGAATTTTGTTTGAATAATAAAAAGAAATTATATTATGCCAGTTTAGGATAGATGGGATTACGTCTATATCTGGTCCACTGGCAGCCAATGCACATGCTGCCATTAAAAAGTGACTTGATAGTAGGAATTCCTTATGGGGCGGAGTTTATGATGGCCTAATGTGCATATACTATGAATAATAATGCATTTCCAAATATGGAGCCATGTCTAATGAAAATTGGATGCCAGACAGCATATGGCTGTAACTTTTTTTATAAATCACATGAAAACACATTCACACACAGTATCATAGGTGAAATAAGTATTCAAGCAGAGGCATTTAGTCCATATCGTGGTAGAACTCTTGTTTAATTGATGTTATCTTTTCCAGGGGCTTTGAAAACTACTCATAAGCGTGAAGCAAGTCAGATGGTACATCTCTTGAGAGCCAAGGGAGTGGTCTCCTCCTCCCCGAAACAGTAAATAATCCGAAACATTTCAGAAGCAGAGTCAATATAAGATTGTGTACCCTTACTTGATCTGGATACATTTGTAATTTTTTTTATTTATGGGCGAAATTGAGATTTTTTATTATTATTATTATTTTTTTTTTGTTTGGTGTGGGGGAATGTGAATGTAATAAACATGTCACATTGTTATGAATTGTATGTATGATACTGGAAATTATATATTGCCTCTTCAATTATTAAACAAATAAAGCTAAAGATATATCAAAACCACAAAGTTATGTTTGGAATGACTAAATCAGCTTTTGAAATTGAAAAATAAAAAACAAAAACAAAAACAAAAAAAAACCAAAACAAAAAAGAAAACAAAAATTAATTACCAATTTACTACTGTAAACGTCGGTGATTCCAACAAAAAATGGCTAATAAAAAGTGGACCAGATTAAATCATTCTGGTGGGTAACACCTGCAACTGTACTGCACATGAAGGCGTGAAGTTGCTTATTAAAAGCATATTTGGCGAGCGAGTAGTCTGGTAGGCTTTTAAAATCATTTCACTTCTCTTAACAGAGCAGTGCGTGACGCAGATAAAGATATTCGACCAGACAACGTCGCATTGTATTGTATTGTATTGTATTGTTTGAGGTCGCAGATTCAGAAAGAAAGACAGAGAGACTGTTACCTGCTAACCGTCACTTTGATTGGACTCCATCACCCACCGTAACGTCTCTCTCCCAAATACTTCCTCCTCAGCATTCAAAACTTTAAAACCTTTTGAACCCACTACTTTATACCATTGGTTTCCACATACAAATCAACAATACTTTATTGTTTCCTTCTGTGAAACCAGAGATTTGTGAACATAGCGTTTTTTGGACCTGAGGATCTAGGGTTTTTTTTTTTTGTTTTGAGATGGCGACTTTGGAGGAGAAGGTGGTTGCAGTGATCATGGTGGGTGGACCCACCAAAGGTTTAAACCCTCTCGCTGTGTGTGTGTTCGTTTTTTTGTTAGTTAAAGAAAAATTGAATTAAAATTCCTACTGATGTTTCTTCTGGTTAATTACATTTTTTTTTTTTTTTGGGTGTAATCTTTTGTAGGTACAAGGTTTCGGCCGCTTTCGTTCAATACTCCAAAGCCTCTCTTCCCTTTGGCTGGTCTGCCAATGGTTCACCACCCTATCTTAGCTTGTAAAAGGGTATGCTCCACTCTTCCTTAATTCCCAACCCTCCATTTGGTTCCTGCAAAAAATTGAGGAAAAGAAAAGCAAGGGGAAGGAACTTCCATTTTTTGTGATTGATGTCCTTTTATTTTCCCAGAAAAAGTCTCCTGAATGTTAGCCAAATAGCTGGACTGGTGTAAAATAATAATAAAGAATTTTTATGTTCTCTTGATTCCGAAAATTGTACAAATTTAGTGTATTCAACAGTTCAGGATTATTATTATTTTTTTTTCCGGTGCATCCATTTATTGGCAACCAAATTGAGCATTAAGTTAAACTAATGAAGAAGAGCCAAATCGTAGGTCAAGGTGTTTTCTTATCTTCTATCAGTGAAATTGATTTTGTTAAACACTGTCATATTGTCACATAGATTCCCAATTTGGCACAAATTTTTCTCATTGGATTCTACGAGGAGCGAGAGTTCAGTTTATATGTATCTTCAATCTCCAATGAGCTTAAAGTCCCAGTGAGGTGATTACAACTTTGATTGCCACCTGTTTGATTCATGTTTTATTCACACATTGTTTCACTAAGAATATTTCAGTCACAATATTTGAACTGTTGTATCTGAATATTGGTTGCTTTTGCTGCTGCTGCAACTCTAGATATTTGAAAGAGGACAAACCTCATGGTTCAGCTGGTGGCCTCTATTATTTCAGGGATCTGATTATGGAAGATGCACCTGTATGAATCTTGCACTCATTTGATTTTTTTTTTTTTTGGGTACTTTGATCTGATTTTTCCCAAGTATTATGCTCTTGGCTTTGTGCATTTAACATTTAAATCCATACCATATTGTTGTTTTCTGAACAAAGAAAAGGAATGTAGAATATGTATGTCCGTGTGTGTGAATGTTTCTATATATTTCTCCCAATATTTCTCCCAAACACGCATTATACAATGTCCCTCTCCATTTTTTATTTTTTCATTTTCAAACCTGAACTTATTTAATTATGTTCGTTTGTTGTTCTATGCCAGTCACATATTTTTTTGCTGAATTGCGATGTTTGTTGCAATTTTCCACTTCCAGACATGCTTGGTAAGTTTTATACCCCACATTTATCAGTACTTCCATGCTTCATCCTGTTTTTGGGCATAAGAAAATTTCATCTGAATAATATTGCCCTTTCAAACATTTCTCACGTTAGCCTTGAAAGATCATTATTTGTTAGTTCATGCATCAAATTTAGAAAGAGTAATATTACTTACCAAAAAAAAAAAAAAATTAGAAAGAGTAATTGCTACACCTTGTCATTCTACTTGCAGAGGCACATAGAAGGTATGGTGGAATGGGCACATTGTTAGTAATCAAGGTTTGTTTCCATGCATGAAGTGATTTAATAGAAGATATTTATGCCAGAAAACCAATCTATAACACAATCACTCTTTTGTTTAGGTTTCTGCTGAATCGGCCAACCAGTTTGGTGAGTTGGTTGCTGATCCAATCACCAATGAACTGTTACATTATACAGAGAAACCAGAGACTTTTGTATGTACATTACCACAAGAAGAAACTTCAATTCTTTTGATGCGTATTACTTGATGTTGATTGCCTGTGTATGTGATTTGAACTTCATTTGTTTACATTTCCTTATTGTTTTCTTTTTCATTAAATGCAGGTGAGTGACTTAATAAACTGTGGTGTTTATGTATTCACCCCTGAAATTTTTACTGCCATTCAGGATGTCTCCACACACCGGGAAGGCAGAGGTTGGTAGATCTGTTCCTACTTAATTGAGGGCAGATATTTCCCCTATTAAAGTCTGAGCAACTTATATTTCATAATTTTGTTTTATATGAACACAATTTACATGAACGTTGATGGCTCTATTTTTTCACCTTTTTTTTTATTAGTCATTTTTTCACCTTTTGCTCTCTCCCCTGCTCCCCCAACCCACTTTCACCAACAAGAGGTCCTTCTTGTTACAATTCAATCATTTTTCTGTACTGGATTTCCTTATATTAATTGTCCTCTTTCAAATTAAATTTGGTTTTTATTATGAGAGGACTGTTGTTTGTTTCTGAATGTTAACTATGATGCAATTAAGCATTCTCTGGATAAACTATGCAAGTTGAAACTTGAAACACATTCATCATGCATCTGCTGTACTTAATGAGTTGCAGATGCAACACATTGCATTTGTTTAAGTTTTTTAACTGTGTCAGATTTGTGGAATGCTGTATTTTGTTATTTGCAGCTAATCTACGTCGAGTGTCCAGCTTTGAAGCCCTGCAGTTAGCAACAAGGTTTAACCACTTACTGCTTTTTCTCTGCTAGTTTACAAACTTGACTGTGCATTATTGATCATAAACATGCATACTTACATATATATGTGTATATATATCTTTTGTGGTTAGCATGGATATTGATGTTGGTGGTGAATGTGTTGAAAATTATATGCTTTTTGTACTAAAGTATCTGGTCGAAGTGCAAGACGTAGAACATTTTAGGACAATTTGCTGCATGTGTCTTTCTTGGGGAAGATAGCACTCTTAATTGTAATTTAACAATATATTTGACCGTAGTTGGTTTATAGAATATTCGTTTAAGTTCTCCTGTCATCTCTAATCCCAAACTTGGATTTCTAGCCAGACATGAAACACCGAAAGATTTTAGTTATTTTACATAAATACATTCCAACTCTGATGAAACCTTTTTTGCTAGGCCACCTTTCATGGGACTTATTTATTTCCTCATTCAATTATAAAGACTTAAAACATCATCATTTCAGTTCCTCCTTGTAAGGGGAAAAAAAAAAAGATTATTTAAATCAAAGAAAACTGGTTTATTTTCTCATGCGGTACATGGAAACAATTTATCAGAGTTCTTTTGCAACTGTGAAGGTTAGTGGAGTTAAGCTTTTGATTAAGGTTCAAATATTTGGTTGCTATCTTTTTGAAACATCTTATACTAAATTATTCCATTCATTGTGATTTATGTTGATAGAATGCTCATCTTGGTATCAGAGATAGTTATCCTCAAGGGATAAGTGTGATTAGAATTTTGGCTGCCATTTTAACTTTCATTCTTTTTAACATTTGCGTGCTCTAGGTTATCCATACATGACTCTAGTAGCATTATTGATACTATGGATTTATACTACACGCTAGGCCATTATTTGTCTACTTGATTTTTTTTGGTTCAACAAAGAAGAAAGGAAAAAAAAAATTTAATTCCGGTGGCTTTATTATTGAATATATTGGTGATCACTTTTACTATGGTGTGCAATCTGTCAGTTTTCATGCTAATATGATTTCTTTCAACAGGACCCTTCCTACAGATTTTGTTAGATTGGATCAAGATATCTTGTCACCTCTTGCTGGAAAGAAACAACTGTATACCTATGAGACCATGGACTTCTGGGAACAGATCAAAACTCCAGGGTAGAGCAAATCCCAAAATTTCTGCCTCCTCTTCTTTATGCCTTGAACCTTGGACATTATATCTAAATTTCTACCTGACTTTACAGAATGTCATTGAAGTGTTCTGCTCTGTATCTTGCTCAGTTTCGGTTTACCTCTCCTCATCTCCTAGCTAGTGGAGATGGCACCAAAAGTGCTACGATTACTGGTGATGTTTATATTCATCCATCAGCAAAAGTACATCCAACTGCAAAGGTAGTTCTATCTCATCTATTTCCAACATTTGAATCCACGTACCTTAGTAGTTTAAGTGACATTTGTGGGTTTTTTTTTCCCCTTGTTGCTCTTTGAGAGCAAAAAGTGCCTTATTTTTTCTATTCATATTAAGAGAAGAACTTCCCGTATACTATGTACTCCATCTTAGTTATCCCCATTATCTCCACTATACATACACTATATTGGAAACAATTGATGGGCTCCTTATTAGAAGATCCATAAACTCTACCGAGTTTAACTTGGTCAGAGCCTGGAATTAAATGGGATTTAGTGGTTCAAATTTATTAGAACTCGTTTTTGAAAGATCCTTTTCTCGGTGCCATCTTTAGTGAAGTTTGAGCTACCCAACTACAATACTACCTTTCGTAGATGCAAGTTTCTTATTTTAAACTGTATCTATGTCTTGTACACATTAATAAACAAAAGTCTTGAGAAAGAAAAAAGAGAATCTCCTTGGAAGTACTGCCCACAGATTAGTAAATTTCTAGATAATTTGGTCAGCAGCCAAAAAGTACTTGCAGATAAGTGGAGAAATCAAACTCAGTTCAACTCTACCCCTGCTCACCTGATGCATATAGTTTGGCAGTGATTGCCGGGAACATCATTCCTGGGTAACCAAAAAGAAGCTTATGCTGAATGCAGAAACGTCTTATGGGTCCTGAATTGACTAGATTCTTAGTTTCCGTCTGGTTTTGCTTCATCTAATCCGTTTTTTTTTTAACAGATTGGTCCCGATGTTTCAATTTCAGCAAATGTCCGTGTAGGAGCAGGTGTGAGGCTTATAAGTTGCATTATCTTGGATGATGTTGATATAAAGGTATGGGGCTGAAAAAATTGAAGTATGAAATAGTAACACCTAAATCTGGCCTAAATTTGTTGTATCATCTCCTGACAGGAAAATGCAGTTGTTATGCATGCTATTGTTGGATGGAAATCGTCTCTGGGGAAATGGTCTCGTGTGCAGGTAAATTTGATCAGAATTTCAGATTTTCACTATTTTGTAAGCATCACACTTTCTAAATTTACCTGAAGATCCATCTTCTTGATCAGTGATGTGCAAGTTCCGGGTTGTGAATATTTGTTGGCATCTCAATTTATCTTATGTTTTGTATTTATATTGTTATTTGGTATTTGACCTGCTCGATTTTTCAGCATATCCATCAATGTTTAGTTTGCATTTTAAAATTCTGATAGACATTTTTTACATCATAGGCTGCTTGGGATTTTTTTTTAATTTTTGCATTGACCAAATTTGGAGATGGAGAGAGAGAGAGAGAGAGATTTCCATGGAAAAGAGAGGCGGGGAAGGGGTTATACCAGTTTACATCCGGAACTTATGCACAAACATGAATATTGAGGCCCCTAGTTGTCAAGTTAGAGGGACGACTAAACTCAATGGACCCAATACTTTTAGCACAATAGATGATTGTGATGCATGCTTCTGAAGGAATCCATATAGTATAATCTCCATTTCTGCTCTTTGTTACTGATATAGTTCAAAAACTACTATAAACATACATAGTTTGGTTAAACTAACTTGAAAATTACAAAATGCTTTAAAATTGAAAATGTTCCAAGGGTGAGGTATATTATATTATACACACACACACACACACACACACACACACACACATAAATATAATATATATGGAAAGTAACTAATATTATAACTAGTGGATGCATAGAGGTGGTTATTTTGTTATTATGATTCAATTATTAAAACAAATAACTAAATATAACATTGCTAGAATGAGGATGCCTATGTTCTTAGTATAGCTAGAATGAGGATGTTGAGAAGAACTAGCGGATGTAGGGAAGATGCCACTCTGCATATCAGGTGAATTTCAATTCCGGCAAAAAGTGCCAAATGCAAAAAGAGGAAGGGAAAGGGATCTAGAGGTTTTGGGCGACTCTGCATATTGAGGTTTGAGAATCTATGGGAGGACATCCAAAGCTAAGGAAAAATTCAAGTCCAGTACCAAGACTTTCTTTTTTTCCCCAATGGGCCTAGTGTTCAGATAAGCAGATAGTGGATTAAAATGTTCATCTTTATTCCGTGTGTTACAATCATAGTTACATGTTTGGAAGTAGGTAATAATGACTTGGAAAACTCAAACAGGAAAGTGTCTCTGAGAAAAGGGGAAAAGCATGAATCGAGGCAACTAACTTGGGGGCAATTAAAAACGCTTGTGAAAAGCAATTTCACAATGTATGGTAAGTGTTAAAGAAGCATACTATAATTTCTTGTGGTGATGGACAGATTTAGACTAACATCTGGGCGCAATGGAATTCTTGTGCCAAAAAATAATACCTGGGTGATTTCAGAACAAATGTCGGAGGAGCGATTTTGCTGTCCTGAAACTCCCAATTGACAGGCTATAAGTGGAGATAGGATTGTGGTTGTTCATTACCTTCGCCCATAAATAGTTGATCTCATGTGTCGGGATTTTCTTTGAATTCGTTTAATCTTAGCCGTATTTACCAAGGGATGAAATTGAGGGCTTGGATATTTGAAGTAAATTGATGCGTGTCTTGGACTAACCAAGTTTCCACCATATTTATACCTAGCAAAATTATGTTTGCGCTCCTTTTCTTTTCTTTTAAAGCTGACCAAAATTTGATTGTTTGGGCGCAGGCTGAAGGAGACTACAACACTAAGCTTGGAATTACCATCCTTGGTACTCGCCCTTACATTCTCATGCATTTCTTCTTCATTTCCATGTTCTTTATGCTCTAAAGAAGATTTAAAGTATTGAATCGTCTCCCCTGGACACCCCGGTTATCCAAAAAAAAATGTATTGAATCGCCTCTCTGATGCAGGAGAAGCAGTGACCGTTGAAGATGAAGTTGTGGTAATTAACAGCATTGTTCTCCCAAATAAGACCCTTAATGTCAGCGTACAGGAGGAGATCATTCTGTGAGAATGATGAAACTGAGATTCCACAAGAACTTGGCAGTCCTTCTCACTTGAGTTTCCTTTCTTTTACCTTTCTATATCAAGAGTAAATCATATTGCTGAAGAAGAGATGATTCAACAGGATAGGAATCTTCTTTGCCACCACAAGTGTGTAATGTTGAGAAAGCTGATCTCTTTCTCTCTTTAACAGGTATTTTTCAAGAGAAAAAAAATAAAATCATATTTTTGTTCTTTACCTTATTTGGACCCAGAGTTTGTACGCAATGCGCATAACTAAGTCGATGCTTTGAGATTTCTGTTACAAAAGGTTATAATCTGACCTTTAATTTAAAGCTAATACATTTCCCTTTTCTACACAGACCCTTGTGTCTACAGTTTAGTTACTCGTGACATGCAGTTTCAGGATTGGTTGTTAAAATTCATTGTCGTTGATTTTTCCTTTCTCAAATTAATTCAATTTGTGATGAAATTGAGCAAAGACTTGCTGAAAATAAGAAGAATTTGGTTCCCGTTGTCTGTCCAGTGTGTGTATTGATACAGTATGCAACAAACTAGTCCCTGCAGTTGCTCTATATTTTAATTTTTCTCTTGTTTCTCAACGTTGATTTCGAGTGATTCCCGAGTAAAAAATGCGAAGTGGGGCATGGAAACTTACATCCATCTTCTTTCCAATTAATGGAAGTTTGGTTCAGTGGCATTCGAAGAAGATGGATGGCAAAAAAGGCTGCTCATCTAAGTTCTCATTTTTTAAGATGATATGATCAAAGGCATATGCATACGAGGGTTCAATGGAGACAAAGTTCATTTCATTGTTCCCTGTCCTTGCGTAATTAGCTGAAGTCATGCAAAAAATGGGCCACCTTGATTTGTACTCATAAAATGGGTATATTTGGGCCACCTTGATTTGTCACTCATAAAATGGGTATATTTGGTTCGATTTTCTAAAATTAAAAGGCACGTTTCAAAGAATTGTTTTTTAAAAACAATTTTCTATTTTCATTTCTTTTATTTTTGTTTTTTTAAAACTGTTTTATAAGTGACAAATTTTCAACATCACTACCTAGATATTGCAGAGTACGGGGAAAGTAGAACAAGCCTTGCTGGTATGATTTTAATACCTAACTTTTACAAAACTACGAAAATATCTTCAATCACTAAGACTAAGTTGGGCATTTTTTGTCTCAAAAATTTATTTCAAATCTTATTTTTTTAATTCTTTTTGCAAGTATCCATAATAATATTATCCTGCCCAATAAAACTCATTCTCCCTTGAAATTCCATCTAAACACACCCATTGTGTAACTGAAAACCAATAAAACAAGTACTTCAATCAGACCGCTTAAGCATAAAAACACCAACTAATTACATCACTACTTACTTTGCTTTCAGGAAACATACATCTCGAATCAAGACATACTATATCAACATCACTGCTAATAACATTGTATAATACTTCATCTATAACATCTAATAATGCATGTGAAAGGCTCCTCTGCCTGGAGCAAACTTCTCTCTACCAACTTATCCGGGCATTACCCGATTTCAGAAATAATTTAATGCCAGCGTTATAGTTCTCTCAAAAAACAAAAACAAAAACAAAAACAAAAACAAAAAACAAAACAAAAATTCTTAATAGTGAGCTCTAGAAATTAACTACCTATCAAGTAACAACTGCTGCTTAATACCCAAAATTGACTTGTGAATATCGTTTTGAGTAACTTCTACAGCTGGGATATCCTTTACTATACCATCACAACATCTATCCACTACAACAAACAACCTCAGGCCTGCTACAGATTCAACTTGGTCAGATATGTCCATGAAATAGCAGTGTACGGGGTGGTACATCTTGATATTTCTCAAATTAGCAGTGGGAAAGGAGAACACAGAATCTTCTCCTCTACCAGCAACCCAGACAAACAGCATTAATGCGGAAACAGCTACAGGATCAATGTTTTGTACTCACTCTTGGGGCCGCAAGTCCAATTTGTAAGCCTGTATTTCCATGGGAGATATAACTACATGTCCTTCTTGATCAACATCTCCAACTTGCTCAGCATATCCAAGCATCTCTGTGTCTTCGTGCAAAAGATTCAGGGACGTAGCTTTTGCATTCAAGACAGCAAGCCCCTTGAACATGTCGAACAGATTTATAGATTCGTTGGCCACACTGGAGCATTGCGCCCTACCTTTTCGACAGTATGAAGAATCCCAGTGACGCCTCTGCAAGATTAAAACAAACCTAAGGTCTTCAATGGCTTGCTGAGAAAATTTTAAGGGCCGAGGAACCTTGAAGCTCACAACATGTAAATCACATGGCAAGGAAGCAGATAAAGGAGAGAAGGATGCTGAGGGTGGCTGCACAGATATTTCTTGTGGTTTTTTGGCAATGAATGCATGTAATGGATAGTTCAAGTGGGCACCAACACAATGAGAGAGAAGAGAGGGGCTTAGAGGAAGGGGGTTTGAATCAGGATTTAACGTGGAAGATATGTTGGATTCCACAAGGATGTGGAAAACCACATTCATTGGACGATTATCCAGTACTCCTTGCCCAAGACCGCGACCATCATCATTTAACAATCTTCGATCAAGCATGATTTCTAGCCATCCATTTTTAAGGCTTGCCACACCTAACGACTGCCGTGTATGTACAGAAAAGCGGCGACCATTTGATCCTTGAAAAAATGCAAGAGAAGGCATTGGGTAATAATTTCCCTGCAGAGGAATCTTATCATAAGTTTCTCTCCGGCTCATCTGAAATCCATTTAAATCAGAATAGAATACCCTTTTGTTATCAATATCTGTCTTGTATCTAACTATTAGTTCCTTGTCATTGAAATCATGCCTAAGAAGCTCAACATGATATTCCTTCTCAATGAGAAATTCCTGTATGGTGTTATCGCCATTATATAAACGGGTGCTATGTGAGATTGGAGTTTGGTCCCAGGCGGTTTTTGGGTAAGAGTAAACTTCCTGCATCAAAAGGCCCTCAGAAATCACCAGTTTCCCACCACCTTGGACGATAGGCTCAGCATCACCATTGGGTTTGAATAGGTAAGCTCCACTTCCCGTACTTGAGTACATACCTATTTCTTCACCAACAACGTTTTGAAAACCATCATTATGGCTTATTTTCTGCAACAACCCAAGATTGACATCAAAGGTGAGTGTCAGACGCCGATTCCGGATTTCTGCTGTGTCACCTTCTAATTTTGAGCAAGTATATGGAGTGGGGCACGAAAAATGGTTGGACTTTGTGAAAATTTTCAGTTTCACTGGTTTGCTCTTTTCACATCCAACAAATCCATTAGCAATGTAATATACTTGCAACCCCATGGCAGGAACAGACGCTTTCCAATGGACTCGATGCCTTCCTGTAAACATCTTGCTTTTATCATGATGCAATTCAGGAGAGATCTGGCTTTTAACGCATGTCCAGTTTGAGTTCAAAACAGTCACATCTGGCCTGTCAACAACTACCATCACAACCTCATCTCTTGTTTGCTCCAGAGGATTAAATAGGACAACTGATTGTGCACTTCCTTTGCGAGCACTAATTGCTCTATACACAGGTTGAACGTCATACTTAGCTCTCACTTGTGCTGCCTCAAACTGAGCTGGGTTCTGATCAGATCTCTCATGGCGGATTCCAAGCAGTACTTCAATAGCTTTGGACATGAAAATTTGCAAGTCCTGTAAAGAAGTATGCATCCGCACTCCATAATCCTCAACCACGTGATCCTTAGCGGTGCCAGTTACACCATCATGATGCTGAAAAAGAGCCAAGTTCCTTCTTGCGGCTGTCAACTTGTGGGAGAAACCAATAGGCAGCTTAACACACACTGTTCTCTGGCAATATCCTAGCAAAAAAGCCATCATCATTTCTGCAGCACGAAGTGTTTGCTCCAATACACGGTCAACAGCCTTGAAGAAAGGCCTAGAAACATAGTAGCCACTCCAATAATCCTTCTCTCGATCAGCATAAGTAAAGAAGTCACCTGATAGAGAAGGAAAACCTCCAATCTGACCAGAGCCAACCTCACCCTGAACTGAATAATTTACTCTGTCAGCCTCCTCACGAAGAGTTTGGAAATAATCTTCCAAAGTACCAAATTTTGCCTCGGCATTCAAGCTGGGATTGGAATTAATGTAATCAAATAACAACTGATAATTTCTAAACTGAGCTTCTGCTTCGTCAATGCTAACGTAACGAAAATCATCTCCAAGGGGAACAAGAAGCGTGTTCGTTCGGTATAGTGTTGATTTCTTCTTATACTGATCTAGTAGTTTTAGTGCTCTCTCCTTCACATTTTCCTGGTTGGTCTCTACTGGATATTCTCCCCAGGGGCAGAGTTCATAAATGAAGCCGCGCATTCGAGCAAAATCAAACTGACAACAAACTGCAGGCTCTGGACCACAAGTATGTGGAATATCATAAGAATAGAAGGGCATCATGTGGACAAAAATGTCAGTTGTTTCCTCCGCATCCCAGCTCTGTCGCCACACGTATTCCAAATTCTTGTGCAAAGCTAGTTCCTTCTTGAGCTCATAATGGGTCCTCTGTATAAGCATATTCTCAAAGCCCATACGACGAAGAAGATATGCCATTGTAGATGAATAACCAAAGGGATCTATTGCCCAAGAATTTTTAGGAACAACCCCAATGGTGTCATTCAACCACATATTCCCCTCTATCATCTGAGACATGAATTTCCCAAATTTTAGAGAGAGAACTCAAAGAAATATTTACAAACCTTATGCTACATGAGATATAATGCAACAAGACAAAGAGGAAATAATATCTGATTGCACTTGCTGACATGGGTAATCAAATTCCTTGAATTCAAATTGGACATAAAAAATTAGTTAATCCAAAGCAAAAGAAAGAGTTTGCCCAAAAAATATTATGGAGAAAGCAAACATAATATGTTCTAAAGACCTTCGATGAGAAGTAATACCAAATGACAACTAAAACCAAACTAAACAACACCAGAATAGCATATTTCATACACAAAACCCCACATAAACCTGGACTAACAACCACAAACTACGCAACATTACCATAGAACTACGAAAAAACATAATGTGGCCCAGAATACCAAGCCACCAGATCTATCTAACATATTTAATTCATTCCTTGCAGTCCTGGTATCCAGCATTTCCAAGAAACTTAGTTTGAAATGCTATTTAAAATTAAGCTTCTTTCATTCAAGAGTTTTACTTTGTTAAGAGAGAGAGAGAGAGAGAGAGATGATTATTTTCAGTTGCATCATAGGAAGCCCTATGCTATTAATCATTTTCTGAACCATAACAATTGGAAAACTACTCTTTATCAAAAGAACAGTCAAACCTTAGTCAGAAGACTCGGAACTACAAAGAGAATGCTGAACCATAACTAATAAACTTAAATACCAAAAAATGTTTATCAATGTAAAAACTATAGTGATAAAGGTCTATACCTGTTCAATGATAGCAAAATAATGTGAATTGGCCTGCAAAAAAGAAATTAAAACAAAATATGATAAGTTTGCCAGGTATTAACACATTTGTATTTTGTTGTCAAACTATTCTAAAAGAAATTAAGCGTCTTCATTCCATTTCACTTCAATGAAAAAAAATTTGTGTGTTACCATAACTAAAATAAATAATTAATGCTTACTTTATAATTCAAAAAGGAAAAAATAATAATAATAAAGAATTTATAAAAATAAATAACAGAAGTAACACTGTTAGAACCTGATCATAGCAGCTTTTGCCATGGAACTTTTCCTTACATTATCAAAAACTTCTTTGGTTCACCAAACAGAGAAAAATCAGACATATTTCAGGATCTTAATAAGCTGATAATGCTTGCATTCTGTCGTCACCATTTTGAAGATTATGGTGATGTCGCCATATTACAAAATTAATTCATGTTTTGCTCCCTAGAACTTCCAATAATTCCCTGAGTCCTTACAACTTCAGTTGCTGCAGGTGTTTGAGAAGGAATATTCCAATAAAATAGCACACTTCCTGTTCTTTTGGTCAATCAACTAAAACTGTACCAGCAATCTCATGTTCAATTTATTATGGCTAAACTAGCCATATGCATTAGCCCTCACTGCATCACATGCTTCATCAGCGTTTGATTTTCATGCGGGGTCAACAAACATCTCGGCTATGTGACGTTATTCACATCCTTGATCTTTTAACTTTTAATTGTGCCAAAATTTTATTATTGTTAGTTTCCACCACTATGTATTCAAAGAGGGATTAGCTTCATGCCGATATGCAATCGTATTTGGGACTAGATGGAAAATCCAAAATGGAATAAAATTGTATATAATTGATATCTCATTAGTATGGCATCAAATGTTTTCTGATTGATTCAAGAATACAACATGATGACAAACAACAGATGGCCGGAGGGCTGCGGGACAGGAAGCATTATTCTTTTCTTGTTTCATTTTCGCTTTCATATTCCTCATCACATACGAAATAAGTAAAACTTTGAAAACATACGGAGAAGTTTGTTTTTTAAAAAAATAAAAAATAAAAAAATAGAAAAAAAACTAAAAAGATTTGAATTCTGGTACATGCTCAAGTATCTTACCTCATCGTTCATCACCCAACCACCACCAACAATTTCCAACTGCCCATTTTTCACTAATTTGATGAAGGATCCTCTCTTACTTTCTGGGGCATCCCTCCACCATCTCTCCAAATAAGACATCTCTTCCCATATAAATTTGCGGCGTGCATCCTACAAATTCATGTTCAAAAAAATCCCAATCAAATCTCAATACTCCATATACAGTTCATTAACTTGTTAAACATTCAATTACTCCACCATGAACCACACCAAAGATAATAAAATCAATAAACTACTACTAAACACAAATTAAATTCATTTCACTTTATAGTTTACACCCACCAAAATTAAGCACTATAATACAAATAAAAAACATAGACTCCCAATAAACGCAGTTCAAAGTCATTTCACACTAGATAGATCCAACAAAATTAAGATCAATAAACTATAAATCAACCAAGAATAAAAATAAATTCAATTCACCTTTGAAAGTGTCTCGACAATTGTATTGAGAATATGACGCGACTGTCGATCGTAGTACTCTTCGACGGTAGACTTCCAACCCGGATCATTATGTGAATGTGGGACAACAAAAATCTTCAGTTTCTCCGAATCCCACTCGTCCCCTCTGTATCTCACCTCCCAACCTTGCTTCCATGGCCCACCATCCACATCCGAAAATTCGATCTTATCATACAAATCCTTCGTCGTTAAATCCACAGCAGCCCTCGAAACGACGTCCCGGCCGGCCAGAACCGGCGGTTTCCGATACACCGGTTTTCGGAGCTTCTGGACACGAGAGGTGGTTTGGGTTTTGAAGGGGGAAGAAAAGGGTTTAGGAATACCGTATCTGTAGATGACTATGAAGAAGAAGACGAGAGAGATAAAGAGTCCGATGGTGAAGAAATTGGCGAAGATGAAGTCTTTAAGGGCCGTCCGTTTGCGGGACTTTCGTGAGTGTCTGGATTTAGGGTTTGGTGATGATGATCGTGTGGGGAGGAGGGAATGGGCCCACCCACCTCCACGGCGGGTGTTGCCGCCGATGTGGGAGGAGAAGGCCATGTTCTAGTTGAAGATGATCCGAACACAAACACTCACACGCGGTTTGTGTGAAGGTTTTGTTTATGTTTCGTTTGTTCAGATGGTTTGGAGAGTTGTAGACAAGGTCTACTAGCATCTACCCCAAACCAAAGTAGGGGTTAAAGAGGACGACTAATAAGAGCGTGTGGGGTCAATATTTTTTGAGTCATCTTCCAAGTCAAGCTTGCAAAATCCTATGGCTTAGGTCTGTTTGGTCCCGTTTTGTTTTTGCAACAAAATAAAGTGTTAACCGAAAACGTTTTCTATTTTATGTTGTTAGCCAAGACAAAACAAAAATAAAAAATATTTTTGTTTTCTTATAATAGAAAACGTTTTCCATTTTTGTAAGGAAATAAGAAAACATAAAAAAGTGTTTTTCATATTTTCAACACGTTGAGCAAAAAAGTTTTTACTATTATTATTACATATACACTATTCATTTCAAATAAAATATATGTTATTCACATTATTACTGATACTACATATTAAATATTAATAAATATATATTTTTAATATATAATTATATTTATATTATTCACATTATATTTATATTATTTTTTATTTAACAAAAATATATTTTTAAAATATAATATATTATATAATAGTGTAAATTATTTTTTGGGACCAAAAAAATATGATTTATTATATATTTATTAATTATTTTATATAATATTATTAAATTGTAATGCAACAAATATAATATATTATTATATACCATATCTATATTCTATTATATTATAGTTATATTATTTAATATTTTTTATTTATTATAATATAATATATGTTAAATATATTATATATTTTATAATAAATGTATAGATGGTGCACATGCATGCACTCACATACATTGGTGATAGTGTTTTTGTCCTGATATATCTTGTTTTGTACTTATGTATCGGGTATTATTAGAATTTGTGATTTTAAATTAAATATTATATTTTATTATCCTGTATTGGATATTTATAATATTTTTGAAATAATTGAATTGCATACATATTTAACGTTTAAATAATTAAAAATATTATGTAAATCTGTAATAAATATGTATTATTAAACACTTTTATTATTTTTTTACTTTCAAAATTGTGACAAAACAAATTTTCGTTACCAAACATGATTCCGATTTTTACCATAAACACTCACATAACAAAAAAGTTGTTTTTGTATTGACCAAAAACATAACACTTAAAACACATCGCATGCTAAACGAGTCCTAAGTGTTTTGTTGCAAAGTGAATTAGAATGGTAATCAAAAACATGTTTGATCATGTTCATTTGTTGTAAGATTTTTAAAAACATGTTTGGTAACCAACGGACTCGTGCCCTAACAATATTAGCCTTGAAAAATATAATGATTACTTGATTAGTTTTAAAATGTCATTTAAGAGTTTTTTTTTAAAAAAAATTATTTTTTACTATTCATCGTACCCTTTGCTACAATACCGAAACACGTAAGGTGTTTTTACTGTTCATCATACCCTTTACTGTTCATCGTACCCTTTGCTACAATACCGAAACACTGTACAAAACAAAACATTTTTTATCAAACATATTTTTTTCATTCTTCACTACTATAATGAACAAACAAAAACATAATACCCAAAACAAAACGTGTACCAAACAGATCTAAATTTTCAGTCACGTTGATTTTTTAAGAAATTAGGTCCAATGGTTACACTTCATCATACTCCACTCATTTGATTATACTACACTTATTAAATGAAAATAATAATAATAATAAAAAAATCAAATGCAATAAAATCTAGAGTTTGGATAACAAGAAATGTGAAAATTTGAGAGAGAGAAAAAAAAAATTAAAAATTGTAAAAACGCACTACAAAGTGATAAAATCACCCCTAATGTTTAAATTTTAGGCAAATATAACCTCTAATATTTTTTTTGGTTACGGTATATAAGTGCTTTAAGTTTTAAAAAATTATCAAATAAGGGTTTGAGGTGACTGTTAGGTTACAAATTTAGTTATATGCATTGTACACGACATTTTAACGGTTTATATCCAATATTGTCTTAATATGTAAGGAGGAGGAAAAAAAAGAAGCACACTTTAGTCATTTTATATTTAATTATTTTTTTCCCTTTTTTTATTCCGTTATAGAAGAGCCACTGTTTGCTTAAAAATTGAATCTGAGGGATTTTTTAGAGCTTATAAAGGTTATATACTCTATATACAAGCGTTTTTCGCTCGCAACCCATTTAAAAGAAACAACTTTCAAAAATTCAAAAATTAAATTTATTTTCAAAGAACTATAATAGATAATTTTTTAAAAAACATATGTTCTTTAACTAAGTAACTAAACAAGTTTTTGTATAGTATTTAAAATTTTACACTTTTTGTATAGTATCAATTCCTCTCTCCCAATCCCCGAGCAAAACCCATTTATCTAGTCATCAATCTCTTCTTCCACTGTCTCCCTCCAAGGTTAATTCTATCACTTCCTCCATTACGCCGCTGTCACATGTTTTAAGGGTTTGGAGGAGAAAATTTTGTGTAAATGATAGCAGTCTCAAACAAGCCAAATTTACACCATATCTCCTCTCTAAATTCATGGTTATGCTGATTTCCACTGGATACCCATCTGGGTTTGGATCAATGGGAGCCAATTGTAAGATATATATTTTGTAATTGGCTTATTTCGTTATCAAAACAAGTCCGATCGAGTTGTAATTTTTCGGTTCAAAAAATTCGAAGATTGATGATCGGATGCGGATTTGAAGAAGAAAGTCAAGTGTTTATTACTACACTCTGAGATAATGAGATAGATGCTCTAAGAAGGTTGAGAGGTAGTGAGAAAAGCTAGGACGGTTTTTGGAAGGTTCGAAAGAAGAATAATTGCAAAATATTACAAATTTCAAGACTGTCCATCTTGAGAACAGTTAGGACGGTTTTTGGAAGGTTCGAAATAAGAATAATTGCAAAATATTTCAAATTTTCAAGACTGTCCATCTTGAAGGCTGAACCGGTTCAAGAATCCGTGGGATTCAGTACTGTCCATCTTGAACCGGTTCAAGGTCTTCTAGCAGCACTTGGATTTTAGTTTCCTTTTTGCTGAAAGTTTCATTTTCAAATCCAACTTTCTTTTAAGTCCTATGCACGAAATTTATCATATTTTATGAGGGATTAGGACTTTAAAAACTCTATATAAATCATGTCATATACATTGGTTTAAAGATGGCTTTAGGGAAAATCAATTCTATATTTTGAGAAAGCCTTTAGAGAAAGAAAAATTCAAAAATCAAATATATTATTCTGAATTTATTTTTGAGAACACACATATATATTTATGAGTGATTTAGTTGTAGTGTTCTCTATCTCATCGGAATTGGAGCTGTATTGAAGATTCAGATATTCCAGATGATCAGCAGGATTTAATTCTTCTACAATCGAGTTCAGATCTTAAAGAAGAGAAGTAAACACAATCCCACTTTGAAAGGGTTGGAGCATTCGTGAAGTGCTTTCTAATCTACCTGCTACTCTTCTACAAATATCAAGTGTAAGTCTGAGATCAAGTTATTGTTGGACGGGGAGTCGCAAAGCCAGAGGATTGTCAGCGGTTGGTGTGGTATAGAACGATAGGGTGTGAGTCAGAGTCAAAATTCAGTATACTTTGTTTCAAATATAGTGGATTGGTTTACTTTGAACTGCACAGTTCACGAGATTCTTCTCATAACAGTTGACATATTCTATCAACTGAGGTTTCCTTGCTAAAAAATCTGGTGCAATCTCTCTAACTCTAACTTGATTTATTTTTTATATATTTGTCATGGTGGATGTTTAAATTGGTCAGATAATCTAATCAATCGTAAATTAAGCAAGTTGACCTAATTAACATATCTAGGTCATTAAGAAGTGAATCACCATTGACATTAACTAACAGTTTTCGCATCCCGCGTAACTCTTGTTTCTCACCGATCTCTGCCGCGTGTGGTGAATATGGCTTCTTCTGTGCCAGTAATGCTGGCGGCTAACAAGCTGTAATATGTTGGCGCAAGAACACCACCACCTTGTCTTCATCATCATCCTCATCGTCAAACTATTCCACCAGCATTCCGCCAATGGCTGCTGTCTCCTGCGGAGTGGCATTTTGGTGAACATTTTGCAGGCCTATTGTTGGAATTTGATAGGTTCAGGTACCAATGTCTCGATTACTTGCATATCGCCACAGTTAAGAATCACGTATGTGCAATTTATGGTAAAAATCAATGAGGAAGGGTTGATTGTGCAGGGAGGACAGAGAGAAGACGAAAAGATTTATAAAGAGATCAATTATCTCTGGTTGAGGGGAGACAAGAAGAAGTAATAATGCATTTTTCCATTTAATTTTTTGCGCCGGAGTATGTTTTTGAAGTGCAAATATCACTACCAAAAATATATATATATATACTCCAATTATACAATTTCTTTTAAAAAAATTTATATTTTAAATTCAAAATAGACTTACCATTGTGTGAAGGGAAGATTATTTATCACCGGTTGAGGAGATATTATTATTATTTTGGTGAATTACATTAAACTCCTATTTTTTATTTGTATTTTGTATTAAATTCTAATTGAGGAATTTTTTTTTGACAAAAAATCTCCACAATTATTACAGGGGTGACTTAAAAAAGAGAGGTGACGAAAATCTACTTTGTGAGTGCATCTTAATTTGTATTAAATTCTAATTGAGGAATTTTTTTTTTTTTGGCTTAAATACCCATTAAGCCTATTTGAAAATCTACTTTGTGAGTGTATCTTAATTTGTTATATTAAGTAACCTAAATGACATCATTCATATAAATTAACACTTTCATTGTTTTTTTTTTTATTTGTTTTTTTTAAAATGTTAATATTTTACTAGACTATCAAGTTCACATTAATCATAAGGAATGAATATAAAAAAACATGTTGGCATAAATAATATAAAAAAGAAAAAAGAAAAAAATTAGGCATTATGATTAATGTGAAAAAAGAGAAGAGAAGAAAAACATGTAGGCATAAGTAATATAAAAAAGAAAAAAAAAAAATTAGGCATTATTTCTCTCGATGTTCCCTTAGCATATCTATATAAAATGAAAATCAATAAAAACCAAATAAATAAATGCACAATATAATTCGCAAATATATATATATAGCTAATAAATTTCAAGAAAAAACCTAAATTTATATAGATTTGAAGGTTGGATGAAAATTCAAATATAATATAAATGATATTTAGTGATACATATTATATATACCATTATATTATGATACATATTATATATATATATATATATATATATATATATAATGGATAAATAAAAGAAGTTGAGCAAGAAAAAGAGTCAGTGTTGTTACAATGGTTGAGAATATGCAGTTAAGAGTAATAATGAAATAAATATATATGTGGGGTATACTAAAATAGGTACATAACATTTTTGTCTAAAAAATATATAATAAACTATTATAATGGGTAAATAAAAAAAGTTGAGCAAGAAAAAGAGTCAATGTTATTACAATGGTAGAGAATATGCGATTAAGAGTAATAATGAAATAAATATACATGTGGGTTATACTAAAATAGGTACATGACATTTTTGTCTAAAAAATATATAATAAACTATTGTCCAAATACCTCCTTCTTAGTTAACTTCGGTTACTAAAATCACACTTCGGATAGATGTGAGGAATTTTTTGACAAAAAATAAATAAAAAAGAGGTTTAGTGTAAAACACAAATACAAAAGCGGGTTTAATACGGTTCACCTTATTATTTCATTATTATTTTATACCAAAAAGTGGGTCGGTTAATTTGTAAAGATTTTTAATAGTTGAGGACATTTTATTTTCCTCCCAGCGCTACGTTACTCAATTAGGATAAAACTAATGCCGCGTCCAAACAACCCCCTTACGGATTTCACATTTTTCACAGGCAAGGTAGAGAGAGAGAGAGAGGTTTGAGCGTTAAAGTTCGAGAGCTTCATATTCTCTGAAGCTTGTATCCGATCCGATCTGTGAAGCACTGAGACTCTAAAACAGGTATGTATCTATATTATTCATTTTTATATTTGAGAAATTTCGAGGATCTAAAAGGAAATTTCAGATCTATCACGCATACATCTGCAGATTTCGGTATTTAGATTCAAACGACAGATTGTTTGATCCTTAGTTTATTATTCATTGAAGAAAGTATGATTCGCAAGATGTTTGTGTTTGATTTGGCTTCTTAATCGAATAATTTAATCAAAACACACATAGATAACTTAGTTGGAATTCGGATATTGAGATTGCGTTTATTTTTATATAATGCCTCGTTATGTATATTCATATCAAATTACATATTCGAAATTTTATTTTGCATGTTCAGAAGTTGGATATTTAGACAAACCACAATATGTTTGTAATATTAATACTGTTACACTAATAGTGTGATTGGTTGTGATATTCAATTTGAAATGGTTATGAATCCATTTAAATGGCAACGTTTTTAAGGTATGATAAATTAAACTTAAGGATATAGAATGATAAGCTGTTCTGAGAATACCTTTTGGATAAATGAGATGCATTAGATTTAAATTTCACTATTACCTTATCTCGTCAGTCTGATTTACTGAGAATTTTGATGACAAAACATGTTTTACTGTATCCTAGGCTTTGGAATTAATGTGATTTCTTGAACATCCGACAAGGATTCATTGTATGTACAGTGATTCAGTTGCCACCACCAGATGGGTTCCTGGTTCCAGTTCGGATATTGTTCTTACTGTTGTATATTATGGTTGGTAATTCTGATACCATGATTTGAATTTTGAACTCTTCTTTAACCTTCTCCATGCTACAAACATTGGCTTCCTTTTCCAATTGTGCCTCTTCCATAATATCCATAAACATCTGTCCATCATTGTAGTCATAACATTGTTATTATTATTATTATTATTATTTTTCCAGGTTACGCCGTTTTAAGAAACCTAAGGAAGTGGTCCCCCCTAATTTCAAACATCTATAATGGGAAAGTAACATTGCAATCATAAGCTCAAAGACTCCAATTCTGTTTTCTTAAAAATAAGTTTTTTTTTTTTTTTTTCAAAGTGGCTGGTATTTTTTGGATAATGGAGTAATAAACCACATGAATTCTTCTGCACAACCAACTGATTGGTTGACTCATCTCAGTTTTCAATCAGCTAACCATGTATACAAGGATATAAGATTATGTACCTTGTCAAGGTTTTTGAGTTAATATTTTCTTGCATATCTAAATGCACACTTTAAGAATTCTAAATTACCCGACACAGTGTAAATGGTGACTGAAAATTTTTATTAGGTAGAGTTACTCGTGTCTTTCTTTGAAGGAACAATTTGGCACGTTATCACCGGAACTCGTAATGATTTCAATATTCATGTCAAAAGTTTTCAATAATTTGTTTTATGACATAATTCTGGTTTCAAATACAAAATATAGGAGTTTGAGACATACTGTGAGAAGTTATTGAAGGAAGTTCAGAAGGTGAATCACAGTATTAAGGAAAAAAGGAAAGATGCCTGCGCAGAAAATTGAAACAGGTCACAATGACACAGTCCATGATGTATCCATGGATTACTATGGAAAGCGTGTAGCAACTGCTTCATCTGATACTACCATTAAAATAATAGGTGTAAGCGGCAACTCTACTTCACAGCACCTTGCAACTTTGAGCGGCCATCAAGGCCCTGTTTGGCAGGTTGTTTGGGCTCACCCCAAGTTTGGATCCCTTCTTGCTTCCTGCTCATATGATGGTAGAGTGATAATTTGGAAGGAAGGTAATCAAAATGAATGGACACAGGCTCATGTTTTCAACGACCATAAATCGTCTGTCAATTCAATTGCTTGGGCGCCTCATGAACTCGGTCTTTGCTTGGCTTGTGGATCCTCTGATGGGAATATCTCAGTCTTCACTGCCAGATCTGATGGTGGTTGGGACACCACCAGAATAGACCAAGCCCACCCTGTTGGAGTAACCTCAGTTTCATGGGCCCCTTCAATGGCTCCTGGGGCTCTAGTTGGATCTGGTATGCTGGATCCTGTTCAGAAGTTAGCTTCTGGTGGCTGTGACAATACTGTGAAAGTGTGGAAGCTATATAATGGAACTTGGAAGATGGACTGCTTCCCTGCCCTTCAGATGCATGCTGATTGGGTTAGGGATGTTGCTTGGGCACCCAACTTGGGGCTCCCAAAGACCACAATCGCAAGCGCTTCACAGGATGGGACAGTTGTGATATGGACTGTGGCAAAGGAAGGTGATCAGTGGCAGGGTAAGGTTCTGAATGACTTCAAGAGCCCTGTTTGGAGAGTCTCATGGTCCCTGACAGGGAACTTGTTAGCTGTTGCTGCTGGGGACAACAATGTCACATTGTGGAAAGAAGCAGTTGATGGAGAGTGGCAACAGGTGACCACAGTTGAGCCATAGATTTAAGTTTCTTTTGTTATAATCTTTCTACCGCTGTCCTGTGTACTGGCTTTATCAAGAACTAGTTTGTTCATTTTCCGGTACTATTTCGTTCTGTTCTTGCTTTTAGTACTCCTGTTTGTGTGGGGTTATAGTGATTATTGGTTTATTAAAATTTGGGGTTAGAGAAATGAGAATTTTTGTGATTTTTAATTGACCTCTTCCTACATTATAATTTGTTATTTTATAATATGATTGTTCTGATGTTGAGGTTTTGTTCGCATAAGTCTTGGTGCAGAGTAATGCAAAATGTTGTCAAATAGTGAGTAATTAGCATGCAAATTTTCTTAAGTTTGCATAAATATGTTAACAAACATTTTTTGTTGTCTGCTTACCCATCTTTAGCATCTTGTAATTACACTGGCTTGCGAGGATCAGGGAAGTTTTTTATTTGTGTGCTCCGATACATGAAATAGTTTGACATGATCAAAGATTTACTTCAATTACATAGCTGATGAGCACATTAAGGCCCTTATCTTGATTTTTTTACTTCTGAATACATCCAATTGACTCAGATAGAGATATCGACCAACTAATAGACTTTAAGTACCCTATCCTCTCCTAATAGCTGGCAGCAGCATCATAAATAAAGAGTTGGAACTACAGAATCATTAGGCCTTCATTTTGTTCTCTCGTCGAATTATGGAAGCACTCTTGATGAAGTTGTCTCTGCTGTTGTTTGGTTTTTCATTTTTAGTCAGAGATCACATTAATAAAAGCTATGATTTGTGAACACCGCTGACAACAGTGCTTTCTTCTTTTTCTTCTTCTTATTCTTCTTCATCCCCCTCCTTTTACTCCTCATTTTCTTATCCTCCTCTTTCCACCCCATCCTGCTCCTAATGGGACAGGTATGGGAAGCCTTTTTATCCCGTGGAGGCGGGTATGTGATCTAAAATTGAAACCCGATTTGGGGTTCAGGGTGGTTTTGGGTTTTTGTTTATCCCACCCCGATTATTTAGTATTATTACCAACTGTGCCCTTACCTCTATACATATGTTATAAACACTATGGTTCCTAAATCCAATTTCAGTTCACTGCTTCTCTTTATCTCATAATTCTTGCACCTTGACCACCGGTTGCAACCCCACTCCGGCCGGCAATCTCCATTCTCCGACAACCAAGATACCAGCCATCTTAGACAACCAAGATATCGGCGATCTCCAACTACCAAGAGTCGGCATATTTGATTGAGTTCAATGAAAACGATCGGTGTTTTCTCTCTTCAGTAAGCTGTAAGTACAATCTCAGCGTTGAGTCGATAATTGCATTTGCACTCCAGCTTTGTTATTCTGTTATTGCTTTTCTGATGACTCAGATTGTTTATAATTTTCTGGACTAAACATGGTCTGTTTTAAGTTTGTAGGTTACGTTGAATGTGCATTTTTTTTCCTTATTTTTTTATTTCTTGTTTTTTGTTCTCGTGTTTTTGTAGGGTTCTGTATTCCTTCTCTATTATTCCTTTTGGAAGTTATTTGCTTATCTGCTTGACCCTGGAAGATTTTTCTCTTGGTAGTGCGATATTTTTCATGAAGGCTGTTGTGATCTGCCCTAGGATAGAAGTGTAGGAATGTTGTGCGCGCTAGGAATTAAAACCACGAGAGGTGGGCTTTCGTCATCTTTGCTGTTAATTGTTGCCCCTGAGATTTGTGAAAGAATAACCTACCTATGGTATCATTGTATTTATGTGGCCAATGTTCAGCTGTTATCATAAAGGACTGGAGTTTTGAAAATCCAGACCTGGACTGATTTTTATCTGCACAAGTCAAATTTAGTTCCTTATCCTTGTCTTACTTTGTGTATGTGAGTCGTGAGCATGCATGTGTGTCTCTGTGTTATGTAACAAATCCTTTTTACCTTTTTTTTTAAAGTAATTGGGGTCTGATGCCAAGAGCACCTGCAGCAATCTTTGCAGCACATAAAGTGTAGTTGTCCTTTCATTACTAGCAATGTTTGCTACTTGCACTGCATACAACCATTCGTTCTTGCCCTTTGCTTGCACACACACACACTCTCCTATGGTGTTCTCTCTCTCTCTCTCTATATCTATCTATTTGTTGATTTCTTTTTTAAAATTTGATGTTGCCTGTTCTTTGTAAGCATGCATTTTCAAATCTGACTCTTTTTTATGTTGCATGTTCTTGAATCTTTATTGAGTTCCCTTCGTTGTACCGTATGTTGATGTTATAGATCTAGTTAATGTTATGTTGTTTTATGACTTTTGTTGAGTATTGTTGATTTGCCGTGTTGGTCTTGTAAACGGTGCGGGGACGGGGTTAAGCCTCCCGCTTGTAAATGGGGATGGGCTCTGTGTGTGAAACTGGGACGCGTATGTGATAGTTTTTTGCCCAACGGGATAAGGCTTAGGCAAACCCGTCACATATTTTCCGAGTGATACACGTTGATGTGCTGCACTCTTATTGAACATAGGAACAGTTTCTTTCCAGGAATGGCAGATTTAATGAATATTCCCTGATCCAGTTTTGAGATTGAGACCAGAAAATGATTTGTCTACGAAGTATGACTTTGGCTTAGGTCGTCTTTAATAATTTGTTTCAATGTGATTTTTTATTTTAATTCTGAACTATGTTTTTGACCGCAAAATCATTCTGGTTTGTGCAGTTAGTTCAACAGAAGTGTAAATTCTACAGATTCTTCTAGAACCTCGTATTTCTTTTTTTGTTACTTTGTTGCCCACTATTTTGGGAAGGCCTATTTCACACGGCCTTTTTGGCTGCTGCAACAACCTATATAACTCTGTTCTATAGAAAAAGTGGGCTTTGAAGTGTCAAAATAGCATTTCGTTTTTGGATGCTGCCACAAACAAGTGTGATTTGTGAAAGTAGAGCATTTCCTTTGACTTTATGTTAGAATTCATTTGTCAGAATCGGCCATCTTTTTTACCAGCTTGTTTGATGCTATAATTTCCTTTCATATAAACAAAAACTGGGAGCTTCTAATTTTCCTTTCATATATTTGGCGCCTCAAAAAGCTTGGATAGGTTTTGGTTTGAATTTCCTACAATGGTTTTTCATTTTCTAAGGGGTGATTTCGGATTTGAATTTTAAGATCGATCAATATATATATTTTTAATCAATAATGAACATCTCAAATCTTTTTTAATCATGAGAGAATTTCTTCATGTAAAATAATTAAGTTTAACAGTGAAAATAATGATGCATACAAACTATTTAAAATAATCAATTTATTATGCATAAAGGGTCTACCAACGTTCTCATAATCATCACCAAAACCATTTATCATTATTACAGTATTAAATAAAGAGTGCCATGATGCTATATTTGGAAATATTGAATCAGAATAAAATTTAGCTGGAAAGCATTTATGATGCCTGCTATCAAATAAATCACCATAAAAATTGTTTTAATCCCATTTTACCTACATCTTTTGAATGTTGTTGTTACCATAGATATGTCATTATCATCATCGCCTCAACCAAAAATGAGCGGTGTAACAATAATTTAACATGTTATGAGTGGTGTAACGATATATGATGATAAAATTATTTCATTTTTTTTTTCACCAATGAACAGAATATATTATATGGCCTCTGTAGTTGTTAAATGTTTTCTTCCCCCACTGTATAAATTATCATGAATAACTCAATTTTCCTCTCATAATCAAAACACAATATAAACTAATTATTTCCGGAAAAAAATATGTAGTAAACTAACAAGACATGAAGACCGAGGAGGGCGCCATCCCATAATTTACTTTTACCGCGCGGTGAATCGGTGATATCAATTTAAATTCCCGCGACCTGTTTAAATCACACACAATCTCTCTCCTCTCTCAATTTCGAATCACTGTTTTGAATTTCTTAACCCGCCAAGTCAATGGTTCCTCCTTCCCTTTAACGGTCTCTCTCCACCCTCCCCCCCCCTACCCCCTCTCTCTCTCTCTCTCACACACACACACACAGTTTTGATTCAAAAGAAGAACAGATTTATCTGAAACTTGTAGCTGGTTGAAGAATGTCGTACCTGCCTTCTCGTGAATCTGACACTAAAAACTCATATTTCTACAGCCGCAAGGAAAAATCTCTCGGCGTTTTGTGCTCCAAGTAATCTCTTTCTCTCTCTCTCTCTCTATATATATATATATATACATTATACGTATTATATGTGTGAATCTTGAAAATCTTTTTTTTTTTTTTTTTTTTTTTCTCTTCTCAACTTATGAATTTATTGATTTTTGTTCAGTTTCTTGAAGTTGTATAATCGAGATGATGTGGACTCGATTGGATTAGATGAAGCGGCAAGTCGATTAGGTTTTGATCTAATCTGTAATCTCCATACATTTTTGTTATATGTGAAGTTCTCAACACTAATCATGTTTATTGGATCTGTTTGATCCTGCAGGTGTTGAGCGGCGCCGAATCTATGATATTGTTAACATATTAGAAAGTGTTGGAGTAAAGTCCTCAGTATTTTATCATCCACTTATTAGGGTTTTTTTTCCCTCTTATAGCCGAATTTTCATGTTAGGGTTCCTAATTTATTTTTTCAGGTTTTAACAAGGAAAGCAAAAAATCAATATTCTTGGAAGGGTTTTAGTGCAATTCCTCCGGTTTTAGATGAGCTTAAGGTACTCGAACTCTTATTGATTTTCTTCCCTCACAAAATTAAGAAATTTGGTGTCAAGATGTTCATGTTTATTTGGATCCATTTATAGGAAGAGGCATTGACAAAGTCCTCCAATTCGAGTTTCTGCAGTTCTCTACATGTATGTTTGCTAGGATCTTTTCTTGTTGATTTTTTACCCTTTGTTTGCTGAGTGCACTAGGAAAATGAAAGAAATCATTTTCATTTTGGTGCTAAATATGAGACTTCCTGATACCGCTAGGCCACTGACCTTTTGGTAACTTGGCAACATTTAAGATTATATAAATTCATTCTGGTGCTAAAATTTAAGATTATATAATTACCTGCTTATTTTCTTCATTTATATTGGCAACCAAATGGATCTTTTTGAAAGTTGCTTTCCTGGTTCCTCTTTTATTTATTTATTATTTTTTATTTATTTATTTATTTTTTCATATAGTTAATATTGGCTTCATTAACTAGGTTGCAAATGAACATGAACATGGAGGCCTTTCGAACTCTAAAATCGATAGGAAAGACAGACCTTTTGTATCCTCTAAAATTGGTAAAATTCTCTTTCCTTTTTCTGTTTTTCATTTGATTTGTAAAATGGATTACTTACTGTTTAGAAAACTTGTATCTACTCTTAACTACGTGTCACATGTAGAACTTAATTGTGGAGGAAATTAGAGTAAAAGATTCACTATTATTATCTTTTTCAATCATTTGGATAATGTAATTGGCTTCAGGTGTTGTTTGTACAGACAGCAGGAAGGAGAAATCTCTGGGACTTCTTGCACAGAATTTCATCAAACTTTTCCTTGGTTTTGATGTAAGCTATATATGCATTTACACTGTTTTTCTAAAGTCTAGATTGTTTTTTTTATTTGATTTAATCCCTTGATGTTTTCCATTAGGTGGATTTGATCTCCCTTGATAATGCTGCGACAGCATTGCTGGGTGATAACCACGGTCCAACAGCCATGAGAAGTAATTGTTCTTATTATCATCTTTTATGCTATGATCTTTTTAGTGGCAATCTAGCACTTAGCAGAATCAAACTCATTGCTTTGACTAACACCCTTTACCTAAAATAATTCTGCAGCAAGAGTCAGACGCCTATATGACATTGCAAATGTCTTTTCTTCCTTGAATCTCATTGAAAAGGTAAACTCATTGCTTTGGCTAACACCCTTTACATAAAATATTGTATTATCATCTTTTGCTCATTAGATTTCTATTGATTGATTGATTTGCAGACGCATCATCCAGAAAGTGGAAAACCGGCATTCAGGTGGTTGGGGATGAAAGAAACCTTCAAGGATGGATCGGCTACTGATTTGGATTTGCCCAAGTCTAAAAGGAGAGCTTTTGGGACAGAGATAACAAACACGAACTCAAAGAGATCCAAGGCTGATTTTTCACTTGATAAGAATTCAGACCAAAAGCCAAACATGACTATGCCAATGAATATGAAGCTTAACAATTTGGAAAATAAGCTTGAGAGTAACTCATTGGAGCATCATATGAAACACACTTCCAAGGATTTCATATTTGGACCTTTTACCCCTGCAAGTATGCCCAAAGTAGAAAATTCTGAAAACGAAAGTGTCAGGCGGCTTCAAAACTGGGAGAACTTGGCTTCTTATCATCCTCAGTATCACAACCCAGGTAACTTCTGTTAATTCCGTATTAGCAATATTCTCAATGACCTTTCTGGGTTGTACTTAGCATATAATGCAGCGTTGCAAATTGTACCAGCATTTCATGGGGTTGATTAAGTATGAATTTATCAGAACTGCTCCTTTAAGCTTTTGACTTGTTTTGGAAAATCACTTTAAATGGTGAGCAATGCTGGAACATCCTGAGACGAAGTTAATGACTGAAAATGATAACATTTGACCTTGAGCTTAATGCTGTTTTCATAAGAACATCGTGAGCTCTATTTTTTTTGTGGTTCGTCTCTTTCAAATCAGCAATCAGCATGTCTACTACTCCATCCTGTGCCCCTAGGATTTATGAAGTTCCCCAAATATCTCAGCACAGTGTTTTAGATTGTCATTTGGTCATCACTGCCTCTTGTTGTCCATGTTCTCTTCGATCCCACCATTTTAGCATTTTTAGTTGCCCAGAGATGTGGTGTATTCTCAGTAGTAATAAAAAATTTGCACTGAATTGGTGCTTTATATCCTCCTTGGTTATATTTCTTTCTTTTTTGCATTCATTTGTAAGCTTCATTGGTTGATGCCCGTGCTGGAATTTGTTAATGGTTGGCAGTTCTAGATGGCCTTTTTGCTCATTATGTCGAGGCATGGAAGTCATGGTTTGTTGAAGCAGCAGAGAATAAACAACCACAAGTATCCTGAATCATAATCAAGTACACACATTTGACAAAGAAATGCAACACACACCCCCTCATTTTTCAGTTCACGAAGATTTGTGGTTTTGAGTTGGATGTATTTTCTTGATGCAACAACTTAAATGGTCAGTATCCAATGGCTGTGTTGGATACATTTTTCTTGATGCAGCAACTTAAATAGTCAGTGTCTAATGGCTTTGTGTTGGATATATTTTCTTGATGCAGCAACTTAAATAATCAGTATCCGGCTTTCTGTTGGACGCATTTTGCAACAACTTAATCAGTGTCTAATGGCTTTGTGTAGGATGTATTTTCTTGATGCAATGACCTAAATAACCCGTGTTCATTTTTTATTTATTTATTTTTTTAAAAAAAAATTTGACATCAAAGTACTAACTTTTGGTTTCCAAGTCCATGGTTCTGAGATTGATTTCTTAGCTTCGGTTTCTGAACATGCAATTATTACTTCAATTTTAAAGTGATTTTCTATTTACCGTGTTGGATTCATATTTGAGAGAAAAAAAAAGGCTCATATTTGACAGATTTTGCAGCATTTTGTCTTGTTATTAAAATAGAAAGTTTGAAGATCCAAGCTCTTTGGAAAGAGTTTCAACATTTACAGAGAAAGAACTTTTAAGTGTGCATTTCCTAGGAATGAATAAATCTTGTGTTCCAACTGCAGCTGAGGGGATGCAGTACAGTTCTTGCTGTAAAATTTAATGTTGCTCTGTTTGTTTGAGCGTAAAATATTTTTTGAAAAATATATATTTTTGTTTTCTAGTGTTTGGTTGTTGTAAATATTTGTTAAAGAAAAAAAATTAAAACATAGCAAAAATAACTTATTCATCAAATTTCGGCAAGTTATTTTACATGTTCTATCCGATGAACTTGAAATCAATTTTGACTTAGATTTTTATCAAACACCTAAAATTTAAAATAAAAATATATATTTTACTTGAAAAAGAAAACATATTTCAAGAAACAATACAGAACCTGACATTATTTTTTTTTTTTCAACAAAAAAAAGGGAGACACTCCACTTTTTTACACACGTACTCCACTTATCTTTTATTCCTATATAAAATGACAAGAAAGTCTCTAAACTCATTTGCATTATTACTTATTTTATAATACCATAATTATCATTCTTTACTTCATTTAATACCTTAAATTATAATTTATTTTTACCTTCTTAACTTCCTTTAATATATATACTCTATATATTTTCTCCTCTTGTTAGGTCCCCCATCAAATGAGAGAATTTATTCCACAGAGATGACCCCTTTTTTTTTTTTTTTTGGGTAGTTATATTGGATTATATCAAAAGGTTAATTTATTCAATAGATAAAACTCTTTTTTGGGTCCTTCTATTATTATTATTATTATTTTGTGTATATAATAAGTTATTCAATTGAGATAACAATATTTTTTGGATTTTTATTTTTGGGTCATGTGACTCGTGTCAAAGATATAATTTATTGAGCAATGCTCGGTTCCTGCACCATGACGTGGCCTTATGAAAACTTGACACCTGTCCAAAACATAAAAATGGATAATTCTTGATCAAATTTGGATTACAGGTATAATCCATCTGAAACTCATTTTCTCTCTCCTTCAGTCCTTTTTTTTTTTCCAAGAAAGTCTCCTTCAGTCCTTTCATCTTCGCCAGTCACCGTTCCGAATCATCCATTCCACCGGCCGAGTTCGGCCCACCTTGCCGCAAGTCAGCCGCAGTTCATCCACAGCCGAGCTTCTCCTTGCCCGCCGGCGCCGCGTCAAAAACCCATTGCCATTCAATCTCGCCAAGCACCGCTGCAAGCCCACTACCATCTTCATCCTCGCCGGTCTGCCATCGCCACCGCCAGTCAGATTATTCACGGCCGAGCTCTTCACATCCCAGCTGTCCTCAGCCGAGCCGGTCAGATTATAACTTTTTTTTTTAAAGGAAGGGGATATTTTATTTTTCCAACGGTATCTTCTTAGGCGCGTGATTTCCCAAAACTTGAATTGTGATAGAGATAAGAGCAAATTTATCTTGTCATATTACGAGTAATATTCTGTCCGACCTACATTGCTAAATTGTCCGGCAATGCTACGTCATTGCCTCGTTCCTTCCTCTCTCTGTATATTTATCTGTATCTCTCTGTATTTTTTTTCCCTCTTTATTTCTGGCTCTGTCAATCTCTATCTATATCTCTAATCTTTCCACAAAATTAATTTAATGCTCCAAACAATATCAAATCGAATGAATTTGATCTTTTTACTGAAGATACATGATAAGATTAGAAGAGATTGCAAAGAAGAGAGAAGAGACCTAAATCTTAGACTTTGGGAGTTTTGGTTGAAACCTATCAAGACGTCCCCAAATTCCCTAGAAATTTTGAATAATCAAAAAGGAACAGAGTAATCTAAGAATTGGCATCTGACTGTGTATGTGTATATTATAGTATTATTTTTGCCCTAACCTTGCTCTTGTATCTTAGATACAGTTTTATCAGCTTCACAAATACCATCCCTAGAGCGATCTCTTTCAACATGGTTACTGATTTAGAAAATCAAATTTTACCTGAGAATGGTGGGTAATAGAAACCAAAGACAAAATACAAAGACAATAGAGGAGAGAGAATGAAAGAAAGCGGATTCATTTTTTAATTTCTTTAGCCTAAGTGGCTGTGCCACATCCGATTCGGACAAATATATATATATATATATATTCCGGCATTTGTGTCTGAACATCATTATTCTTATCTTATTTTTATCTATCCTGAAAGACTCATAATCTATTCATAAGCACATAGGCCACGTGTATTTTAAAACTCCGAACAAATAGACTCATAATCTATTCATAAGCACGCACATAGAGCACCGGCACAAAGTTTTTTATTGGCATTTGATCTCGAGACATTTTGTTACCAAAAACACTGAATATGGTCGAAGAAATCATTGATGCATGTTGACACCATATCAATCTTCATCACCACCAAATTTTAGACAAATAATTCAATGCATCTTTACCTTGTGCTTGAACTAGTAAAACAACCAATTTTTAATTTCCTTTTTTCTTTTAGTTTCGTTTCCGGAGATTAGTTCTTCTGTAGCTTACAAGGTTCCATCAGAACAAGGACAACATAACAGCAAGTGGAGGACAAAGATAGCAGTTGAACCAAATAATTTAAAATATAGTGCGAGAACAATACACGTACATGTTTAAACTATAAAGTCTAAACATACATTATTAAGCATGGATGAAACCATCATCCAATCACCGCTTAGTTTCAAGTTTAAGCACAATTAAAAGTAAAGTCACACTTCCAATCAATCAAAATCATTCACCTTGCTAACAATGATGAGAAATCCAGACAATCAAGTGAGGTGTTTGTTGTAATGAAACTTTCATTTTGGGTCGGTAAAAAAGCTGTTGATGGATGGCATGATCTCCGGAGCCCTACCGCGAACAAACTTCCGTAGAGAGTGCTCAGCGTACTTCTCCCCTTCTGTATAGTTCTCCAGCACTCCTGCAGCCCTGTGTTCCTTGTTCACCCTTAATTTTGCAAATAGATAAAAATTGTCAGTAATGGCCATTGTTCATCTGAATCATGTGCATTGCACTTCATGCAACCAGCTTCATATTTCTCCTTGCACTAAAAGGAGATTTTTATGTGGGAGAAATGTTATAACAAACAAATTGCTTCGTGAGATTTACCCATTAAGAAAATGACATTGACAATTTTTCACGTAACGCAAATTTATTGAAGAGCTTTCAATGAAACAGTTGCCATGCAAACCAAAAGTTGTAACCTAGTTGTATCTCCTCCACCTCCCAAAGTGAGAGGTAAGGGTTAAATGGGGTTGTAGAAAAATAAACATTGGCTTTGCAATAATAGAATGCTAAGGCACTTGATTTGTGTAAATAGTGGTTAAACAAAGGATGGGAAAAAGGAGTGAGGTTCTGCATTCCAAGTCTTGCAATCGGGGCAAGATTATCCAATAGAGTTAGAATTCTATCCCACACCACCCAATAAACATAAGATAAATAAGAAAGAACCCAAATCTAGAGCTTTTAAGAGAGAAATTATCCAACAATCTGAAATTTAAATAATGGGAGTATATTAGGGGCCGGGCATACCACATGTAATGACTAATGATTTCCATTTTGACAAAAAACCCATCCCCAAGTTTCATATCTTTTGGTCCGTATCCCGATCATGATTCCCCTACTACCCCAATCGAGAAATACCTATATTTTAAAATAAATTTAGTAATATACTGAAATTTTTTAATACCGCCACAACTAACATCACAAAACCTGCTAGCAACGTCTCATCACTACAATCGTTATACAATGGCACAATACCATTATCTCTAACACCATCAACTCACACCGCAACTGTTACTGCTATTGACATCAACATGTCCTCCATATATCTTTAGTCCCTGTCAACCATGTCATTGTAGTTGTTATCGCAGTTATGCTCACAACATTACCACCACCAACACAACCTGCTGCATCCCAGATAAACCTCCCTCATCCCCTTCACCATCATCAACTAAACACTCCCGCTATCAATATCACCACCACCACCGCAACTCAATCAATGGTACCTACCTCTAGCAACTTACAGAAAGAACAACCACAACATCCATCCACAAGCAATAAAAACTAAATAAATCCACTAGACACCATTTTTTGAACACCTTCAAAAGTCCCATGTCACCAATGAGCTGCCACTACACAAGGAACAGAGACATCTGAAAATTCTGCACAGGAGGGCCAGGAAATATCTAATGAGAATGACAATCTGCGCTGGGGACTGAGTGGTTCTACAAATATAAACAATCATAAAGCTGGCTTTTCAGCAATTGGCAGAGCTTGTGCTTTACAATGTAGATTCTGAGATCAAATGTAAGACCAATTGCATAAACTTTTTTAACTCATATATATATATATATATATATATATATATATATATATATCATGGCTTTTAATTGAAATAGAAGATGAAGAAATTGAATTAGAAAAATGATTTGGAATCCAATTTTGAATTGGTTACAATTTAACTTGAAAACTCCATAGATTTATGGAAACGGTTACTATTTATGAATCTGATAAAAATAAATAAAAAAAAAAAAGGAGATAAAATTAGGGGATATTAAGTTATGAACTTATGGCTTGTTATCCAAGAACTTATTCAAATACTACTGAAAGTAACATAGGAGTATTCAGGGAAAAAAAAAAAAAAAAAGTAACATAGGAGTTTGTCCTAAGGTATTTGACCATTTTTTTTTTTTTTAACTAAATTTTATAATATCCTAATAAATGTTAAACACCTAATTGCCTCAATTTAATGGTACAGAATGGCATATTAAGTAAAGCAACAGATCCTGTCCATAAAGAACAAACACTCGAGATTAAAAAGCAGGTAATCTGTTTCCAAATATATATTCACACACATAAGCATATATATAGATTTAAAAAGAAATAGATAATATGTACATAAATAAATAAGTGAAGGATAAAGAAGGAAAGGAAGAAGATGGACCTGACTTCAGGGTTGATGCAGATGTGGCGCACCAATGAAAATCCGCAAATCCCAATAGCGACTCCTATGGACGCAAACAGAGGATAAACCTACACGTACGCTTACAAACATCAGATCCGAAACTTCTCCGACAAATATATCAGATCGTTATATCACATATATGTCTAACCATATATCTTTGTTACTTCGGACATACATACACTTATATACATATACACATATACACACACACACACATATATATATAGAAAGAGAGAAGTGAAAGATAATCGGAGATCTAGGTAGATTAAATTACGTACCTCGGGTCTCAACCATCGATTGACAGCCATGGGAGCTAAAATCGGAGAAACAGAAAGCACACAGCCAAGGGATTTGACGAGATGAGCTATCGGGATTGAAGATGACCCTACCCACCCTTCACCATTTCTGACGCTTTTATTTTTTTCAGAGGATCACTCTTTGCCATAATTTACAAAATCATCCCTTAACTTTAGAATACTACATTCATCACCCTTCACTAACTTTTGGGTAAACTACATCACCCTTCACTAACTTTGGGTCGGACAAAATTACGTGTAAGTATGAGTGAAAAAATTAGATATACGTAAATGAGAAGAGAAATATTTGTTGTAATAGAAGAGGTAAAACACGGACGGTTTCCAAAAATTTAATTGCGTTGGTTGCATCAGTGATGTGATATTATTAATTGGTTAGATACTTATATGTAGTGATATGATTCACTAAAATAAAGTATTTTTATTTATGTAGTACGATATAATTGATTAATGACATAAATAAAGAAATATTTAAAATGCTTGTATGACATGATATAATTGATTAACCAGAGAAGTCTTTCTTAAAGAAAAATTAGTTGTAATAGAAAATAAGAGAAAAGAGGACAATAAATATATAAAATTAAATTAAATGAAATTTTAAAATAAAAAATTTCTGACTAAGACTATGAAAGTTTTCTGTCATAAGATAAAGAGAAAAGTACAAAAAAATCCCACTGTACTACTGCAAAACTTGTAACTAACTCCCTAAACTATTAAAACTGCATAAAACTCTCTGAACTATACAAATTTGTTACAGATCACTCAATCCAGCGACTGGCCATCCAAAAAAGAGCGCATGAGAATCACGCGATAGACAAATTAAAATTTTTGGACAATAATGCCCTTCCACCATTTGCGACTTCCCCTCCTCCACCTCAACCCTGTTGCCTCTACACCACCGCCACCCATCTCTGCAAACCCATAACCACAACCACCACCCATCACCCCATTCCAAATCCGTAACCAAATAACACATCAAACCCATAACCACCGGTCCACCACCACCACCTTCAACCAAAACCATCATCGCTCTCCACCCAAAACCTCTACAGTTACCATTATGCCCAACCTCATCTGTCGCTGCTCTACCCATGATATTATGAATCATTCGGCGATCGCTTCTTAGCTCGCTTCCGAGTTCTTAACCCGGTTCGATCTGTAAATCTAAGAATCTGTCTCGTCGGATCTCCAAAACCCAGTCATCTCCCTCTTCGCAGAGCTCATCATAGCCACAGTCGAACCAGTTGTCTCCGCTGGATCTGCCGCCGCCCGGATTTGTCTCGCCGGCGCCATCAACATTATCACAGCCATCTTCACTCTCCATCTCCAAGCTCTTCGCTACCGCTACTCCACCGCCGAGCCGAGCTCTTCACTGCCGAATTGGAGTTGTCATTTCTCCCGCCAATCCACTCGCTACCGAGTGCCACGAATCCTCCTCCAGTCGCCTTTCACCGGTTCTCTCAAACTCAGATCATCAGTATATATATAGTTCTCACTACCGATTCAGTCCACTGAGCTCGATTGTGGCCGACGAGTAAGGAGGCTTCGGATAGCGGTCGATGAGCAAAAGAAGCTCGGCTGGCACAGCGGTGGGTGATGGGATTCGAACAGTGACCAAAGCTTCACAGCTTCGGCTCTGATCCTCATGTCAACGTCGGTGAAGCGAGTGGCGACCCAGGAGGAACATGGGCTCGTATGCCTTGTAGCGGAGGATCTCCAGCTCCACCAGCTCGATGGGGCATCAACTCTCTCTCTCTCTCTCCCCCTCCTTATCTGTAGAAAAATGAGGGCCAAAGATAGGCGGCAATGGTTAATTGAGGGTAATGTTGTCTTTTGACTTTTTCGGTACCCTATTGATAGTTCAAGGAGGTTAAATACAACAATTTGTTAGTTTAAGAGGGGTTTTATGTAATTCAAGCAGGTCAGTTGCAAAATCCCAATAGTACAGAACGATTTTTTGCACTTTTCCCTAACATAAATTGATTATCAAATGACCCATCCGATCAACTATATTTTCAGTGTCTAATTGTACATCAAAGTATAAATTTTTTCCGTCATTGAAACTCACATGCCCATGTATCTTAATTCATTTCCTTAAAAATCTGGCATTTTTTCTTTCTCTTTCTAATATCCCATATTATGGTGGCATGCAAACTCAATAATGCAAAAATCACAAAATTCCCATAAACCATCACTCAATAAATTTTATCTGAAAAACAGTTTTTGTGTTTTTATTTTCGGTACAACATGAATTGAGGCCTAGCTGAATGATAATAAGAGAATAGGAAATGTATATATAAATTATATATAATTATTTTTGTTTTGACATATAATTCAGATATTTATGTACTTTATTATCTTTGGCAGGTGAAAAATTACCTAAATTCAAGGGTATAAAATATTATTTGAATCAAGCTGGGTTAAAATTAAATTCATATATAAATTCTGATTCCAGATTTAATCCAAATTTAATGGCTAATACTTCAATTTGAGTGTGCTTTACGCTACTAACTGTAACAACTCAATTCTAATCCAAATACTTATCTGCCACCCACCACTGGCAACACACTGTTTATTAAATATGAGTGGTTGCGTTTAATTTGCACCAGTACTGTTCAATACTCCCAATAGTCAATTCTCTCGAATCCAGTAACGGATTTCCGATGGCGGGCGAATCCAGTAACGGATTTCCGATGGCGGGCCAATCCGTAATTTAGTCCAACAGGAAGGACGTTTTTGTTAAAGAGAACTTTGCAAAACCAACCAAATGACAACAAAATCGGTGGCCCGACATTGAAGCTAAGAAAGAATCAGAGACGGCGTGTGAGGGCTTGAGACACATATATAGAGAGAGAAACAGATATAGAGAGAGAGAGCCACACAAAAGCTTGAGATAGCTCCCGAGCTCAAGCTTTTTATGGCGTCAGCTGCTAGGGCTTTCTTGCTTTCTCGCTTCACCGATCTCTCACTCAAGCCTCTCCTACCATCGCCACCACCTCCCTTTTCCCACCACCTCCTCGTCCGGCCGTCTTTTCCTTCCATCGCCATCAAGAGGCGTCCCTCCGCCGTTGTCGCCTGCCTCGTGTCCGGCGTCGACGGCGGCGGAGTCTCCGACGACTTTGTCTCCACCAGGAAGTCCGGTTTCGATCGAGGATTCTCGGTGATTGCCAATATGCTTAAGAAAATCGAACCCTTGGACAATTCCGTTATTTCCAAGGGGGTTTCTGATTCCGCCAAGGACTCTATGAAGCAGACCATATCAACAATGCTAGGGTTGCTCCCATCGGATCAATTCTCCGTCACGGTTAGGGTTTCGAAATACCCTCTCAATCGCCTCCTCGTATCTTCCATAATCACCGGGTAATCAAATCTGTTGATTCATTATATGCACGTATAGTCATACATATACATATATATGTGTGCGCGCTGTGCTTTATGTACTTGAACTTGACTTTTAATTTGATTGTTATATTATATTAGGTATACACTTTGGAATGCAGAGTATCGGATTTCATTGATGAGGAATTTTGATATGTCGCCAGACAATTCAGAAAAGTCTGATTTGTCAGAGGAGAACGATGTTTTAGAAGTGAAGCTTGAGGAGTGTGAGGGTGGGGGTGGCAATATTGGTCCTGATGGGTGTTTTGAGGATGTGGAAAGAATGAACCTTCGAAGTCTTGGGAATTTATCTCCAGAGGCTCTGAACTACATTCACCAGTTGGAATTGAAGCTATCTACAGCTAAGAAGGTAACAGTTTGTTCTCTTTCTCTTTCTTTCTGTCACACAAATTAATGATGTATTTGGACTAGTTATGAAACTGGATTCCGGGATTATAAATTGGAAAAGGAATTTTGAGAGTGAAAACTCAATTTAAACTTGAAAAGTTCTTTATTTGGTCACAATACTTGCATGATTTTGGAGAAGAAAGGGATTAATTACGTAGATCAAACAGTAATTTACACATTATCAAGGAAGCATTAGATTTCAACAAGCTTTATGTTAGGAAGGTCATTCAAATTTATTTATTTTTTTGATGGATTGATTGAGCATTGACACTCCTGACTGTTTATAGGAACATAATTGATTTGAAGGCTCTCTATTACTGTGTCAAACCAATATATCTTATAGATATAGATGGCATGATTAAAGGCGAGGCTGCTACTTCAGTCAAACTTTGCTGGTTATTAATTAAAAGGGATGCCCTTGCAATTAAATGAAATTTAGTGATGTCTAAAATCATATTTAAATGAGCATTTTGTGATCATTTTTCTGAATGTAACTTTTAACCATGAAGAAGAAGAACCATGAATTTTAAGTTACATTTCTGGTAGGACTAGCTATGATAACAGTTTCAATTTAACTATGCTTTAAACTTGATAAAGAATTACTGGTTAGAAACCTTTGGATGTATACAGCTTTAACTAGTGAGGCATTTCTCTTTGATAATGTGTAAATTGTTCAACAAAACAGAATAAGAAAATTGTGGCCATGTAGGTTTCTTCTAGATCTTCATCCCCTCTTTGTACAGTGGTTAATTAGAAATTAAGTACTTAAACTATTAAGGAGTCACCTGATTAATTAAGGTGACATCTACTCTATTGGGGTGTACCAGAGACCAGGGATCACTTCCTGCCTTAACAAGTTCCACCTGGGGCCCATGTGGCAGAAGGGGGAGGAGGGTTTGATGATTGTGGTTGATTGGGCATGGGTGTACGGGGGAGGGGTTTTGACCTGACAGAAAAAAAATGAATTAATCTTGTTCTTGGTACAATGTCCATATATTATTTTTTTCGAGAAGTCTTGGTACAATGTCCATGTCATATGTGGCCGGGAAGAGTAAGAGGTAATTGAGGATTCAGGCTGACAATTAAAAGAAGGCAGGTTTGTTATTGCAACCTGCAAACCTTATCAACTAATTTGAGAACATGAACATCGACATGAGGTGTCCAGCATGTGCCTGAGCTACAAGCCTGTCGAATTGGTGTCTGCCTCCACTAATGAAGCTGAAATTGGAGTGTCATCTCTGCATCGACATCGAATCTGAAACATGGGCACTTTTATGTGGCTGCTCAGTAGGGTAATTACTTCTTGCTACCACGATAAAACCTGTATATTAAATCAAAGCAGAATTCATTGATGCAGTCCGGTTTGGAATCTGATAATTAAAAGAATTTTTTAACCTGAATAACACATGGATCAAGGCCAAAAACTTATGAAATATGATTTTGAGCAGATTCCTACAAATTTCTGTATTACTGAAATGTCATGATCTTGGCCCAAAGCCAAGATCTGATTATCAGAAAGAGGAGAAATAAAAGGAACTTTGTACATTTGAATTTTTCTCTTTCAAAAGAGCCTTCTTTAGAATAAACATTATGAGATATATTGGATGGCTAATAAGGTTAGTTCATGTTGGCTTAGGTAAATAAGTATACATGTAGATTACAGGCAGCCACATTAATAACAAAAATTTATATAATGTGTTTTATCTTAATTCTTAATTCTTAAATCTTTTTTTTTTTGATAAGTAATATTATATTGAAAGAGCTCAAAAGGGGAGCGGAAACCCAAGAAACACAAGGGCCAAAGGCACCTCAAACCTTCAAAGAGGCCAAAAAAACAAATATCTCCTCTAAAGATCTAGAATCTCTCCTTGAGACTCAACAAAAAAGAATGGAAATAATAGAGAACTTAAGCATAGAAACAGGTTTCTCCTTTCCATTAAAATATCTCCGATTCCTCTCAAGCCAAATGCACCACCAAATATAAAGAGGCGTAGCCCTCCAAGCGTCCCGCACGAGAGCCCCAACAGAAACACCTCTCCAAGCCTCAATCAACCCTTTAGAGGAAAGCGGCATAACCCACTGGACCCCAAATAAACCAAGCATCAAAGCCCAACAGTCTCTGGCCATGCTACAATGAAGAAGAAGGTGATCAACTGTCTCCTCATCACACAAGCACAAATAGCAACGATTGACAACCACCCGATTCCTCCTCTCAAATTATCCTGGGTTAAAATCTTACCCAGAACAGAAGTCCAAGCAAAGAAGGCAACCTTAAAGGGAGCCTTGGAACGCCAAATAGACTTCTAGGGGAAAAGGTCACCATCACCGACCGAAAGGCACCTAAAAAAGGACCTAACCTTAAAACGACCCTGAGAATTCGGATCCCACTACCAACAATCCGAATCCTCAGCTGTGATCACCTGACGATACAAAACTTCCAAAAAACGAGAAACCTCCTCAATCTCCCAGTCCTGAAAGTGTCTTCTAAACTGAACATCCCAAGTCAATCTCTAGTTATCAAGGTGATAACAGTCAACCACCATGGTCTGTTTGTGAGAAGCAATGCCATAAAGCCGAGGAAAAGTAAGAGTAAGGGGAAGCTCCCCACACCAAAGATCCTTCCAAACTCTGACCTCCTATCATCCTTAATCCGAAAACGAATGAACTTGCAGAAAACATCCCACCCCCTCTGAATGAAAGTCCAAACCCCCACCCCCTTAGGTCCACACACCTCAAGAGAGCTCCAACGACCACTATTCTTCCCAAACTTACTCACGATAACTCTCCTCCAAAGCCAATGCCTTTCAATCCCAAACCTCCAAAGCCATTTCCCTAGGAGAGCCTTATTGAAAGGCAACAACCTCCTTAACCCTAAGCCTCTATAACGAATTGGACGGCACACTCGATTCCACCGAACCAAATGATACTTGAACTCCTCCCCCCCCAAACATAGAAAGTTGCGTTGCAATCTCTCAGCAACTGAAGAAGGAATCTGAAAAAGAGAGATAAAATAAGTGGGAAGGCTAGAAAGGGTGCTCTTAATCAGCATGACCCTGCCCCCCTTTGAGAGGTATTGTTTTTTCCACCTTGGCAACCTTCTTTCAAATCTATCCACCACAGGATCCCAGCTCCCCACACATCTTGAAGGGGCTCCCAAAGGCAACCCTAAGTAAGAAATTGGAAAAGAGCCAGTGCGACAGCCAAAAATCTGAGCAAACATCTCATTTGGGACGCATCAGCAAACATCTCAATTCTTAAATCTAAATGAAACAAAGAACTACATGGCTCCTAAAAGTTAACAAAAGTTGGCAAGTCAAACACGAACACGGTACGATTAATTAGCGCGTCAATTTGGGTCGATATGATTATTTTGTGTCGTGTTAGCGTGTCTTGTCAAATATTACCACCCCTTGAATAAAGTTAAGATCCTGGACAGTATAGAAAAACAATTATATCAATACATCATACAAATTTCATAAGAAAAACATAAATGAAGCACAGTAATGAAAACATAAATATAAATTCGCAATTTAGATTTGCAATCTCCCTCTTAATTGCAAACTTCCCTTGTACATAAACCATATGATTAATTCTCCCCTATTTTGTCACAAAATTGACAAAATAAGTAAAGCAAGACTATTCATACCAATTTCATGTAATCTATGCAAATAAATAAAATTTCTCTCTTAAAACACTAAGACAAATATTCATAATTTGGAGAGGAGAGGATTAAGTTTTTGAAGGTATCAAGTGTAACTTAACCAAATAAAATCTTTACGCAATTTTTAACATTATGTAATTTTTTTTATAGAATTTTTTAGTTAATCATTTCAGTCTTTCCAATTTGATTATTTGTCAAATCACAAAACATTTTATGATTAACATGTAAGAATCTACAATTTTTCTTAGAAATTGACCAAACAATATTGTCAATCTAAAAGATTCCATCTAACGATTTTATTCATTTATTAACTGTTAGTAAATTATTCGAAGTCACCAATGGGAATTAGCCCAGATGGTATGACCTCTCCCTCCAAAGTGGAGGTTGAGTGTTCAAGCCTTGGTAGGGGCAATATTGTGGGTGTGCATTTCCTTAACTTTTTCAAAAAGAAAAGTCAACGTCCAAGTGTGGTGTGTGTTCTAAATACCAACATATACAAACACAATCTAATTTGTGTACAAAATTTATGAAATCAATTCTCAAATGTTCAGTGATGCACGAATACAAATTATAAAATTTAAACAAGCTCATATAATGTCTATTCTCATTAATTTCCATGGCGGCTTTCGCCCTTGTGGGTAACCAGCTTTTTCCTTTTACACAAATTTTTTTCTTTATCATTCTTCTTGTACTTCTTCTTCTTTTATGTAACATGTCTAGGTAGTTTTGGATTGATCCCGTCGGTAGCCTTATTGATGATACTTTGCAAACTGTGGTATGATCTTTTGCCATGCATATTCACTTTGATTCTCAAATCTAATATTCACTCATCAAGTTCACATCTCATATTATGAGTACAAATCCCAACGTTTGCTCTGAGCTCTACTGGGTGGTGGTTTCCTGAGCTACTATCTCACTTTAAACCTTCTAATTTGACTAGTCAATTGAGCGGGCTGGCTATTAGAGCTTCCCTAAAGCGCAAGTCTCATATGAACTCATCACTAAAAGATACTAAATAAACAAACTAATCATCAAGATTCTTTTATCAAGACAGACTATTCAATCATCCCCATTCATATGGGATAAAGGCAAGGATGATGATGATTATGAAGAAACTATTCAATCAAATCCTTAATAGATTATGTGTGTCCCATGCGTTAATTCAAAAGCAATTTTATTGTTCAACAATAATCTCTTTCGAAATAAGGCCTGAATTTAAAGAAAAGAAACATGAATAAAATATTAATAAACTAAACTAGTTTCAAATCTTAGGTATTTATGAATTTATAATTTCTTCTGAATGTTGACTTTATCAAATCCGGTAAATAATATCTCCAGGCTGATAGTTTTATATCTCGTGTCTTGGCTTAGTGTTTTTTCAATAAGTCTTAGCATGCCGCTTTTACAGTAGTAACATATAAATGATGCAATCTTGAATCCTAACGGCCTTAGACAGCTTTCTTTCCTGGTGTCCCCATGGATGGGCAAAATGATAGAGCTTGATTGAAATCTATTCGATGAGATTGCGAATTGTAGGGTTCCGCCATCTAGATATTCACTTCAAGTATAGTCTTTAACATGTCCTTCAAATCAACGCCCAGTGGCAAACATGATTAACTTTATTTGATTGGCTCACTGCATTCACTGGGAGCTTAAATGGCTTGCTTTCTTAAATAAAATTCTTCAGCTCACCTGCAACGAGTCAGCCTTAACATCTGAAATTTATGTGTTTCTATTGCACGTTCTCCTAGAATTGGACATGTGTAAGTCAACATTACCGTGATTGTTCAGTATCATGCTACTCTGGTACCTTCCTTGTAGGAATGACAATAAGTTAATAATTTCTCTTTTTAGTGTGTCAACTAGGTAATGTTTGATACTTGCCAACTTTATTTCTCTGATTTTTAAAGGCTGTAGCTGGAGATCTTCGGCTTCAACATGATCTGTATATATGGTGTTGCAGGAACTGAGCACCCAGAAGCAGGAAAATGTACGAATGGAATATGTTAGAGAAAGTAACAATGATTTGTTGGAGTATTTACGGTCATTGGAATCTGATATGGTAATGAGCTTATCATTTTCACACAAAGTGAAAGTGTCTCTGTGTATTTCTTAGCACATGTATTTTGTTTCAACAGGTTACCGAACTATCTAGACCATCATCATTGGAGGTGGAGGAAACTATTCACCAACTCGTTCAAAACATATTGAAAAGATTCTTTAAAGATGATTCTGCCTCTGAGTTTATTGGAGATTCAGCTAAAGGAAGTACAGAGAACTACCAAAATGGTGGTGATGAATTTTGCGATACAATAGGCACGTCAAGGGACTACCTTGCGAAGCTGCTTTTCTGGTTAGTTTCTTATCAAACTTTCTTTATTGTTGATGCTTTTGCTTTTATCCATTCTCAGTTATAGCTAGTACATTAGATAATTTTGAACCAACCCACAATCTCAGCCATTTCTAACAAATATAGACGGAAAATAATTCTTTCAATCTTAGGTCATACCTAATTAAAATATCCGTCAATATCTTCAAGGAATTCCAATGTCACAGCTGTTTCATCCTTAATACTCCATCAATGTCTTTGAGGAATTCCAATTTTACTGCTGTTTCATCCTTAATACTCCATCAATGTCTTTGAGGAATTCCAATTTTACTGCTGTTTAATCATGTTGTTTTTCCTTATATATCAAATCATTTTTCATCTGGACTGCAAAATTAAGATTCCTTTTTGGTAACAGGTGTATGTTATTGGGTCATCACTTAAGAGGCTTGGAGAACAGATTGCATCTAACTTGTGCTGTTGGCTTGCTGTAAGTGAAAAGAGTAGAAAAGGACATGTATATTCTTTCCTTTTTTTTTTTTTTTTTTGTTGAATAAAGGTTCTTATCAATTTTCTTTTTGTCTATATTATTTAATTTATCAAGGGAAACCTTATGTGTCATTATCACGATTTGTTTTTCGCTTTTCATTGAATTATTCTTCCATCTAGTGAATATCTACAGGGTATGGTGTGAATACAAGACAGAACTCCTCTCCCTTCTATTGTGGTGGTAACTAATACAAGGATACTAGGGTAAAAAATAGTAATGCATAGCCCCATAGGCATCTTTTTTAGAGTAAAAGGTCCTTCTAGTTAACCCTGCCAACCGGGTATAGTTAAAGTGACTGCTTGAACTTGATTTTGCAAGATGGTCTTTGCATGGTCGCTTTCCTTGTCCACATGAAGGGCTTGCAGCTTCCATAATTACTGTAGCAGTTCGACCTTGTAAAGAAATCTCTAGTTGGAAAATCTTAGTTGTATAAACCGAGCTTATAAGAAATAATAGTAAACTTGCTAGGTTCTGTTTATCGTGGTATTGCAAATTGATTCGAATTGATGAATCAATTTGTGCATGGTGCCATTGCTTTCCTGCTAGAGTTTTAAGGATTTTGATGTACTTTTCATCTTCTTTCCCACTCTAGTCTCGGATGGATAGTTGTAACAAGTGGGTGCTTGTCCATTTACCTAATAACTTGAACGGTTGGGTAGTGCTGTATACCCACCCATTTATACCCAATCACTTTTTCATTCGGATTCGATGTAGGACAAATGACTTTTGTTACATTCTCAACCACCCAAACCCGCAATGCTCTCGTTTCGGATCGGGCCAGCCGCCATCCTCCCTACCCAGACGGCAAACCCGGACGCCATCCGAGTCGGGTGCTTGGGTCCATTTATCCAAAAGCTGCTGGATAGTGATGCATACCCACCCATTATACCCAATCACTTTCCCATCCGGATCCGATGTGGGATAAATGACCCTTGTTACAGTTGTCTTCTAAGTTGGCTACCTTATAGGAGGAAACAATTCGGAACCCTTTAAGATGGGGGTCAATAAATTGGCTCACTATTATCTCTTTCTCGGATAGGTCGAGTGCGCCTTTTATGTGTTATTGATGAAGAGCAGTTATGTTTTGTTTGGTTAGTGTGAAATATTATTTTCCATTGATGGAATAATCTGGTGTCGGTTGTCATGTTTTGCTAGTTTTGGGTAATAATAGATAAAACAGTGAATGGATCGCCCATATTACCATACATGAAACAATTAATGGATCGTCAAATGGAGCTTATGTTAGTTTGATGACAAGGAAAATATGTTAATTGCACATTGCATTGCTGTGCCCTCATGAAAAGGAAAGTATGGGTTAAAAATAGGGTATTTATTGTGGTCAGTCTCATTTTCATTCACTGTCAGAATCCATTACTGATGGTGGTCAAAAAGCTTAATAATGTCGTCATTGCACTTCACAGCCCCTCACCAATGGCCTTTTTCTTTTTTTTTTTTTCTGCAATTTTTATAGAACAAAACTGATGCTCAGAACAAGAGGGATATATTACAATGGAGAGATACGTCTTCTGCATTAGACGGAGTGGGACTGGAGACAAACCTAAGGTGCTTACCAGAACCTCCAATGGCTTCCGTTTTCCACTACAAGGCAGCAAATTTTGCAATCATTTACTACATTGCATTATCGATAACACAAATCGTTCCCAACCCAGCTAAAGCGTTGAAAATCCAAAGGAAAAAAGTTAGTAGAAGGTAGCCTAAGCGAATGCTAAAGTCACATCTAAACCTTAAAAATAAAATAAAAATAAAGGGAAAAAAAAATTTGGGGCTAAAATATGGTATTTTTTAAATAATAATAAAAAAAAGGTAGTTAGTAGAAGGCAGCCTAAGCGAACGCTAAAGTCACATCTACACCTTAAAAATAAAATAAAATAAAAATATTAATAAAGGGGGACAAAAATATGGTATTAAAAATAAAAATAAAATTAAAATTAAATAAAGGAAAAAAAAAAGGGGGGGCTAAAAAATGGTATGGTACTTTTGCACACAGAAAAGTATCAATGCTAGCCTAATGCAATGAGATGCGAAGATGGGTTATTTTCTCTACTTCATTAGCTGGAGTGAAACTTTTAACTTTTTATTTAAAAAAAAAAAAATTAAAAAATTAATAGGATTTTTTTATTTTATATATTTTTTACTCAATATGATTTAATAGACTTTAAGGACAAGCAAAATCGCATTCGGCTCAACTCAACAAAGTCATGTCCCTGGTTTAAGCCATTCAGCTACTGTTATATATATACATCCACCGTGGACTTCCTAAAATACAAGTTTTCCGCTAACATGATGTTGCATGATGTTGCATCTTTATGAGTTAATGACCAGCTATGTAAAACGCTAAACACGCTATAAACTAACGAAACTTCACAAGGGAAATGGAAAATAAAACAATCTACTGACAAAAGAACAAAACTTCAGAACAAAAATGGCAAATAAAAGTGGCAGGAAGAGAAAAAAACCAAAACAAAACAAAACAGAGTATTCATTTGAACTCAGATCTTTTCATATACGGGGTTGTGAAGAGTTTAGGGAAGATCTTTTCATATACGGGGTTGTGAAGAGTTCAGGGAAATCTGGCACCGGCCTATCCTGCTGGCGTGAAGGAAATAACATGGAGAAGAGGAAGTTCAATAGCCAATAGCCAATAAGAATATTTGAACATAAAGACGCTCAAGTTAAAATCAGTGCTTTTATAAGATTTTCAGATGATGCCCATTAGAGTTTACTTACCCTGCAAATGCCGTCATAAACATGTAGGTGATATTTTGGATCCAATTTTCAGTGTCAACACTGAAATTAATTGCTTCTTACCTTCAGATGCAACGATTTCATCTACTTTAACTTTTTCCGATATCCAGCAAAATGGAGTCTATAGTACATTCAATCTTACTTGGTAGTAAAGAAAAAGGTCATGTACAGCAAGCTGACAATTGGCTGAGATAGCAAATAAGCATAGGAGAGAAAATCGAATATGTCATACCATATAGCTCAGTAAGCTCACTGGCTATTGATAGGCTGACAACAAATATCATTACAGGAAAGAAAAATAACCTGGTGAGAAAGTTTCACATTCAACTGATTAATTTGCCGTCAAATTCTATTCATAAGGTCTGGACTCCGGACCCTTGGAAATGCTTTGTTTATTGGATCCAAAATCTGCTCCATTTAACACTACGACCCGATTCATATGGGAGCAAGGCAATGATGATGACGACGTTGGTAATGATGACAGAGATAACAGAAATAACTCTGCAATTAAAACAAGGAGTTGTTGAGAAAAATAACCTCTTTTCGGCAGATGCCAACAAGCTGCCTTGATATCCATCAGTAGGCTTCTAGCACATTTAACAACATTTATCCCGATACAGTGCCTAGGAAAACTGATATGAGACAGACAGCTTACATTATATTAAGCCATGAAGCAACAATATCACCTTATTACCTAAAAATGCCTCTAAGGCTGAAAGTAACAGATGATAAAGATAGATATACTAATCAACTGGCACAGTATAGTGCAAAATGGAAATAAAAATATACTAATCGACTGCCACAGGATAGTGCAAAATGAAAATATACTCAGGATAATGAAAAATGGAAATAAAAAACAATTCGTGTTTCCCTTTTAATGTGTCAACTCTCCCAGGAATAATTTAGGTGCCAGACACAAACCACTAACACAATAGAGTGATACATCCAAGCTGCTCATGAAATCAGTGACCATGGCAGAGGCAATGAGATTTTACACAATCACAACATCAGATGCCGTAGTGTTATTACCTGCTTCATTGAAGAATTTGATTTCATGATTGATCATTAAAGCTCATTTTAACCATTGAACCAATCTTCCAACCTTCAGCAATCAAACCACCAATCAACAGATTTTGTGACATGTCAACAAACTCCTCTAATTAATGACTTCTTTTCAAACACAATTATTCAATCTATGCTACAATTATAAGAAAAATATACCTAATCTCATATTCCTAATCTCTATAAACAACAAACCAGTAAAGACAATAAAAGAAGTGCTCTTCAGATTCCTATGTGTCAAGAGCACAACAATTTTCAAATAAATACTTCAAAAACGAACTTTTAAAAATAAAGGGAGCAGAGACAAAACTCTATAGAACGGCCGAAACAAAAAACAGTGGAAAGTTAACTTCTCCTGCAAAACTGTCACAAGAGAACAATCGATGAAACAGCATAGAGTATTCAAAGTTTAAAACATGTAAACCTTGGACCCAGAAACCATATAAACCACCACTAAATGGGTGCAAAACTGAATGAATAAAAAAATGTAAACCTTCTACACAAACAATGTCAGAAATTCCAAGTTGTCCAATATTTGAATCCCTCGCTAAAATAAAGTTCCTGTGAGTAGGACATCATTCAAAACCTCATGGGAAACAAGCAATCAGCATAAAACATGTACGTAGCTCCCGTTTGACTACATGGGAAATGAGAACGAAAAATGAAAAATCAACACATTCTACAGAATTCACACGTAAAGACTAGTGTATTCGCCAACAGAGAGGGAAAATAATAAAGAATGAAACAAAAACGCAAATAGAAACAGAAACCATCTAAATCACAAAGGCACCATAAAAATCATGGAGATCACAGGCTCCTTACCCAAATGTAATCATGCACATCTTTCATGCATAAAGTTTTGAGTTCAACCCCTCGCTTTGTATCCCGCCAGGCAGACTTCCTACTTTACATGTGTGCGCCATCTTAGTAGAGCCACAAATAAACAGGAAAAACATCATGTGAATACTAGTTGACAAATAACTTACATAAGCAAACGAAAAATATGTATTGAGATGTGAACAAGATGGGTAGATGATCGAACATGTTAACAGGAAGTACTGGATAATTTCAAACTCACCAACTTAGCATTGGACGAGGAGAGTAGAAGAATCACTAGTTTAGTAGTACCATAAAGAACTTTTCGTTCTCAGGACGTGAATTTGCACTTTAATATGGACACTTCAATGAATTCCAAAGACATACTAATGCAGCTACTTTTGATTTTGTATATGTTTTGTGGATTGAAAATGAAAGAAAACTGAAGTGGTTTTGGTATGTAGAGTGTCTGAAAATGAACTATTCAGATTCCAATGATTTTGTTGGTAGTCTGGGTAAACATACTTGTAAGTATCCAAAGGTTGATGGATGCAAGTGACACACATTCAAATTGGAACTTAATATTGGAAAGACACTTCGCTTAACAAAAAGCATTACATGCAAAACATGGAGGAACAGAGTAAACCTGTGCAAATAATGTTTCAACTCAAAGTGGTTTCTACCTGATGTCTAGTCCCATTAGAGAACATTAAAACTATATAAATACATATCTGGTATAATGCATAATTAAAGAATAACACAAGAAACAAATATGAAGTTCACGGGGAATAAGCATGGAGCAATGAAGTATGCCTCCAAAAAGGAACAAGTAAATAAGTCATATAATTTTTAATTAAAATTTAACTAGCAGCTTACAAAAAGTGGTGTAATCACCTACATTGCAAGAACTTGATAAATGATCCAAGTATCTGTAAAATCAAATACCATGACTATTACATTTACAGTATAGTACAAAGTAATTTTAAGCTCAAAATCATGAAAGGAAACTGGAAGAATAAAAAAATAAAACCAAAAAATAGAAATATATCGCTCTTGATTTATAATAAAAAAAACAAGAATTGTATTCACATTACAACTAACGTCTAAATGTGCAGAACACCACCCAAACTCATTGAAGGTCCATTTACATTCATGAGATGCCTCAAATCCTGTCATTACACTCACATCATCCTCAATGATAATCAGAGACCTAATAATAATGAAACATGAATGACAAACCAGACAGTGATAAGATACCCCATATATTTGATATTTCAGAGAACAAAAGGAAGCTCCTTTCTAAGGCCTTGTACTCATGCAGAAAGATCGACCCAGTGTCACCCCTCCATTGAAACCTACAGCCCCAATAGCAGGATCATCATACTGCTTCCTACAGCCCGGACATCTCCCATCTGCCTCCAGAATCCTTTTGTGACAGAAAAGGCAAAGCCGGAATCCGCAAGAACATGGGAGAAAACTCGAGTCTGTGAGATCCAAATCCTCAAAGCATATAGGGCATGAAGAAGGTTGAGACATGAGACTTTCCCACACCCAAGTGACACGGCCAGAAAACTGCTCTGACTTTATGTTTAAACTGTTCTTCTTTGACAAGTTGGGCAAACTCTGAGGACGGAAAGCATCATCTGGCCGCCAAGCTCGGCAATTGGCCGGAGCCCTAGAAACCATATCCTTGCTCTCTGTTTTCACTAGATTGGCTCCAGAGTCATTTTTAGCTAATTCAGGAACAGATGGTCCCATCTTGTTTTCAATTTTGGGCGGAGGATCCAAATTTGGATTGTGCATATTTTCATCCGCAGTTAGAGCATCTGCTACAGCCTCCCAATTGTCCAGGCATCCATCATCCTCCTCTGTTTCACTTACACTCCCAGAACAACAGCCACTGCTGGCACTGCTGCAGCTGCTCCCAGGCAGATCCTTCATTGAATCATTTTGACTCATACTGCTGCCAAATGGGCTGCTCATCAGGGACTCCAAATCGCTCTCATGAACACTCGACCTCTCAATGTCCATCCCTCCAGACCTTGTTTCTGAACTCTCTGTTGATCTGTTCCCCTCATCAGCTATCTGCAAAGATGAGAGAGGAGATCCGCCCCTCCCAATTGTATCCACCTTGCATCCCTTGTTCTTGACTGCATTACAATCCCAAATAAGTTATTTTGAAAATAAACTTCATAGAGGTAAAGAAAAAATAAAGTTCAGAGCTAATTTTAATCAGTTACCGAGAAACAGCTTCAAGATAAAGCAAAAGGTTCTTTCTTCTTCTTCTTCTTCATTCTTTATAATTCACACTTTCTGGCTTTTGCAGGGAATCAAATCACTTAACTACACTCAACTTCTTTCATTCCACATACAATTGTTCAGTAAAAGTAATAGAAAAAAAGATGGCCCTATATATATATATATATATATATATATATATATCGACTGATAAATAACCCTATTGGTGGCTGATAGGCAAAATAAGGAATCCTATAATTCAGACCCCTGTGCTTTTCAACAGAAAGCAAAAGGTTGGCAAAAAAACAAAGCAGATCCACAACTATAAGCCACTTTAGATTCAGAACCAATTTATTTCCTTTCATACATCCCAACAACCAAAATATTTTAGAATAATGAGCCAAGAAATTTAAATTCTACAGCGATGAATACTTATTTCTATATTAAATAAAAGAAAAAAGAAAGAATTTAATGTCTTTCAATTGTTTTGCTTAGAACTTCAAATAAATAAAGACAAATTGCTGTCTCAGCAAAATTATCTGATGATTCCATTTTCTTGGGTCCATGATCCAAAATTATATACAAATAAAAAATCTATAAATAAGAAATCTTCCAGCATTGTCCTCTACTACATACCCTGAGAAAGCCATTGTTCACGCCGAACATCGAGCTTGCGCTGCTTCAGTTTCGCTAATCTGTTCGTCTAAACAACAAGAACCAAGAAAACAAAAAATTTAATGATACACGTTGTGTGTGTATAATATATATATGTGTGTGTGTGTGTGTGCGCGCGCGCGCGCGAGCGCGTAGATAGAGAGATAGAGATGTGTACCCTCTTTTTCTTCCCCAGGTCATCGGGGAAACCATTCCCAGGAACAGAAGCGTTCGAGATCGAATCAGAACCCATAGCTTCTTCTTCCTCTAGAACTCTTGCGAATTGACAGTCAGATTAGCAAAACCCTAGATTTTGAGCAATGTAGAATCAAAACTCGATAGAGTCTGTCGGTTCGGAGAGGGAGAATAATGAGAGACCCTGGTTTGCGCTCGAGACTCGGCTTCTTGCACGGCTAGAAATTTAATCCATCGTTCACATTATTTATACAGCATTCAAGTTACTGTAATGCCCTTAGTATTTAATTTTTTTTACGAAATAGTACAGTTTGTGCTGCTCTATGACAGTGTGACAGTTGCTATGTCTAATTAATAAAAACAATTTCTTTACCTAAAAAATATGTTGGTTTTACATTCAAAAAATGTTAATGGTTTTTATTTAAGATGTTGAAAATCAATTGTTTTTATAAAATTACCTCAATCAATATTGACAATTGAGGGTGAAATTCACGCGGTCTGCAAGGAAGAGAGGAAAAGATCGATGAATCTTGACGGCACCAGTGTGGTGCCTGCCAAGAACTCTCCGACGGTCAAGTTAGTCACCGGAGGTCTAAAAAGAAGGCAGGAATTTAATAATAGTTTTTTCGTGGTACTTTATTCCCGAGTCGTCGTCCTATTTATCGTCGCTTCCCTGGAATTTCATTATCCTCATCCATGGGACTTATCCCATAGAAATTTTATCCTTGAAAACATGGAAATTTTATCCTGAAAAAGATTTGTCATCATTCTTATCCATGGAAATTGTTACCTCTAATAATATTATCGTTGATCACGCTTGTCAACACTTGGTTGCTTATTTTTCCCTATCAATTAGCATACATGCATATGATTTGAAGTTTTTATCGAAAAATATATTTTATAGTGTTTTATTTACAATTTTGAATATAAATTATATTCTGGAGGTTTTTTTTTATTTTTTTATTTTTTATTCTCCACAATTCCAGTTTCAAACTAATAAGATCTAATGAACTTATTAGAATTTCATTCTCAATGTTATTTGTGTTATTGAACATTTTCGCAACTTCTAATACCCCCCTTTTTATCCAATATTTTAAGTCAACTTTACTGTTATTAAACACACTAATAATTCTGCATTTTCATTTTCTTTTTTTTCTTTTTTTCCCATTTTTTACATAATAGCCCAAATACCTTCTTGGAAAAACCAGAAAGTAAAAAAATAAACCTCTAAACTGATTTTCCGTTCATCTGTTATTCTCTTCAATTATAAGGGTATATTAGTAATAACATTGATTCATACAGCCATGACTTTAAACCTAGCATGCCCAACGTGGAAGCCTCGTCTGTGTTTCATGCTTGCGAATCAAAATAATACCCCAAAAATTTGTATTTTGTAATGCATTTTATTAATTCGAGAATGCTACGGAGGAACTACATCAAATATGCAATAAATTACATTAAATACAACATCAATTCGTTTCAACTGACTGGGATTTGCTTAATTTAACAGCAAATCTAGAAAAAAATTTTAAAAAAATATCACATGAATTAAAAACATAAATCTTCGATATGCAATAAATTACGATCCACTGGTGCTGTCTCAACCATGAATTTGGTTAAGGTTTTTATAACATAATTCAAAAACCTCTGGTGTATTAAAATGAATATAATATTTATGTAGAATGTGGACATGTGCAGTAACATAAATAGATGACAACATAATATAACCACATATTATGGATGACCACCAGATATTGCTGCTGGAAGAAGATAAAGAAAAACTCTCTGATGCTATGAAAGCAGCACAATTTAAAAAAAATCACATTACTTTATGATAAAATATGACGGATCATTCCTATTTACAGAACAATGGTTCGAGTGGAATTCATATGAACACACAAGATACTACTACTATATTCACTATCCATTCTCTTCCACCAGTCGTTAGTTGGCTGATCACACAAGAAGTCTTTCCGATAAAGCCTTTACAGGTTCGATCACACCAATAAATTCTGCAAACATTCAAAAAGAATGGGTATCAATGTTGGTTTCATTTCCTAAAAATGGTAGGGGAAAGAAAAATGTAGTAAATTTTCAATAAACCAGTATTGTGATTAGAAGCATTGCATATTATAAGGAAGGTCCTTAAGAATCTATGAAAGCGTTGTACCCATTTCTGATCATGGCATGAGGATCCGCCCGACAAATTTCTTCTTCAAAGGGGAAGTCTTCTTTCACATAGCAAATCTGCCACAAATTTTTTTTATTGATCACTGACAAGCTCTTCTTTCACATAGCAAATCTGCCACAAAAAAATTTATTGATCACTGACAAGAAGCACGCACGCAGCACACACAAGCACACATTACAGGAAGCATATATCCTTTGCAAAGTCCATTATTTAATGAATTTTTAAAAATAATGTTCATTATACCATTTAATGGTAGCACTCAAATAATAATATCATAACTAAGAGGAAATGAAATTGCAAATAAAACCGTCTTTGAATTTTTTTTTAACCACTATGACTCCAGGCATTAGAGATCTTGTAATAATGAAATATTACAAAAAGAAAAGAAAAGAAAATATAATAACGTGAAGTAACAATAATGAGGTTATACTGGTTCAAGGCAGCATACATAGAGCAAAGAGTTACTAGGATAAAAAAATGTGTCAAAGAAGAAAACCAATTCTACTGGAGGGCTGGAAGCAATGGCAAGAAAATAAACATGCCGTCAGATAAAGAAAATTGCCGAAAAATGATGAATTTAAAGTTACATTGAAATAAGGAGTCCAATCTAAAAAATGCCAAAGATCCACTCACAAGGAAAGCTTTCAAGCACATGCAAGCACAATAACACTATGACCGAAGGGTTGAGAAGAGAATGGGGGAGGGGGTTAAGATAGGTAAATTTGTAATTAGACCAAAAACAGCTTATTATACAATAAATTAAGAATAAAGGATGGTGACAGAACCATATAGGAACTTGCTAAGACAAGTTGTAACAAGGGTCATTTGTCCCACATCGGAATCGGATAGGAAAGTGATTGGGTATAAATGGATAGGTATGCAGCACTATTCAATAGTTCGAACTTTTGGGTAAATGGGCAAGCGTCCACCCATTACAATTGGTATCAGAGCCAGATCCAATCCTTGATCCGGTGTCACGCCAAGTGTCCGGCCAGGAAGGCGCCCGGATGAGCATCCCGGGGAGACAGAGTGGCCCGAGCCGCAACGAGACCGTTGCGAGTTTGGGTGGGGGAGAATGTAACAAGGGTCATTTGTCCCACATCGGAATCGGATGAGAAAGTAATTGGGTATAAATTGATGGATATGCAGCATTACCCAATAGTTTGAGCTTTTGGGTAAATGGGCAAGCGCCCATCCATTACACAAGTTATGATGCCAAAGGATTAGAATGACCAAAAAGTCTAAGTGAGAAATATATATAAAAAAATGCCTAAATGATTACAAACATATTTGATTTAAAATCTCCAAATAATTAAGCCAACAAAACATTTTTTCACTCATCTTTTATTGATAAATACTGTATATGTGCACGTCTCAACCTGGACTTGAACCCCTATGCCACCCCCAATGATATCACTCAAGCATACAAGAAGAATCATATACTACTAATCTTTTTTCCTTTTCTTTTTTGATAAGTAAAAAGAAAGAATAAGTTAATCATATACTACTAATCTTGAAGTTGAAATAAAGAATAGGTGAAAATATTAAACAAGACAATTTTTTCATTTTCACTTCATGCTACGCACATAGATCACAAAAATTATTATTTTTATCAATTGATAAAAGGTTTAAAGAGATGACAACATATCTATGCATATGGTTTTGAATGGATGGCTGAAGTTAAAAAAATGATAATAATAAAATGATCATCTAGTTTGAGAGTAGTCACATTATGTAGGAGGGACGGAGTCAAACTTTAAATTTAGATAGTTTTAGAAAGTGACTATTATTAAACTCACCAAATAATAAAATTTACAGCATAGTGATAGTGAAATACCTTTTGATCTTATATTCTAAACCATTTGTCACTTGAACACCTGACATAGCAGTGGATATGGCAGAAATATAATTTAGTTCTGCATATGTGGACTTATTTCAGCATGTATTCATAAAAAATGCCTAGATAGAAATCACATATTGAACTAATCATACAATAAGGCTCCGTTTGGCTAGATGGAAATAGCAAGAAAGGAAAGGAAGTGGAAAATGGAAAGAAAAGTAAAGTGAATGAAAAGAAAATTGATTTTGTAGTACTTGTTTGGTTATGATGAAAATTTCTTCGAGAAAATTGTAGGAAAATATCATATTATAGTTTGGATACCTAAATTACCCTTATTTTATAAAATAATAAAGAATTAGTAATAAAATATATTTAAAAATGATAAAATTTTCAATTAATCTAAATATTTTGAATTACTATTATTCATATATGATGAAAAACAACTAGAAATAGAAGTCAAGTTAATTAAAAATTTATCAATGATAAAGTTGTAAGTGGACTCCAATTCTTTGAAACTTAGTAAAAAATTATTGCTATTTCCAAATATAAAATGAAGTTGTGTTGGGTAAAATAGGAACACTAAATAAAAAGACATGCTTTCATGGGAAAATAAAATTTCCCCGTGTTTTGTGAAGGAAACATTTTGGAGAAAATAAAGGGTTACAAGAATCCTAATTTTCTAGAACTTTTCCTTTTCTATCTAACCAAATTATAAAAAAAATTTAAAATTTTCTATTTCCTTTCTTTTCCAGTTGATTCCATCTAACCAAACGAAGCCCAAGTATTTCTGATAACATATTTGTCCATAAAGATTTTCATAAGCAATCAATTCTAAGTCTACCCCCAGCGAAAAGCGGGTATCCATTGTTTCTTGCGGGTAAAGGAAATTTCAGAACCAGAAGACAAATCAAGTAACACAATCATCTGACTGATGTAAGTAATAACAATCTGTTAAAGTGAGTAGTGCAGGCATGGGTCTAGCTGAAGTTGATGTATGTGATAGATCGGGTTAAGGTGCTTATGAACAAATACTTCTGCACATTATTAAATAGTGTGAACTTGGACAACGGTAAGTACCTCTGCAGCATGATGCCATATGGCTCCCTTTTGTCAGGAACATCTGCCAGAAAATCATGGTGCAGATAGATAAGCCACAAAATCAAGGTCCAGAGAATCTGCTACCACAGTTTGCAGATAAGCCACAAAATCATCATGATGCAGTGTAAAAGGCTTCACAGTTTGCAGAAAATGTTCACACCGTGCCGTCTTCTCCAATAAAGTCATCCCCTCAGCCTCACCTTCACACCTTCTCTATTTATAGATAAATCCACCATCATTCGAGAACTATCAGTGACTTCCTTCTTGCTGCCAATACTAGAGACTTCCAACTGCCATAGCAATTATTCTACATCCAGCTAGATTACCCAACCTTACTGTCAAGTTCATCATGTTATCCATCTTCCTTCTCTCCATGCTCTTTCCCAAGGGCATGTATCAGCAGCAGACACGCTGCCCAGAACATTTTCACAAGACTCAGACACAGTATCACTGTCCTCACCATTAGCATCTACATCTTTTTTTCCCCCAGGATCCTGACAACAGATTACTTCCCCATTCCTAGTTGTATACTACGAGAAATTATTAGATAGACCAAGACCATATGCCACTTGGTGGTCCAGTCCAATCAAAATCCATGTCTAGGTTTCTTTGTAATATCTTATTAGATTCTGGTGGGCACTTTTCTTAGTTGGATAGGTTTGATTGGACAGGACCACATGGTCCAGGACAATCTAATAATTCCGCTCAGTTTCAGGCATAGCCTGCAAACTATCTCCATGAACAACAAAGTTATCCTCTTCAAAATTGCAATTAGGCAATAACTCACCTTTTTCTTTCTCCACTTCGGAGGGCTCAAAAGATCTATTAACTCCAGTGCCATCTGGGTACACTTCATTTGTCAACGGAATTGGTTTTGAAGCATCATCATCCTAGAGGGCAAAAAACCAAGTATATAAACATCTTACTATGGAATAATTAAAATGCAGAAATAGAAAAGTTCAATAAGTATCAAAACCAACTGATAAATACGTAGTACTTAATTAGTTTCTAGCAAATAGGATGTCCATGTCACAGCAAAATTACACTCTTACATCTGATGAAGGTACATCATCAATGTTAGTCTTGGCTTCATAACCATCCTCAACAGTAGCATTACTAGGTCCAGGAGTTGCACCAAGCCCTTGAAATCAATTCAACATAATGTCATAATTTTGGAGTATTCAAAGTCCACAAAAATAAAAACCAGAAATTTTGCAAATGATGAATAGATTTTGCTATCATTATTACACAGATCTGAGGTCAATTAAATACCATGGGTCATGTTATATTATAAATCATTCAAATAAGATCCTAATACACAAATCTGATGTGACTTCCACGCCAAATCTGCCATAACTGTTATCTGCTCCAATAGATGCATTAAAAGTTAAAACCGGTTATACGTCAATGTACCACTTTTAGTATTTCAAAGTATGACTTCCAATAAACTGTATTAGGACAATATGGTCATTTCCAATGGAGAAGCCACATATATCTCAGTGGGGACAAAATGAACTTTTTGGTATTCTTCTTTTTTTAAAAAAAAAATTGTTTAAAAAAACATTTAGCGCCACTAATTTTTTTCTCTTTTCCTTCCCGTCCCTTAATCTCATGACCCACACCAAGTTCATCTCCTCTATTTTGGCTGTCACTTTCTCTGTTTTACTCTCCCAGTCTCACAGCTGCAAAGAAAAAGAGTTATATGAGTAATTTATTTATTTATTTATTTATTTTTTTCAGTAGATTTCTCAACCTAAGCCGGTATGCAAAAAACTCTGATTCCCTTTTCTGGCTAAAATTGTTCTTTCTGCTAAATAAGATTTTTAATTTTGGGGGAAAAAGGAGGAGCAAGATTTTGTTAACATCAATAGATTGTTTAAGAAAAACATTTAATAAAATTGAGATTGCATATAATGCAACACTTTAAAGAGATGAAAACTATTTGAGGACAACTAAAAATGTATTGATTGAAAATATTATAAATCAATATTTAAATCTTATTATTTATTATTTTAATTTCAACAAAAATGTTATCTTATTATTGTTCATGATTGCCCCCATTGAAGTGAATTTCTGGCTCTGCCACTGGTCAATATGTTGGAGGTGAACAGTGAGATATGAACCCCACCTTATTGTAATTAGAGACTCATAGGTTCACATCAGTCCAAGTCAGGCACCGTGTAATAAAGTTTATGAACACTTTAAAAATTATCATATTCATTGTTTCCAAATGAATTTAGTTTATTAGAATTAAATTCATAAAATTCATTCTAATAAATGCGATCAGACATCAGTCAAGTAAAAAAAGGAAAAAATTGCTAGTCATATTGTAGAAGCCTATGTACAACGAACTGGTGCAACCATGCAAAAGTTGTGTAAACTTCCTTAAAATTAGAAATTGAAGTTGTGAGCAATAGGAGTTGTTAAGATAGGGAAATAATGGTGTCAATTTAGATAGGGAGGATGGCAGAGTGGTGGCAGTGACACTGACTTTGGTATTAGCTGAAATTGCAGAAAAGGGAGCTGGTAACTGTGGTAGTCTTGGTAGGGAGAGTGGCACTAGAAGCGGTGGCAGCACAATCATGGTAGTTGTGGTAGTGTGCAAGTAGAACCAATGCCAGTAATTTGTGGTCGATGGTTGTGCCAGTGACAGCAGCAGTTGCAGGGATTTGACAAAATCAATGGCTAAACAGAAGCAGAGGTAGTGGTCGATTGACTCGATTCATCATTTAGACATTTGTGTGGGCACTTGGCCAGGAATATTAACTTAATACAAGATGGCATGATCACTGAAATCACATTAATTCAAATTTTACAGTCATTGCTCAATTAATGGTAAAAGTCTCAGGCTAACGAGAATGATAATGGTTGAGCTTGATAATAGTCACTTCTGCAAAATAATGCCAAAGTTCAGGTCTATCTTTAATCTTCCTTTCACTAAATGCCTTGTCAGTCATAATGCATCTTAATAATGTAAGACAAAAAGGTACTAATCAACTAGAATATCACATGTAACGAGTCTTAACATGTACATGATGATTGCAGGAATTATTATTTTAAAATTTAAAAATGATTTAGACACCAAGGGCTGATGCAAGCTTTAGCAGTAAAGATCAGTCAAAGATGATAAAGGCAGGCTTCAAAGGTGATTTTCAGCAAGTTCATGGAGCCACTGGAATGAGAAGAGAATGGCTGGTGATACTAATAATTATAGAGGAAACCCTAGAGTTAAATAAAGAAAGGTATTACTGGTATACCGCATAAAAGAAAGAGGCATTCTTGTTAAGTCATGTAATAGGAGATGGTGGGTTTTGCCTAAACCAAGTCCTGCTTGAACTCTTGCACACTCTTCCTCAAACCCAAACTAACTCCCCATACATGTTTAAGATGGGCCTACCCATATAGTAGGATTTGTTGCGCTACCAAACCATCTTTTGCAGTATGCTTTCATGGAATTATGCTACACGACATCCTCCTCCAATGGTGTGGGGAGTAAAACATATCATTGATGGATTTTTGATTGGTCTTAGTAGCCAGATTGAAGATATTATGAGAATCATGCCGATATCATCTCCCTTATGGACCAATAAGATTTGGCGAGTTCAAATATTTGAATTGTGTAGGTATACATTCATAAGAATAAAATACTAGAAGGACTTACCAAAAAAAGAATAAAATACTAGAAGGAAAAGAGAAGAATTGTCAATTGTGAACAGATGGAGTCATAAATTTGCATTTTTTTCTAACTTTTCCAGGAAAAAGTCCCCCAAACCCAACCTTCCTACAATGTGTTCACTACCAACACAACAGCCATCTAAATATCAAGGAACATGATATGTTAACTAACAAGAAGACAGGCTAGAGCAACCAAATTATCTGACACTCACAACCATCATCTTTGACATCAAGGTTTAACTTACATTTTGTGCTGAAGTTCTTTGGACCTTGCTGCTTCAGATAGATGCTATGATGTTCCAGTGACTTATAATGGTTCTTAGCGTAAACTTCACCCCAAACCTTGTTAAAATCTGAATGACACTTTGTCCACTCCTCCTGTTTCTGCTTTAGGCGAGCTAGTATGACAGGCAATGCAACAGATGGGTCTTTACGTAATATGTCCATCACATCGAGTCCATGATCACCATACAGACGTTCAATACACCTTAAATTCAGAGCTGCAGGAAATGAGAGAAAGGGTGAACTTATTAGAAAAAGAAGAAGAAGAAGGAATGCTGCAATTTTTCAGTAAATGAAAGGAAGCAAACAAGACCAAACAGCAATTCATACAAAGATACCCGAGATCTACAACTACAAACCTGTAAATTTGTCTTCAATGCGGATTGGAGTCTCTGGATTGACTGGATCATCATTGACACTGTGCAAAAGTTTCTCTGCTTCCATAGCAGTTGACCTCACTGACTTCAACAACATGTCTAGCTCATACCTGCAATCAACCAAGCTCCATAAGAACCCAGAAAAGCCTCAATTCAATTTACTCGCGAAAGTTTCATTTAACATAACACATTTCAAATTTTCTCACCTCTTTGTTATTTATACAAAAGAAAGTGATACTGAAAAAAATATATATCCATGAAGCAGTTTGGAACAAAGCGATCAATTTCTTAAACACAGTGAAATAGCAAAGACACGGACAGTATTCTTTTCTCTCTTTGTATTTATGTATGTCACATTCCAACGTTTTCCTGTGCTTGAGGGAGGGGGGAAAGGGAGAATGTATTTGTGCGTACTGTGAAAAAAATATTATCTGGACTTTTACCTATCATCGTCACATACAGACAGGATTTCGTCATATTGGTTTCTGCGCATGTGTTTAAAAGAGTAATCCTCACTACCCGAAGTAACAGATACCCAACGATTATTCAACACTTGATCACCAAGCTCTGATCTTCCGCTTGTCGAAGGTATTGGGTACTGCATGATGGCAATGAGAGATGCGTCATTGAATTAGCAATCAGAACAAAAAAATAAAAAATAAAAACTTATACATTGAAAAGAAGAAAAAAAAACGACACAGAAATTCTAAACAAAAATCATACGTCCTCAGGCAAAAGCCAATAGCTATGGCCACAGTGTTGGCAATTAGAGAGATCAAGCTCATGAATGGATTTTCCGATATACTTTTCATTATATATATCCTTTTCTCTGTCTCCATCCATCACATGCTCCTGCTCCATATATTCATCCTCTATGTTTACTGATATGGAAGTATCGTCTTTGTTCCACAATGTTTCTGCGGTTAAAAGAACAGCTTCATCAGATTTCACAAAGCATGGGAAAATTTAAAACCTTGAGCAAAACTAATCTTCAGAAATTTTAAAAAGTAAGAGAACCGCAATATATGAATAGTAGAGAACAATTTAAGTAAGCACATGAGAGAAGATTCTGACATAAGAGAACCGCAATATATGAATAGTAGAAAACAATTTAAGTAAGCACATGAGAGAAGATTCTGACATTTTAGGACTTCAAAACATTGACATAAAATATAGCATGGAGGACACGCTCCAAAGATATCTAGTAAGCATTAAGCACAAATCTTTTTGACAGGGGAGACCACCTCGCGTCTTGTCCAACACTACGACACCAAAGGAATATTAACAGCAAAGTTTATGCAGAGTAGTAAGAGTAAACTTTCATGTGAAACTCACATGATCAAATGTGAGTTTCAGAAAAAACAGTGGACTGAAAATTTTCATCAGTGATATTGTATTCCAATAACCACCTGATAATCATGCTACCGGAACACGACAAATAATCATTCATAATCAATTCCACAACATTAGAACAGCATCCTTGATACAAATAAATAAATAAATGAAATAAAATAAGAAAATGACATACGAATGTTACCCAAGAGCCAACTTTACAGAAGAACAACAAGACATAATTAGTGATGCCTGCTTATACACCTAAAGTTGACAACCCAAAGCATGCTAAAATATCATAATTCATACATACATGAATAAGTATATCATCAATAAACAAATGGATGATTAACTCACTTTTCAAGGCATCTCTATCATCATAAGAGGCCAAAGAATTCCCTCCAAGGTCTTCAATCCTCCATGCAGATTTCTCTTTTTCAGGAAGGCATGGCATGTTAAAGTCCCTAGGCATCTGATGCTCAGATTTTCTATAATCCTGATCAAAGTTTCTCCTTTTATTGCTCTTCTTGGCAGCACTCTTCCCCTGATTCTTGTGCAATTTTTTATAGTCATCTGAATCAGTATGCTGAACACTTAGAACATGATCTGGATGGGGAGAATTAATCCTGTCCTGCCGGTAGTGTTGCTGAGAAAGATAGGATTTCTTCCCCTCATTCTGAAAGAATTTCAAGCAAGAATGCATGAACATGACAATTGTATGGTAGAAAAAAAATAAAAATAAAAAAATAAAAAAAATTGTACCTTGTCCTCTTCTATGAGCCTATCCTGCAGTGTTGGCATAACAGAGATCTGCCCATCATAATGATGAAAAGGATGTCGGTCAATTGGATGATGTGCTGTTGATACTCTACCCGAAGATTCTTTAGGAAAAAATATCATGAACTCCTCAAGCAAGTCTAAATGGTCAATGAAGAGTGTGGTGACCTTCAAAGAGACAGAATATACATGATAGTAACATAATTTTGAAGAAGAAAAATTGCAATGGAAACAAAAGACTGTCTAATATCAAGAGCAACTGATACATTCAACTTAAAAATAAAGCAAAATAGAATTTTACCTTATGGTAGACCTGTTGAATTCCTATGTACCCTGCTCGGTATAAATTCACGATGTATATAAATGATTTATATACTCGATCATTATTCCGGAAGCGTTTCTGAAGAAAGAAGGTTCATCTATTAGATGCCATGTAAATAAAAATCCACAACTCAAAATTAAAAATATTACAAAAAAAATTTACCTGTACATTGTTTACGAAATCTATAGCTTTCTGGAGCTGAACCATATTCTTTGGCTCCTCTTCCTCATCCTCATTAGTGAGGGTGATTTCATACCCCTTTGGCAAGAAGGTATTAAATCCAATGATTAAATTGTCATGCCCGTTGAATAGTTTTTTCACCCACACCATGAGATCGGTAGTGTCAATTCTGCACATAATAAGATCATAGAAAGGTTACTAAGACAATTCTAACAATGCCCCATTTTCCACGTATTTATCCTACAAGGGGAAAGCTATTACCTTTGAGCCTTAAATTCTCTCATCACATTCTGGAACATCTTATATGTTGGTGTTTGTTCTCGAAAAGCATCCCTAACTTCATTGAGATAGGTCTCCATGCTTTCCAGCATATGTGAACCACCTCCTCCTCCTGGGATCTTGGATTTCTCAATGCTTCATTGCCCGAAAAACAACAAATTAGCATAAAATCAAAACACCCCATAATGGTATTTGTTGCCTTCATTATATCTTCCACTCCATGTGTTTTTTTAAAAAGAATCAATTACCTAATTCATTTTATTTTCTCCTAATTCTCGATTTGGTGAAAATAAAATAAAAATACTACAACAACCCCAAATGCAACTATTTGGCTACACTGAGGTATGTTGGCCTTTTTTTCTTCTTTTTCTCCGCTCCTCCCCTCTAGAGAAAGGGTTCAAAAAAAATGAATAAAATCAAAACTTCGTTTTTAAGTCTTTCCAACCTTCAATCAGCAGCCAAAGTGAATAAGGATATGATCAGATTAAAACCCTCTGACAGGTGGTAAAAAGGGTACCAATAAATTATGATCACGAACTTTAACATCTATAAAACATATAACAACTTAAACCCAGTAAACTGTATATTAATTTCAAGAAAAAACTAAGATTGAATAAACAGATAAACTATAAAGCAGCAAATAACGAACCACGTGATCAACCGTATATACCGTAAAATCATCACAAAACAAAACAAAACAAAACAGAGCAAAACAAAACCAAACATGAAATTACAAAACAATATAAACCTTCGGTGCATAATCAACAAAACCCAATTAAAAAACAGCTGATAAATCAAGTGAATCGTATGACAAACAAAGAAAAAAATAGCTTACGATGTCCGTAGAGAAGAACGAAATCGCCGCTTATCTTGTGAGTAAACAAACCCATCCTCCCGTAATCTCTTCATCTCATGAAAACAGCAATGGAAAAGAAAAGAAACACAAAAGAGAGATCAAATCAAGCCGTTAAGACTCACTTCTTTAGTACGTGTCTCTGTATTCTGTATGCGAAATGAGACGGACGGGCTCAACTTGACCCAATCACAACATTAGAACCCGCACCGCCTGTTTTTTATTATTAGGTTAAAATTTGGTAACTTTTGAAACTCATAAAAAATAAAAATCATTAAATATTTCTTTTGGATAATGTAATATCCTATTGACACTCAAAAATAAAAATTATTAAATATTTCTCGCTCAAAAATATGAAGGTCCTTGCAATGAAAATAACTTAGGGATCACAAGTTCCAATAATAAATAAAAAATGTGACCCATTCAATTAAGGAAACAATCTCATGTTCAAATTTGAGCCATTTTACATTCAAAAATATGTGATACTGCAGTGCACGTAGAAAATTAAAGGGAATGGAGCCCAAGGTGGTTGTCGTACTGTTTTTTGTTTTTTTTATTTTGGCCAAAAAGAACTAAGGTGTCGCTTAAATACTAGATGACAGAAAATTAAAAATATGAATAAGTTAATGTCATATTTGACGGATATGGAATTAGAATCCGTAAAATTAAAGAAAAGTTATTTAAAAAATTGAATCAAAATTTTTTTTAATTGTAATTTCAAAACTCTAATTTTATGTCCCCAAACATAACCTTAGTGGAATAGTTTCATTCCGTCCACAAATAGGATTATATACAATACTTGTGATTTGAGGGTCACACATCTCTAACACTCCCGTCATCCTCCTATGCATGATTCATGACTCGTGTTATTGAACATTTTTTCATCCCAAAACTTCCTATACCAGGTTCTATTTATTTTGATGTAAAATATTTATAAGAAAATAAAAATTACATGAAAACTATTTTTTGAAAAACAATTTTCAATGTTTGGCACAAAATGGTGAAAACTTTTTCCAAAATAATAAAATTAGGAGCTTAACTGATTGTTACATAAAGAAGGTCCCTTACTTTTCATATCTGCATATATACCTTAATTATTCCAAATTGTTGGATTTGTGTTGATTCTGATATATATGGTGACTTTGATACTATTTGTAATGGCACACTCCGCCAAATAGTATGATAATGTTAATTTTGGGCGTTTCTTTTTTTCAAACCCAGACGATTTAGATACCCAGTGTGGTAGCCTATCAATGTCTCTAACACCCGCCTACAACACACCCGCTCACAAAGTTGCCACAATAATAGCCGACTACCCGTCGAATCTTTGCAAGACCCAAAATTGGAAAATAACTTAGGAAGATTAATTCTGTAAATCATTTTTGGCTGTTTGGCGTAAAACATTTCACTTGTAAAACATTTTACCAAATCTAAATGGCAAACTCAGAAAAAAAAAAAAAAAAAAAAAAAAAAAAATCCCTGAAAAACGCTTTACATCAAAACAAACACAGCCTAAATTTATTTTTTTCTACAAAATCCTTGCTTCATTTTTTAGTAACACAGTCAACTTTTTGAAGTTACGGAAATCCCATCAGATTTTAGATTTTCTTTCTCTGATAATGGCTAATGGATTCATCTAGCCAAAACCACGAGTCTAACATGTAAATGCTGCTGGAATTATAATTCTAATAGAAATAATAATATGACCAAAATGATTTAGATTTGATTGCAAGAAAACAACCATAATGGAAAGACCCCATCCTAACACCTAGTGATTTGTTTGCTTTGCACCCCCTCATCCAACCCCCGAAAACCCATCTAATCCCATCTGTGTTCCATTTCCAAAAAATAGAGAAAGGAACGTGATAGGTTAAGTCACAGCATCAAAAACAACAAAAAAGATGATCATGGTGAAATGGGGAAAGAGACACACACACATACACACAGAGAGATGTAGACATAATTTTGCATTTTTTTATAGAAGAATTGTCAATTGCATACGGATGGAGTCATAATTTTGGAAATAGTCCCCCAACCACATCTTCCTACAATGTGTTCACTAGTAATACAACAGTCATCAACATGAAATGGTAACTAACAAGAAGACAGGATAGAGCAACCAAATTACCTGACACTCACAACCATCATCTTTGACATCAAGGTTTAACTTACATTTTGTGCAGAGGTTCTATGTATCTTGCTGATTCAGATAGAAGCTACGGTTCTTAGCGTAAACTTCCCTCCAAACCTTGTTAAAATCTTTACGACACTTTGTCCACTCCCCCTGTTTCTGCTTTAGGCGAGCTAGTATAACAGGCAATGCAACATACGGGTCTTTACGTAATATGTCTATCACATCGAGTCCATGATCGCCATACAAACGTTCAATACACCTTAAATCCAAAGCTGCAGGAAATGAGAGAAAGAATGAAGTTATTAGAAAGGAAAACTGCATTTTTCAGTAAATAAAAGGAAGCAAACAAGGTCAAACAGCAATTCATACAAATATACCCTGAGATCTAAAACTCCAAACCTGCAAATTTTCTTTCACTGCTTTCACCGCTGTTCAACAGTTCCTCTGCTCGCTCAGCAGTTGACCTCACTGACTCCAACAACATGTCTAGCTCAAACCTGCAATTAACCAAGTTCCATAAGAACCCAACAAAGCCTCAATCCAATGTATTTGCGGAAGTTTCGTTTAACATAATACATTTCACTTTCTCTCTTCATTTTTTTATCCGAAAGAAAGTGCTACTGAAAAATATATATATCAATGAACCAGTTTGGAATCAAGACAATCATTTTCTTAAACACAGTGAAATACTAGAGACATGGCCAGTTTTCTTCTCTCTTCATATGTATGCATGTCACATTCCAACTTAGGAAACAAGCAAAAAGGGGACCATGATCTCTAAGCAGGAGGGAGGGAGGAAATACTGTGAAAAAAATATAACATGGACTTTACCTATCATCCTCACATCTAAACAGGATTTCTTCGTATTGGTTTCTGCGCATGTGTTTAAAAGAGTAATCTTCACTACCCGAAGTAACAGAAACCCAACGATCATTTAACACTTGAGTATCAGTCTCTGATCTCTGGCTTGCCAAAGGTATCGGGTACTGCATGAAGGCATTGCGAGAAGAAGAGTTACTGAATTAGCAATTAGTACCCAAAAAAATATATATATTAAAAATAATAAAAACTTATATCCGGAAAGAAATAAAAGAAATAAATAAGAGAGAGAGAGTCTAAACAAAAATCATACATCCTCAGGCAAAAGCCAATAGCTAGGGTTGATGTTGCTTTGGCAATTAGAGAGATCAGGCTCATGAATGGATTTTCCCATATCCTTGTCATCATATCTATCCTTTTCTCTGGCTTCATCCCTGTCATGGGTCAGTTCCATATATTCATCCTCTCTGTTTTTTACCTTGTCCTTGTCCATGACACTATCCCGCAGAGTTGGCATAATTGAGCTCTGCCCATCATAATGATGAAAAGGATGTCGGTCAATTGGATGATGTACTGATGATACACTACGGTCACTACCAGAAGATTCTTTAGGCAAAAGTGTCTCGAACTCCTTAAGCAAGTCTAAATGGTCCATGAAGAGTGTGGTAACCTTCAAAGAGAGAATATATCTTTGATAGTCAAAAAATTTTGAAGAACAAAATTTGCAATGGAAACAAAAGACTATCTAATATCAAGAGTAACTGATATCAATCAACTTAAAACAAAGCATAATAGAATTTTACCTGAAGGTGGACCTCTTCAATTGACTCCTCTCCGTATAAATTCATGATGTCTATAAAAGATTTATATTTTCGATCATTTTTTCCAAAACGATTCTGAAGAAATAAGGTCCATCTATTAGATGCCACATAAATAAAAATAAGCAACTCAACATTAAACTATTACAAAAAAAAAAATTACCTGTACATTGTTTACGAAATCAATAGCTTTCTGAAACTTAACAGTCTTCTTTGGCTCCTCATCCTCATCGTCATCAGTGAGGCTGATTTGATACCGCTCTGGCAAGAGCATGTTAAGCCCAATAACTAGATTATCATGCCCAATGAATAGTTCTTCCAACCTCTCCAAGAGATCAGGAAGGTCAATTCTGCAAGTAAGTAGATATAATGGGTTATTAGGACAATTTATTAGGACAATTCACTTCCTACAAGGAGAAACCTATTACCTTTGAGCCTTGAATTCTCTCATCAGATTCTGGAACATATTTAATTTGGGTATTTGTGATTTAAAAGTATCCCTGACTTTATTGAGATAGATAATAGCATTCTCCGGCATGCGTGAACCACCTTCTCCTCCTGGGATCTTGGTTTGCTCAATGCTTCATTGCCAAAAAAAAATAAAAAAAACGAATTAGCATAAAATCGAAACACCCCATAACCAAAACCCAAAACCCGTAATGCTATTTGTTGCCTTCATTATATCTTCCTCTCCATGTGTTCTTGAAAAGAATCAATTACCTAATTCATCTTATTTTCTCCTAATTCTCAATTTGGTGTTAAGTAAATTCAAATCATCACAATAATGCCAAATGCAACTATTTGGCTATGTTGAGATATGTTGGGCTGTTTTCTTCCTTTTCCTCTCCATCCCTCTACCCCTTTAGAGAAATGGTTCAAAAAAAAAAAAATGCATAAAATCAAAACCTCCAGCTGTTGATCAGCAACCAAAGTGAATAAGGAAAAAAGGGTACCAACAAATTATGATCTCGAACATTTCCATCTATAAAACCTATAACAACTTATAACCCCAGTGATTCAACAAATTTTCTGTATAGAATTTCGATTCTACAGATTGTTGGCTCGATCACAACCTATATATATACCCAAAATTTCAAAAACCTTTCAGGAAAAAAATAAAAAATAAAATCGGTATATGAATTCAATAGATTTCAAGAAAAACAATAAAAATTGAATATACAGATAAACTATAGCTGCATCACATGTCTAACCACTTGATCAACTATATATACAGTAAAATTATCCCCAAACAAAACAAAACAAAACATGAAATTTTGAAACAATATAAACCTTCGATACATAATCAACAAAACCCAAGTAAAAAACAGCTTATAAATCAAGTGAAGCATGCAGAAAAACAGAGAAAAAGATAACAAACCCATCATCCCGTGATCTCTTCATCTCATATAACAGCAATTGAAAAGAAAAGAAACATAAAAGAGAGTTCAAATCAATGAAAGCCTGATAAAACTCACTTCTTTAAGTTTGCTTGAGGGGTAAGGCTGTGTATATATATATACATGTTTATGTGTAGGAGGAAACTTGGAGGAGGAAACTTGGGAAGTCGATTAGCATTAGGAATGTTAATCAAGCCGCACAAGCCCAGACTCCATCATAAAATTCGAACCCACGCCGCCGCCTGATTTTGATTAGGTTAAAATATGGACATGGTAAATTTAGAAACCAAAAAAATAAATAAAAATCGTTAAATATTTATTTTGGATAATATAATATTCCTATTCACACTCAAAAATAAAATAAAAATCATTAAATGTATCTTTTTGGAAAATATAATACTCCTATCCACACTATATATATATATATATATATATATATATATATAATATCTTTTTTGATTTTTTACTTTTCTGAAATTTTGTTTGTTTTTCAAAAAAGTAGGATTTGGCTGAATTGCTCGTTTTTATCAGTAATTTCAAAACTTCTCTTAATAATAGTCGTCTATTTTTATTTTAAGGAATTGTTTTTTATAACTCCATTGGATATTTTATTTTTAAAGTGTTATTCAATTAAGAACATTTACTTCAATAAAATGTATTTGATAAAACAATAAGGAAATCATCACCTGACAAAAATAAAGTGACACATAAAATAAGGATGAAATTCACTATGGAATTTTGATTTAATAAGATACCAAAAGAATTTTAAATTTTAAATAAGTATTTTCATTTTTATTAAAAATAATATAATATGAACAATACTTACTTACTCACCGGTAAATAAAAACTTCGTACTTATCATTCAGGTAAAGTAACAAGTGTCCCTCTAATTTAAAATAAAAAATAAAGATTTAAAAAATTATTTAGGTTAAATCCAATAAAATCCGAATGAAATCCTAATTTTATTATTTATCAAAGACACCCCAATAATAATAAATTGATATTTTTACCATTTAATTTTTATAATGACCAATTTAAATATTAAAATGACCTTTCTAACCTCGTACCCATAACTTATTTCCTTCTCTCCTCTCTGTTCTATCTTCCTCAGTCCCAACACCAGCACACACATAATGTGTAATTTACAGTATGCCAACCATCAATGGATAGCAGTGTCTCGGCAGATCACAGGGCACACAAAATTAGTGGCCATATATGTAAGTAAACTGGTGAAACACAATTTATACACACACATATATATACACATATATTTATGTATACATAGATACATATATATATACACACACAAGGCGGCGACAAGTGGCGGCAACGACGGAGTTCATCATCACCATCCACGCGCCCGACACGCTCTGTTGCGAGTAGATCTAACTCGCGCCGAACGTGCCCACACGCTCCTTCTTCAGCCTCCCGCGAGCTTCACTGTTCTACCTTACGAGCTTCAGCAACCCAAAACAGAGAACAGAACTTCATCTCCATTCAAGACCCAGAAGTTTCAACGTCAAACCCAAACGGCAGCGAACAGCGAACAAACTAAAAGGCTTCATCAATAGGTTAAGATAGCTAACTTGAGTGTAGGTCAGTAAGCATGAAAAAGATACAGTGATCTTCAGTGTCTCCATCGGTGCAAACACAACGTCGGAAAACTCCATTGATTCCGACGAACTCTGAGCAGCTAAGCTCCATTGATTCCGGCCAAGCTTCACTCACACCATATGCATCCGGCGAGCATCCCGTTTCAGACTGCAAACCATTCTTGTGTGCTACGTTCCGGTGACAAACAGTTCCGACACTACAGTCTGCAAACGGCAGTGAGAGCTTCACCTTCGCGGTTCCAGCGAGCTTCCCGTTTCAGACTTGTGTGCTACAGTTCAGTTCGATCTGCTATAGTCTGCGAGCTTCATCTCTGGTGTACTCTGTCCATGTAAATAAGCTTCATCTCGGAGAGAGACCAGTAGTTTGGGGGTGGGGATGATGGTGGTTGTGGGGGCGGCAAGTATGTGGTGTGTTGGTTGTGGATAGGGATGTCAATTTTTACCGCCCCGTTGGGGTCCCGCCCTGTTTCGCCCGGTTAATAACGGATATAGGAACACTTATTATACCGTTGGGGCAGACATGGATACAAATTTTGTACCCGTCGAGGGTTACGGGGCGGGTAAGGGTTCAATATACATATCCTAGGGGCCCCGCCCCGCCCCGCATATAACTATATTTAATATATATATATATATATATATATATATATATATATATTAATAAGTTATTTTAGCGGCTTACCCAACCCATCTCTTACAATCCTAATTTGGGATGTAAACTTGGTATTCAATTTGCTTTTGTTTTGGTTATGGTGGAAGTTGGAGCTTAGAACTTCTTGTGATTTGGTTGTATTAAATTTTTATTTTTGTTTATTATGTTCTTTGAATTATGTTATGTGCATGTTATTTTTTTTATTTTTGTTAGAATACATAATTTTATTTATGTTGTGTCATTCCTAAGCTTTGCACATTTAAATAGCAGGAGTTTAAGTTCCAAAAAGTGGGGGAAAAAAATTTGTTAGTGGGGCGGGCACGGGGGCACAGTATTTCCTAACGGGGCGGGGTTGGATATGAAAATTCAACCCGTCGCGGGTCTCGGGGCGGGCATGGACTTGACAAAAATTAAAAGGGGCGGGGCGGGATTTAGGGAAACCCGCTCCAAACCCGCCCCGTTGCCATCCCTAGTTGTGGATTTTGGTGCTGAGGATAATCTGGTCATTTAAGTATTTTAATATTTTATAATTAAAATTAATAAAATAGTGAAGGGTAAAATGGACTTTTTACATTTTAAGGCTCGATTTCCAAAGGGGTGTGGTTGTTCAAAAATGGACAAACTTTCATCTGCATGTCCTTATCCCAAACCTCATGGAGTGTTTATGTACTTTACTCCAAAAAAAAATTAGGCAGAAGGAATTAAATTAAGTTTTTTTTGTCGATAACGAGATTTAAAGAGTTCAATTGTAAACTTAGCCACTCCATGCTAGAGTATTTGCATTAAAATAGGCTTATTAACATTATTCAAATAAATAAAAGATTTGGTAAAAAAATAAAATTTAAAATTTATTTTTTTAAGAATTCTTTTTAATTGATTAATTATAAGACAATTATAAATTTATATTTATAAATTATAAATGTATTTACTTGAAATCAAATATAGTAACGAGAACAAAAATAAATTAAATATGGTGACTTCTTTGTACTCATCTAGCCAAAAACAATAATTGGATTGAACGAAATTAAGAATATGAACTATATGTAATTGCTTCACCCTCTCTATAATGATTCTATAGTAAAACGCCGTTGAACTATCATTAGTTTTTATTTATTTATTTATTTTCCTCTCACACCCATTTACTTTTATTTATTTTCCTCTTACACCCATTTGTTTTTAAGCTGAGTATTCCCCTGTATTTTTAGAGGAAGAAAAGAGTATTCCCCTGTATTAATTTAATCATTAAAGTAGTTGATATTTTTTGAAAAAATAAACAGTTATTTTTCACAAATTATTTGATTAAAAAAAAAAAGGAACACTTGAGAGAATTACAAATATCTTCGGGTGTCTTCGGTTGTATGGAATTGGAGCTTTGGAATTAGATTAAATGGAATTTAATAAAATTTTGGTTTAATTTATTTAGTTATTTTTTTCAAATTTCACCAATTATAATTTCAAAACTCCAATTTCATGAAACCGAATACACCCTGAACGTCACGTTATGTTCAACTATTGTATCAAAACGTCAGGTTATGTTTTGCAACATGAAATTAGAGCATTAAAATTAGAATTGATGAAATTGAATAAAAATTTGGTTTAATTTTCGGAGTTATTTTTTTCTAATTTCACAAATTCCAATTCTAAGTAAGTGGACACAACCTCAACTAAATAATTTACAAAATTATTTTTTGCCATTACTTTGAGTTTAGAATGCCCACGGGGTTTTTATTTAGTTGTATGCTATCAATTTTCGTTTATGATGTTAGCTTATGAACAATTCATTATGTATTGGAGTAACTTTGATTTATATTGCTAATTTTGTTGTGTTGCATTGAATTTCAGGGGCTAAGCAGCACCTATTACACGAGCTTCGCAGATTCGCGAAACTGGCAGGATTAGATCCCATTGAGCTGGAGAAAAAAAATGTTATGCATCATGTATGTTGGAGGGGAAGGTGTATGTTATGCAGTATGCTTAATGAGACCAGATAAGTACAATACATTACTACTGGATCTTTTTATTCGATGAGAAAGGAAGAGGTCTATTTGGGATTGTTTAAGAACTCTCACATTTTGAAGGTCGAGAATAGGGATGGTAATGGGGCGGGGTGGGGCGGGGATCTCATTCCCCACTTTCATCCCCAGTCAATTTTTTTACCCCCATCCCCTCCCCCATACCTTTCTAAATTTCAACCCCCTCTCCCGTTCCTGCCCCGCCCCGCCACATTAGCCCCCGTCCCTACCCTGCCCTGCATAACTTTTTTAAAATTCCAATTCACCTTCAACAAAATTAACACAACTATAATATTTTTCAACTTAATAATTTAATAAAGTTTCAGTACAATTATAACAATTTAAAACATATTATTTCAACCGATCAAACTTATAAACTTATAACAAAATCACATATAACATTTTTTGGAATAGTTTGGAAAATTTTAACATGATCAATCAAAACAAATAATATTCTTCCAACAACGACTATACTACAAGGGAATAAATCTAGGGTTTCAGAAGTGAATATATTATATATATAATTGTGTAATTTAGTAATATTTTATAACATATAAGAGCAATGTTGTAAAAATGCATTACAAACGGGGCGGGGAGGGGCGGGGTTACCCTCCCGCCCCGCCCCCCGTTAGGATTTCAAATACAATCCCCATCCCCTCCCCATTTACATAAATGGGTCTCCAAACTCGCCATAATAGGGGAGGGGTGGGGCAGGGACCCGCCGGGTATGAGGATTTTGCCATTCCTAGTCGAGAAGTTCGAATTCTTTTGGGTCATGAGAAGTTCGAATTCTTTTGTGGCCTTTTTCAAGAACATATATTGTGAAACTTGAAGTTGTTTCGCATTAGAATGTTACGAGCTGCACATACTCAACTTGACCTATCATAAAATTTCAACCTGTGCCGCCTGAGGTTGATTAGGTTAAAATTATAATGATAGGCTTAACTTGATCCTATCATTATATACTAACTATTGAAACCGAAAAAATAAATAAATATTGTTAAATATTTATTTTGGATTATATAATATATTCACACTCAAAAAAAAAATAAAAATAATTAAATATATCTTTTTGGATAATATAATACTCCTATCCACACTAAATATATATAATATCTTTTTTCATTTTTTACTTTTATGAAATTTTGTTTGTTTTTCAAAAAATAGGATTTGGCTTAGAATTGCTTGTTCTAATGAGTAATTTTAAAACTTCTCTTAATAAGAGTTGTCTATTTTTATTTTTATTTAAAAAAAAAAATTCAAACACTTAATACGTCCATCAAGACTTGAATCCCTAACCTTTAGTTTGAAAATGTTAGTTTGTATCAGTCAGACAATCAATGTAATAGCCTAAGGAATTGTTTTTCGTAACTCCACTGGATATTTTATTTTAAAAAGTGTTATTCAATTAAGTACATTATTAAGTAAATTTACTTCAATAAAATGTATTTGATAAAACAATAAGGGTTCGTTTGGTTAGACAGAAATATATGATAGAAAGTAAAAGTAAAAGAAAGTAAAGTGAAAGAAAGGAAAATTAAGTTTCCAGCATGCATTTGATTAGCAGGAAAAATTTTCATGAAAGTTGTGGGAAAAAATTATTTTGCTAGTTTGGATGGCATGAAAAAAAAATAATAATAATGATTTACTTACCAAAACTACCCTCATGATTTCAAATACTTAAAAATAAATAAATTAATTTTGTGTTAGATGAATCATCTTTATATTTAATTATTTATATTAATTTTTAACAAATAAATAGTAAAATGATGGATTATTAATAATAATTATTATTATTTATATTCATATTTAAATTAGAACAAACTAAGGAGGACTGAATTTTAGTTATCAAATTTTTTTATTTTGTGTTTTAAATAATAATTATTTATATTCATATGTAGAATGTAGTTCATTTATCATAACATACTCGTGTTTTTATTAGAATATTAAATATAATATTTTTTGCAAGCCCCTCAAAGAAACACTAAATGACAATACTCTAGGATAAAATTGGTTATGCAAAAGTAACATTTTATAGTTAATGCATAATAATTTTTTGGTTCATGCATAATATATCGGGCCACTCCCATATTTTATGACTATGAACCATGTAAATTTTTTTATACAAAAATCACATATTATTCGAGTAGAAAACTTTATTAAGTTTCAAAACTGTACAGATAATAAAAAATAAATATTATTTTGATTTCCATCACTCTAATTCATGTCTTCTCATATATCTATTGAGATATTGGTAAAAATTAAAAGTAATATAATTCTACTATTCAATTCTTAATTTATTTTAAAATAATTTAGGTAACGACGGTATTAGATATGATGAATCCATGAATTCAAATATGTGTCCTAATGGTATAACTTAATAACCTCTTTGAAAAAAATTGGAGAAACAATTCAATTGGGGCATAATAGGAAATTTAGAAATTAAATGACAGTTTCGAGTGAGAAAATAAACTTTCTTGTGTTTTATGCGTGGAAATATTTTAGGAAAATTTATCCGAGGGAATCCACTTTCCCCAAAATTTTCTCTTTCTAGGTAACCAAACTCCAAAAAATTAAAAAAATATTTTGTTTCTTTTCCTTTCTACCTACTTCACGTTAACCAAACAAACCCTAAGGAAATCATCTCACAAAAATAAAGTGTAGTAAGATACCAAAAGAATTTTAAAATTATAGAGTAACTTTTAAAATTGAAATACTTATTTTCATTTTTATCAAGTGTAGTATACCTAAGAAGATTTTTAGTGATGCGAAATATAGTATTTAATTTTTTTATTTTTGTTTTGGTTTAATTAGCAAATGTATCTACTTGAAATCAAATATAGTAATGAGAACAAAAATAAATTAAACATGGTGACTTCTTTGTATTTATCTAACCAAAAACAATAATTGGATTGAACGAAATTAAGAATATGAACTAACTGGAATTGCTTCTTTTCTCACACCCATTTGTTTTTAAGCTGAGTAAAACATTAAAATAGATATCCGCTTAGCTTAGAGACATTAATTTAATTATTAGAATGGTTGATACCTTTTTTTAAAAAATAAACAGTCATTTTTCACAAATTATTTGATAAAAATAAAAATAATAATAAAAAAAAACACTTTGAGAGAATTACAAATACCTTCAAGTGTATTCGGTTACATGAAATTGGAACATTGGAATTGAAATTGATGGAATTTAAGAAAATTTTAGTTCAATTTTTTTAATTATTATTTTTTTTTTTCAAATTCCACCAATTACAATTCAAATGTTTCAATTTCATGCAATCGAACATGTCCTTATGTTAGGTTATGTTTAACTATTGTACCACTTAAAGCATTGAAATTAGAATTGGTTATGTTTAACTACTGTACCACTTAAAGTATTGAAATTGGAATTGATGAAATTTGATAAAATTTTAGTTCAATTTTCAAAGTTATTTTTTTTTCAATTTCACAAATTCCAATTCTATATAGGTGGAAATAACCACAACTAAATCATTTACAAAATCATTTTTTGCCATTACTTTGAGTTTAGAATGCCCATATTTAAAGGGATTTTTATTATAAAAAGAATTTTCATTGTTTGTGACTAATGAAATTTGAAATGGGTTGGTTTTGAATAAATTTCCTTTCATGCTAATCTGTATTTGATTAGCACGAATTTTTTTAAAAAAAATTGTGAAAAATCATTTTTTTATGATTTAAACACATAAACTTATCATAAAATAAATTTATTTTCATCCTCACCTATATTTGATTAGCACGAATTTTTTCAATAAAATTAAAAATGTTTATCATTTCATGATTTGAATACATAATAAAAAACAAAAAAAGACGTTATTGTAAACTCATAAAAAAATTTCTAAGATAGACTTTTATTAATGAAAAAGTTAGATGGTTATGAAAAATTAGGGTTTAGGGTTCAAAAAATTTATTTTTCCTTTCTAACCAAATCAGATTTATTTATTTACCTTCCAAAAAAAAAGCCATAAATTTTTTATTTCCTTTCTTTTCTTCCAGTTCCATCTGAGCAAACGGAGCATTAGGAATGTTTTTCCTTCACTCTTCTCCTCGCCTTTGCTTCCATTTCTTCACCTCTCCTTCCAAACGCAGTACAATCTCAATTATGGGTGATCATCACCATAAGTTCAAAAGAGATGCACACATCACCGTTTGTTCAAATGAAGTCAAACAAGGACATACTCTAAGCTCTTGTGAAGTTGTAGCAGTGTGTGTATATATATATATAGAGATATCGAGCTCAAGGTTGAGTCTATTACGAAGCTTGACAGAAGAAGAAAAAAGCGGGAAACAGAATTCTCAAAGGCATGGCGGGAAGTGATCCACAGAAGCAACTCCGAACGTTGATTCGCGACTTCGCCACTGAAAAATCCCAAGGAGGTAATGTTTCGTTCATCAGTCACCACGCTTCGTTTGGTTGCTGAGAAAACGTAGGAAAATAACAACAAAGGGAAACATCGAATCTCATGTAATCGGCTGTTTTGCTTTGCCTCAACTGAAAGCTTAATTGAATGCAATTTTCTCGTTGAATTTTCACGGTGACCAAACGAAACATGTAATTGTTTGATAAATGAAATTGAATTTGTGTTGCTTCGAGTTATGCAGAGCGTAAAATAGTCGGTCTCAAGAAGCGAATCCATGAGCTTCAATCTGAATTAGATGCAGCGAATGCAGAACTCGAAGACGTTAAGCGTCTCAAGGAAAACAATGAGCAAGAGCTTAAAGGCTACGAAGTTGAATTGGCTATGACTGAAGCTTCGATTCAAACCTTAGAGGTTTTTTCTTTCCAATTTATTTCATAATTGCTCGAATTCATTCAAAATTCAATTAGGTTTTGATTAGACCTCTTTAAATAGCCTTTATATTTTGGTTGAATTTCTTCACTTGTTGATTAGGATTGAATTTTTTTTAATGCTTTCTTTTTAAATCACTACATCCAGGGGAGAATTTGTTTTATCCAAAATGAGATATCTGTTGTTGGATCTGATGTTGAGGCGCTTAAGGTAGTTCACTGCGCCTTATAATTTGTATTTTTCGGTTGGCTTCTTTTCATTCTATAATGCTGTTTATATTTCATTCTTTTGGATAGAATGAAGAAGGAGCTTCACGGTACTATTATTCATCTCTTTTTGTTTAATTAATTAATGCAATTCACTGAAGCATTAAAACCAGAAAGTTGTTTATTTCGTTGTATATCTTCCAATGTTTTCTTATCTTCAATGCAGAGATGAGTTTATTGCCAAAATGTTTGAGCTCAACGCTAAAATAAGGTTGATCTCGATTACCTCAGATCACACATCTTAGTTCCATTGACTTCTTTCTCATTGATTTTGCTTTGTGTATAAGATTGGAAATGTGGATATAAACTCTCGATTTAAAAATTAGACATCGTACTTCGACAAATACCAGTTTATAATATGCAATTCCTTTTTGCCTGGAAAATGTAGAGTTGTATTGTATTATTTTCTTAACTAGGCGGTTGCCATTGTGGCTGGATTGTACAAAAGGCAAACAAATGAGTTTCTATACATTAATTCGTCTCATAAGGTGTCCAGCTACCTAATATTGATCCTCACAGGAACATCTCTTAAGTAATTTTGGAGACTGCCCGGGAAACAGACACGGATAGAGAGATATATCTTTGTAGCAACCATGGAAATGTCATGCTAAATGAAAACCATCTATCACCCTAATTCAGATCCAGTTGTACATTTCTGAATACCAACCATCAATCACATATCCCTTGCATTCATTTTCAAGTACACTTCCGTTTCTGATGCTGCTACTCCGCAATGCTTCACTTTATTTCTTTTGTTTTTTTTGAATAAATGTTTTCCTTGTTAATATTCTTCCATGTGTTTCTTCTATCATGATGATGTAGCCATATTAGTACATAATTGTATTTTTGTTATTAATACCCTAGTTATTCTTTTGCAACCACTTCACCAAAATGGGTGATTGTCTTACCATTTTAATCAACAATCATATATTTAAACCAGCATTTATGGAACTCCTCTGTTGCCTAGCATGATCATTCTGCTGGAATTTCAAGATCTTTTGCATTGTCAGTCAACACGGTATCTTATGATTTTTAGCATTAAAACTTTGTGGAGCCGATTTTCTCAGATTTGGTTATCGATCTATTGGTGGAATATTGCTAGTCATCTTTATCAACAATTTGACATACAAAATGCTCAAAGGTTTTAACCTTCGCTGATCAATGTATACCCAGCTTCTGCTATTCTAGCTTATTATGGTGTCTGATGAACTGTAAACGATAAATTGAAACAAGACAATATTTGATGATTGCCATAAGTTCGTAACATCAGTGCTGTGTAACCATTTTTATTCATAAATTTTGAATGTGTACGAACTTTTGTAAAAATCCATCATTGTTAGAATTGTTAGTTTTTTTGCAACATTCATTGAAGGTTTAAGTCACAATTATGTCTCCACTCAAATCTCAACCTCCTGATAGCTATAGAAATCATTGCATTACCATTTTTTTTTTTCATACCTGACTGCAGTTTTCTTACCAGAGAACTGTTTTTTTTCTCTTCTTCTTTCTTTTTCTTTTATTTTTTTTTAAGGAAAAAATAAATTCCACTACGATCAAACCAGGGAAATATTCAAAAAGAAGCGACACCACAAGCACTAAAACATTTACATGTTCCAACAGTTGTGCAGTTTTTTTTTTTTACCTTTTTAGATCTTGATAGTTATAAAGTAAATGGGCAAAAATTTCTCTCTCATATATTTTTTGGTTAGCAATATAGATGGTAGTTCTTCTTTCCCTTCTAGGGATACACAAATCATGTGTTACTCTGAATGGGGATGTTTTTTCACAAACACATACAGGAAGACAAACGTGAAAGGATTTCATCATCTTTCACAACGAGCCTTTAATATTCCCTTAACTTCTATTCTTTCAGAAATCCCAAAAAGTCTTTGGTTTTAATACCAAAGCATTCGGAATGGGAAAAATGATTCATGTAGCAGACCCCAAGTAGTTGGGAGAAATACTTGAGGTCCTCAAAAATGCCAAAATTACTGTAGAGAAGTACATGGAACTAACTAAATTCCAGCCCAATAAATGTATTTGAGTAAATAGAACACATGATTGACTTTTGTGCAACACACAAGGCAGTTTAACTCTTAAGAGTTATGCAAAAGATGGATGTCCTTTTTTCTTTTTCTTTTTTACTTTTTTTTGTCTTCACATGCCGCTACTGAGAGGCTCTTTTTACATGATTGCTTTGGATTTGCTGTTTTAAATATGAAAAGTGCATAACATTTTACTATTACAAAGTTAGTGAGATTTTGTTTACGAACTTACTGATGCAGGAAATTCCAAGAGACATTAGCTTGTACTTTTCATAAAGATAACCAGATTGGGAATTCATCAAATGATGGTCAGTATACGTTATGACGCTATTTTTCCCCTGGAAATTTATATGATAAATGTCACAGTAGGTTTTAGTTCTTTTTCCCCTTAACATTGATATCAATTTCACAGTAGGTTTAAGTTCTCGATTACATTTACTAGTGGAATTTCTGGTTTCTGCAATGATTAATGGTATTTTTGTATGTCTGGGAAATACTTTTTAATTAAACTAGGAAGTTTAGTGAATAAAGATAATAAATTTTACCACAAAGGGCTTAGCCCAAGTAATATCTCCTCCTCCTTCCAACTGGAAGGTTGATGATTCGAGCCTCCAACAGGGTAAATGGGTGTGTGTATGAGACTTACCTACCAAAAAGGCAAAAAAGAAGAAGATAATACATTTTGGGATGAATTGTGACTGTGCTTGTCTTCTTATGGTCTACGTCTGTGTCTCTGTACATTTTGTTTTCATATGGAGCATGTGTACCTGTGTGTGTTGTTTCTTACATCTTCTTTTTTAAACCTAAATGTAGCATTGCTCTTTTCTTCCAGAAGTAGGTAAGAACCTTGCTAATATGGAAGATGCTGAAGTTGTTAGAAGAGCTCTTGAGAATAAGCTTGACCATATAATTTCTCAAATCAACATGGAGGAACAAGAGTACCAGGCAGAACAAAATATCCATAAACAGGTGATTAGTTGATCTCTGAACTTAAAAGCACTGTTAAATGCAATTTTCATCTGGTATTGACATTTTACTGTGATTAGAAAGAACCACATTTGTTATTCTTTTACTTCCTTCTATTTCGATGTGTTTTTTCCAAAGATTTACCTGGAAAAGTGTCCTGTAAATGTTTGAACCTGGGACTCCTGCAGATCCAGCAGGAGTTGGTCAATTTGGAAAGGAAGGTGTTCCTGATGGAGGCAATTATGAAAGAAAGTATCGAATTGCAGGACTTGACCAGATATCCTTTCCAAAATTGCATTGGATGGTTCCAATTAAATGGCCACTGAATCTGCACACTATGAATGTTAAAATAAGTCTTTCATACTTGAGATGGAGAAAGAATTAAAAATGTTCTGTGTAGGTAGTCATATTTACGTCTTATTACATTTGTCAGGCCCCTGAGTAAATAAGTTATAATGTCCCTTCAGCTTCCATGGAGGAGAAAATAATATAGTAATTGAACTCTTATAACTAATGGGGCTGAAATGGTCGTTGAAAGTTCTGTCTTTGTTGCAATCAAATAATGCAGTGCTGCTTTATCAAGAAAAAAGTTGAGTTTTGAATTGGATTGCCACCCTGTATTTTGTTAATCATAATGCTTGCTGTAGTGTACTTAACTGTTATCAAGCAGACTTCAGAATTTGAAGAGAAATGTGCTTCCCTTGGTGAGGAGTTGCAGAGGAGGTGTGTATGTCCCAGTTGTCATTCAGACAATGTGGAGCAATTGGGCGGAATTCTTCAGGCAAGCGACGGGAATTAACTTCTTGTAAGTAATTTCAATGAGATCACTACATTTTAAGCATTGATCTTCTCGAGTTGTACTGTAAATGAAAAAGTACTACATGTTGATGGGAATTTTATACATATTGTAATAGCTGCAATTGACTTTAGGAAGTGAAGTTGAAGCTTCTTTTTCTGGTGGAATGTTTTGGAGGTTGTTTTGTGCAAAAGGTGAGAGAGTAGTTTACACTGTTCTGTTATGAAAAAAGAGTGATACATATGCATATATGAAGACATTTGTACTGAAATGCAGTGTTATACATTGCCTCATGGATATGAATTTATATAAGAATTCATCACTCTTTTAAGGTTCTAGTCAACGACTAACAAATTCATTCTTTTGAACAAGTTTTGATAGAAAATTTTCATAATGTAGTCCGATAACTGGACTTCCAGTACTTTTAAAGTAGCATATATAACAAATATTCTGCAGTGCACAAGCCCTATCACAACCACTGCCACTATATGAGTTGACCGGGATGCTCTGTATGGGGCCTTCGTCTAGTTTGGGAAGGCGACCTGCTTCTATTCTTTGCATCTGAAATCAAATGCCGCCTAAACATTGCAATGAAGGCCTCTGCTTTCTCATTTAGCTCCTCTTTCGACAACGAAATTTGTTTCACATCATCATCTTCTTCAACCACCTCTTTCTCAGTTCTTGTAATAATCCCAGTACTCTTAAAAAACATTGAGCTGTTGCTGCCTTGTTCATCCTCCAACAAGAACCGCATACATTGTTTCCTTCTCTTCTTTCTCTCGATTGTGTTGGGTTCTTCGTTTGTATAATTGCTTTCTTGAGGTTGATTAGTTGATGATGTAGATGTGAAGAGAATAGCCAAGAGCAAGAGGTTGAGGGCGAGGAAGACCCACACGCGCCACTGCTCGACTAGAGACACCACGGTGGCGCGTTTCAAACACGCCATCAGAACAGCTGTTCCGGCTGCAAACCACACTGCCTGTAGATTATCTTCTTTTTTATTCACTGCCATTGTTACAACTCTAGTGCAATTTGTAACATAAAACCTACTACTTAACATGTGTGAGTATGGTGGTTTGTGCTTTCTTTATATAGAGGATTGGGAATGAGAAGAGTCATGCGGCCGATCTATGAAATTGGCATTGGCAGAGTAATACTAGTATGATTTTGTGGGGCCACCTGTGACCTCGGCTGCTGTGATGATAAGACGATCGTGACTGGTGACTGGTGAGGTTGCGGCTGCTGAAGGAGACAAGCAGACATTCTCTGCTACCCTGTGCGGTAACCTATCATTGCTCCGGCTTAGGAATTGTAGTTATATTGCTTTCCCTGTCTTTTTTTGGGTTTGGCGTGCACTGGGATTTCTAAATGTAAAGGTAAATTCGGGTACAACAGTCCTTAAAAAATTATCACTCTCCTAGATATCACATAATATTTTTTTTATTCATCATTTATCATTCTCTGTCTAAGGTAAAATGCTAACAATTGATTTAGAAGAATTATATAAAATTGGTAAAGAATGAATGAGGAAATTGGGGGTAATGTGACAAAGATTTGTTGTTTTTTATATTAACATTTTAATCTCTTTTTAGTCATAAGCTCTTTTCAATTATATATATATATTTTTAATTTATCAGAAAGAATTTGTAAGTGCATAGGATAGGATGTGGTAGAAAATGGAAATTGAAATGACGCAATTTAGGGTGGAGCATGGTAACAAAGTGTAGTGGAGAATCTGGTTCTCCTCTCAAGTCCGCATGCCTTTTGCCGGAAGTGAAGGTTGTTTGGCGGGTAATGAGATGGATGGGTCAGACGTGACGGGTCCAAAGCACGCCTGTTTCCACGCTCTATCTTATCAAACGGTGACCCACATGTCTCCTTCTACATTCCTAGCTACACTATTTCTTGATTCCTTTTGGTCCAGCTGTTGCCCACTGAATTCATTTGGATAAAAATAATGAAAGAATTCAAATCAATAGATGTGAATTTAAACCATTATTATTTTTTATTTATTGAAATTCTAAATTCAAAAGGATATTATGTTAGAGGTATAAGAAAATTTTAACTCGTGCCAATTGCATCAACTTAAAAAAAAAAAAAAACTGTTCGATTACATGCACTCCACAAAATATATGAATTGTGAGTCCACATTTGAATTCACATAACCCAATGGTTCAATGTGACTGTTCCTAAGTCATTAAATATATATTTGTGTTCACACGATCCAATGGTTGAATGTCACTACCGTATTTCGAATTTCTGCAGGCAACGTTTATTGCAGTGATTATGATGGTTTATATATATATATATATATATATATATATATATAACACTTTAAAGAAAGGAATCTTTGTTATTTGAAATTCAAATACTCCTTTTCTCCCATAAAATTTGCCCACTTTAAAAATTAGTGAGTCACTGTTCTCAAATTTCAAAATGGACAAATTTCTTAGAACAAAGGAGTATACAGGCTCTTAAACCATTTCTAAAACTTTAGCCTAAACCTTTTTTTTTTTAATGCTTTTTGGAAGAGAAGTTTCATAGAAGAAAAAGAATACTATTTTCTTACAAATCGAAACATTAATTTCAATAATTTTTATGTCTACGGCGTATGCCTTGTTTAAATTATGCGACTTCTATACTCCAAGGAGGTCGGTCAAAAGGTCCAATCCTGTATGAATAAAAATAACAAATTCACTCCCAAAAAGTCTATTGTGGTGGAAAATATATTGTATACCATGTATTAATAGGGAGTGCAGTATCCCAAAATTTTCTTTTACGGCTAAAAATTCATCAAAAAGTGCATCAAAACCCTAATTCTGCTAATAGTATCACATTTGTAGACAAAGGCTGATCCAGGAACCCATATCTACCAGGCAGTAGCGGATCTACAATTGGGTTATACTTGAATGTCTAAGTGCTATTGTTAGAGGTTCTCGTCTCACATCGAGAAAGTCCTGGGTATATAATAACAAGTACACAACATTACCCAACAACTTACGCTTTTGGGTTGGATGGCAAGCGTGAATTCGGCCTATTACAACTACCCACTAGAAGAATTATGAAGTAAATGCTGTAGTTAAATTGAATGATCTCTCACTGTGCATGTTGTTAGGTTTCTCATTGGCTTCATCTTTCTCTTGCATGTGCAGAAGGAACAGCCAATCCTGTTACCACTTTTTTCCAGACAAAGAAATAAGCTGCACAATGGAGAGAAAAGATCAGAAGAGAGACCCTAGTCATCTCGCAACAGCATATAGACATTGAAGCACCCAAAAACTGTGACCACTTATCCGGATAAGTTAGCACAAAATAATGAAATCAAATATTCTACAATTTAGATAGATATTATTATGAACTACAAGAATTACTTTGGGCTTCTTTCTATACATACTTCAACAGATTAATGTCAACAAAGAAGAAAATGGTGAAGGACATTCAGACAGACAAATCCAACCATAAACTCCATGCTTTAGTTATCGATCTTGAATTGTTTAAAATATGTAAAACGTCAAATGTTATTATGACCAGTTGGACCAATTTTCATCACAAATTTAAAAAAGGCACAAGCCGTGGGCATTGGCCTCAGCCACTTGCAGCCATCCATAGGTAAAGAATTTTGCCAAGCAGGGGCCTTAAATTTGCTCAAAGTAACAGAGAGATGCAGTAAGTTATCTTAGTTCTTTATTTTGGGTATAGGCGGGCAGGTAAAGTGATGAAAACCGTGTTCAAACTCCTTTGGAGACTCTAACCCAAGGATGAATTGTTACAGCTAGAACATAATACCAGCTAAGGCAGTTGGCATCTTCAAGTTATATGAGTTCCAGACATAATTAAGAGACAAGTCCGAGAAGGGGGGAAAATTATCACTAACCTGACGAGCAACCTGCACCACTCGTCGGCTATCCCGAGATAATTCACTTGTTAAGCTAGAATTCTGCGGTTCTTGAAGGCCGTTTTGTTTATGCTCCAACGTCCTCTGCGTACTGCTCTTTTCAAGGGAATCATTCTCATCGAGGTTGGTCAAAGATTCCTTCTTGCACTTCCTGCTGAATGTGTACTTAAGAACCCTGCTGGTAGCTTGACTGGGAGCACTATTAGTTGCTTCAGATGTTTTTGCATTGTTGGACTTGGAATCCATCGATGGTAAATTGTTTATCTCAAGATTTAAGTTGGATTCCGAGACCCTAGGACTCCCTGCAGCACCACCGTCCTGTACACCAACAGCCTCATCTATCAACTCTGACTCCTCTTTAGCCATCTCAGTAAATCCAAATTCTCTGACATCTTTGGTGCCTAGAGTAACATTTGTAGATCCTGATATATTATCCATGTTACACTCACTTTGATCATTCAACTGAGCTTCATCAAACTTTACATTACAATCGAATGAACAAGTCTTGTAACTGGAAAGAAATAAACATGGTTGAGACGGTTCAGTCAGCTGATCTGGAAGAGACCTGAATGAGGTAGCAGTGAAATTATCAACCTGAGGAGCAACCTGCACCCCTCCTTGGCTTTCCCGAGATACTTCACTTGTCAAGCTAGAATTATGCAGTTCTGGAGGACCATTTTGTTTATGCCCCAACCTCCTCTTCATATTGCTTTTTTCAAGAGAAGCATCCTCATCGAGGTTGGTCAAAGATTCCTTCTTGCGCTTCCGGCTGAATGTGTACTTAAGAACCCTGCTGGGAGCTCTAAAAGTTGCTTCTGATGTTTTTGCATTGTTCAACTCAGAATCTGTCGATGGTACATTGTTTATCTTAAGATTTAAGTTGGATTCTGAGACCCTACGACTCTCTGCAGCATCACCATCCTGTACCAAAACAGCCTCATCTATCAACTCTGTCTCCTTCTCTGTAGCAATCTCAGTAAGTCCAAAATCTCTGACATCCTTGGAGCCTAGAGTAAAATTTGTAGACCTTGATATAGTGTCCATGTTAGTCTCACTTTGATTGTTCATCCGAGCTTCATCAGACTTTACATTATAATTGACTGAACAGGTCTTGGAACTGGAAAGAAATGAACATTGTTGACAAGGTTCAGTCAGCTGATCTGGAAGAGACCTGAATGAGGTAGCAGTGAAATTTCTATGTTCTACTTTCCTTTTTCTAAGGCTTCTACGAACAACCTTAAGACCCTGGTCATTATTATGCTGCATTATTTTTTGAAACCCAGAAGAATTTGCAGCTAAATCCGCATTCTCAGCCTTGGGACAAGGCAAGGTACAGGCTCCATCACCAGATTTTACATTATCATTGTTTGCATATGAATATGTTTTGCAATAAGAAAGAACTGAGGATAATTGAGAAGGATTCATGGGATGCCGAGAATAAAACCTACTTGCGGTAGCTTTAGCTGTCCCACATCGAGTTTTTCTTCTTTGTATTTTCTTACGGAACTTATTAGGATGATGTCCATAAGTGCTAATGTTGACTGGCACTTCTACCAATCTAATTACATCCACATCCTCAGTCTTGGGAGAGGATACAGTACCTATCTCTGTATCTTGTACATTCAAGTTGATGATGGGCTCAGTCTTTATGCGGAAGTGCTGGTCATCTACCTCTCCAGGATGCAATTTTCCATTCAGCAAGTTCCTTTCAAATGCACGAATTCTCTGAGTATATCCATTTCTGTATAGCTCGGGCTCTTTGCTTCTCATGATTATGGAGGCTAGATCAGGGTTATTAACACAATGATTCTCAATATGAGACTTCAATGATGTGGTTTGTTTTGCTGAAGTACAGTACTCGTTACCCAGCATTCTCTGATTAAAAGGTGTACTCTTCACCTCAGATATCATTATCACTTCAGGTCCTGGATCTGATGGGGACGATGTGACAGGGTCAGAACTGGTTAGAATCTGGTGCATTGGACTTTCGTGACAAGATCCATCTTGTTTTCCAATTTGTCCCTTTAAACGCCGGATATGGTAATTTTTCACCTTATCCAGTTGGTCCTGTGCCTGTTTCAACTCTGCTCTAAGGTCTATTATTCTGTCTTCTGCTTCATCAAGCTGCGCTTCAAGCTCATCGATCCTTCTTTGCTGACTGGAGGATCTAATCTCTGCCTCAGTGTTCTGTAACAAAGGGAAAACTGGTCAATACAGTCGTGTGTCAATTACTTATCATTCTAAGAAACTTAGATCCAAGCATATACAACAAGGAAGTTGTCTTTCAGCAAAATACCCTAAGAGAATTCTGACTGACTAGATGAATTCTGTATATAATTTGATATAGCTAAACAATTATCACAGAAGAAAATTAGTTTTTGACATAAAAAATAATCTACTTTGAACCAGCAATAAAATCAACAGAATTTTCTGTGGTTGCATTTACTCTAAAGTCTCCTTGACGACAAATGAGATACAATGACCTAAAACCTCCTGCTGGTAGCTTGTATCTATGTGATCCCATGCAACAAGTTGCACCAAAAGGATGCCACACCAACTTAATCAGCCCTAAAATTTTGTACTATCTAAATATACCAAAGGATACAAACAGAAAAACTACTAAATCAAACAATATTGGTTTCTCAATGTCACAACATCGATAGACAAGTAATGGAAACTAGATGTTACAACTATTAGGACAAATATAAAAAAGAGGATGGTAAAGTTAATTCAATGTCCCATTAATAGAACTGAAAACACAGTACGGTTTGTTCACAAATTATAGCATTATATTCCAGCTTATTTATACTACATTTCAATGTAGAATGGCCATATCTGGTCTATATTAAAATCGAAATTGTTTGTATCACCAAACAAACAAACCCAACTAATTTATAATAAGTGTGAAATCATGCTTAAACTACTTTTTCTTTTTCTTTTTTTCTTAAAAAAAAGGAATAAAAAAAAAAAAAACAATCTTTAAACAATTTTAGTTTCATCAACACAGACTTGCAAAATAATTAGCAAACTAACTGCATCCAATCCCTACACAACTGCAAGAAATTAGACATATTGAATAACCAGCAACACCAAGGGCACTTTTTGCCATTTTTTAAATTGAAAGTTCATCAACTTTGATCACATCTTGTTGTCTTTTGAACATCATTCTCTATAACATTCATGCTTGCTTCAACATAGATTTTATTACTTGGATGTGTCAACAAACACGGTGGGTATTGTGTTGGATCCACCACCTAACAGTCGAAGGCATAAAGTAGGGGCTTAAAACATATAAGGTCCCTACTTCTCAAAGAGAGGTCAGGGGTTCGAGCCTCAGTGGAGGCATGTGTGTGTGAGTACCAACTATGAAAAAAAAATAATATATGCGTGCGTGAGAGAAAGAGAGTAGATTTTCGGACATGGTTAAATAAAAAGAGCCTTATTATTTGTGGACTTACAAGAGACACAGACCAAACTCTATGCAATGACACTCAGAGAGCACACAATTAAAGTAGAAGGCACAGAAGAGTGACGATCACCAAGGGTTGTGCCTGAGGTGTTCTCCACAATCCTCGCCTCAAAAGAGACAAAAGGCATAAGCCATGTCTTTTGCAACAATTCCAATAAATATGTTTCACTCAAGGGCTCCTCTTAAATTTCACTCTTGCATCCATGAATAAAAGGAATAAGTGATAAAACCATTTCAGGCCTCATACAGAACTAAAATTTTCGGAACAAAAAATATGGCATGCTAAGTTAAATTATTTTCGTGCTTCAGTGAGATTAATTCCAGTTTTATTTTCTTAGCTTTGACAGTTCCAATGGTATAGTGATAAAATTTAGGTCATTTTAGGTTAGAACATTAGGCAAGATTAGTACATCATGAAATAATTATAGCAAAATGGACACCTGTCTGCATTTTGTTTCAAAGTAATTGTAGCACAACTATCAAGCTTGCACAATATGAAATGATATTTTTTTTTTTCAAAAAACAAATGAAATTTCTACAAGCACGTACCTTGCCAAATGCCACAGAAGAAGATCACCGATGGAAAGCATTGGTTGTCTAGTCACAGATGATATATAATATATTTGGAACAAAACCCATCCAAATATTGCCAAATAATACAGGGATGCTGAAATAATGCTAAAATAGAAGGCCTAAAAGTGTGCATCATATTTTTTCTACTCACAAAAGGGATCTTTAGCAACATGCTTAATTATAGAGTAGCCTGTGGCAAAACGTTCATCAGTTTTTCAGTACTCCATAGCTTTATTACATGAAATCTTAATGCATGAACAAAGGACCCATGCTGGATATATGACACTGGAATATGGGTTTTATGTGTCTTACATGTCCGGTGGAAGATACACCCAGAAACCATACTTGATAATGCAAGTTTATTATATGACTGTTCAAAACTTTCTTATTAAGATTTTATTGTTACATTATTACTTCTATAAGAGTCAAATGACTATGTTGTAACATTATTTTACCATAAGAAATAAAAGAAGAATATTAAAAAAATTGATATTTATCCACATCCTTTTGTCCTCAGGTTTAGGATTAGATAAATCCAATACTTAGATTTGTCCACAACCGAGACACTCGCCCAAGTCCATAACATAACTCTACAGCCTTAAACAGGAAGAATCTACTTATATTATGCTTAAAGTCTTATCACAGCTGATCCCAAGCTTAGAGAAGGGCTAGAAGGCAGGAGTTGCATTAGATACATGGGCAGCATAAAGGTTGTTTCTATTTTTATTTATTTTTTAATAATAAGCGACTTTATTAAAATAAAGCTAGGCAAAAGGGGAGAACCGATATATTGTGTGTAAGGAGAGCAAACATAAAACCTTTTTGTCAAAGCTTGGTAAATTCCTCTTCTTCTTCTTTTCCCAGAGATAAGATACCAAATTAAAACCCCATAGCAGTAGCTCTGTTCTTCCATGTTTTGGTTTTTTTTTCTTTCTTGTTCTTGCAGCTCTATAAAATCAAACAATCTCAATATCTAGTGGACACCAACAATGTAATGACTCACTCCACCATGTGATATGATATTGTCCACTTTAGACCCGAGCCCGTACGGTTTTTGTGACCCAACATAAATATATATATACATAAACATTCTAACAGTTTTGTTCTTGGGTTTTCCCCCAAAAGGTCTCGTACCATTTGGAGATGGACATATAAGCAGTTCACCTTCACCATTCCCAGGTGATGTGAGATTGTGCAACCTATAGCTCGCCCAGTATCCCGCACCCACCCGCATAGGTCGCCACAAACAAAGGCTAAAAAACCTAACCCTCCTTAGGAACTTGTTTAGCCCAAATTGTGCCCCAAGTGTATTGTCACCCTTCTGATCCTACATGCTACATCATGACACCATAATTCTCCAGATACAGGTCCAGTATTTCCTTAACTAGAGCAGGGAATTCCACATCCGTGACTCAAGAATAAATTTCAAGGAAACAAAAAAGAACCTACAAAGATAAAGAAATCCCCTATTTGAAACTCACACACCCATTTTGCCCGACTTGAACCCACAACCTTCCACTTTGAAAGGTGAGGAAATAGTACTAGCCTACTGCCTACAGCCTTTCGTGGATTCTGTGAGATATTATGAAAGACTGTATATTAAGGATAATAATTTTCCGATTCTTCATGCCCAAAATATATTTTTGCTTTAATTTCTTTTTGTTCTAGACTTTTCAGATAAAGCAGCAGAAATCACTCTTGCAGCCATTAAAGTGACTGTTCCAAGAGGCTGCTTACTAATACACCCTTCATATCATTATTCACAAATCATAATATATAGTGCCAAATTTTTTTTTAACATAAATCCACACAGTCCATGTTAACTTGAAAATCCCTGCACCACTCTCTTGAAGACTATCAAGTGATCGTTCAATTTCTCCATTGATGGGTAGCTTCCAAGGCACACTTGACTTTTTAACTTATTATGTTTGAAATGGTCCATGCAGGAATATGTGTGTGTCCTGTGAGTGTGTCTATGCATCAACACATATAGCTTAAATGCAACATCATAAAAATCAGAAACCATTTTCCATTTCACATGAAATACAATCTCCTAATTAGCAGCAGAACATAATCCATGAATTTCTTGAAAAAAAAATTTCCAACTCAACTTGATTTTTGTTTATGGAGTCAGCCCAATATCAGTTTAATAAAATAAAACTACTTAAAATCATCCCACAATTCAATTGCACGAGAAATAAAACTTCCCACTAACAACACATATCACCAAACCAAACAAAATTATAAGAAACACAAGATTATTAAAGTCACGTATGAAATAATAAATTCACAATCAGACAAGAAAAAGAAATCAACATATCGAAATTACCACAGAAACGATCGTGTGTTTCAAACGAAGGAGCATCCCAATGGCCTCGTCTTTTACAGAACGCAGATCCTGCTGAAAGCGAAGAGCTTTCCGCTCCGATGACATTATACGCGCAGCTGCCTCTTTCGCCGTATTCATAATGATATCGGCATAAGTCGTCTTCAACGCCACCATTTTCTAGAATCAAACATGCAAAAACAGGTAACAGATTAAATAAAAAATACAGAACGTGAATGAGAGATACGAATGGGGCAGAAATTCGATTCGCACTCACTAAAATAGAAACAAAAACAAAAACATATAAAAATCGAAAACACACACATATATATATATGTATATGTAGTAGATATAAACACATAAATTTGCATATATGTATATGTTTTGAGATGAGTGTGTGTGTTTTGTGATTTTATGAGTTCACCTGGGCTTCTTCCATGAGTGTGGGTCGGTGCAGTGCAGACCTCTTTAGATTGAGGATGGGAGAAAGAGGGCAAACAAATTTGGGCTTCTATTGTAACTGGTGTGGTGTCTGTCAACTGAAATTATGTGTTGTGACAAGAACGCCCCTCGTTTTTGTTTTAAATTACGAGGTCGCAGCTAACGAGTGAGCGAGTGAAATGTTTTTGGTTGGTTCGTTTCGCTAATGCTCCGTCGTCACATTGAGGACAACTACTTCAATATGCTGTCGTTTTGTGATGTTTAGGTTATCTTTTTTAATGAAAGGAGGGCCCACCGACGACTCATAGGAGACGAAGGTCGTTCAAACGCACTGTCGAGGATTATTTTGAAACTATTTTAAATTTGAAACAGAGTGCACATGTTTTTCGTGGCTCTCAAGTCATCTTGCACCCAAAAAGCCGGGAAAAAATCGTCTCCTGCTTGCCTCTCACCGGAAGCCATCCAGTGCTGACATGGCAACAGGATAAATTCTGTATTTACTAACATCTTTGACATATTTACCATGTTTGTATAAATTTTTATACACAATATATATTATATTATTTAATTGAGGGTGGAGCCCCACATGTAAAATTTGAACGTGTGTAATGAATGCTCTCTTAATTATCGGATAAAATTTGGAACTCTCCCAAAATCTCTCACTCCCAAATTGCTCTTCCAAACAAAACATCTTTCTCTCATCTTAATCATAAAATCTGATTTAGGATACCACACATGAAGATTAGCACAACCAAACATCTTCTTTTATACTTCTTTATTTTTATAATTTTTTTAGATTGATTTGATCTTTTATATGTCTGGATCGTTAAATAAGTTTTTTAGGGTTTTGATTTGAGGTTTTTCTTTTCTTTTCTTTTTTTTTTTTTTTTTTTCAATTTTAGGTTTAATTTGGATTAATGGCAAAGATTTGCGTGAACGAAGTGTGCCGTCAACCACGACACAACGTAGGTTGATTTTGTTATTGGCTCTCTGTGTCCTCTTGGCGCTCATTAGTGCACGCTTCGTCGACAAACCATTTCAAGTTCGAGTCAATGTCTACTGCGACACTTGCTACGCCGAATTCGAGACCGACAAAACCCCCTATATCGCTGGTATATATACATCTCTCTCACACTCTTATCTTTTCATCAGATATAATTATTCTACTATTTTTTTCTCTGATTCAATTATATGTACACATAAAATACATTTGGGTCCTTTTTATTTTGTTAATGTTCATAATTTTTGTTATACATTTGGCTTAGAATTATACGACTATACGAGTACACAAATATATATATGTGTGTGTGTGTATATATATATATATATATATATATTGGTGTTCATGATTATTGTTGTAGATTTGGCTTTTTTTTTTTTTTACAAACACCTAGATGGGTTTTTTTTCGATAAGTTTGTACATTGGAGTATTCAATATGTATTTTTAGTTTTTATATTTGATTTCCTTTTCCTTCCTTATTGATTTTTTTTTTCCTTGATGAGAAAAGTTTGTTTAATTTTAATTTTTTTAAAATATAAGTGACAATGTGTGAAAATAGTAGTAATAATATTATACATACATTTTTTCAAAGTGAATGGACTTTCAATTTCTAGGCATTTTGATTCCCGGGCTATTTAATAATTTTTAAAATTTGATTATATTGCTTATACAATTCCGTCCTATTGTTCATGGTTTATAACTTTAAAATTACATGTCTGTCATTCTCATTACAAACCCTTTTGCATATGGAATGGGAATAATTGTTTCGTGGAGATAGGAAAGGAAAATAATTTATCGATCAAATTTGCCACTCTATGTAAAATATTTTCATTCTTTTTTCAGGTAAAATATTTTAATTTTTTGGTATTTGGCAAAGGTGTAGGTGTAAAATAGTTTGTCAAAAATTGATGAATAAATTATTTTTGTTAGGTTTTAAAGTTTTTTTTTTTTCTTTCATAAATATTTTACCACAACATGTGGTAAGATAGTATTTGTGTGGAGATTCAAGGTGATAGTAATAAACTTTTATAAATTCAATTTGTGAGTTGAAATTTTTTCGAGAAACCTTCAAACTTTTGAGATTGTGTTTTCTAATTTTAAAAGTATAGTTTTATGTTTATTGCATAACAATTTAAACTTGGATTCAAATTTTTAGAAATTAATAAAAGTTTCATGTTGCATTTGTTCAGTCTGGTTCCCTAAACATTATAGTTTTGTGCACCTATTATACACATAAATCAACCTAATTGTTGTTAATGATTTTTGTTGCACATAATTGAAATATCTTTTCTAATTATTTTTTATATTTTTATACTTTTATCTTTAGCTATTTACCTATTGATGTTCTAGATATGTTTATAAGTAACATAGATATTGTCTAAATCTTCATTTATTTATTTATCTATTATTAATATTGGCAAGAGACACACACAATCTTACCCTTATGGGGACTTGAAGATTTAGTCTCATAATTACATTTAAATTTCATCCTTGAATTACTATGACACCTAATCATGTTTATGAACTTGATTCACTATCTATCTTACTTCATTTAGATAGTGCTCAAAGCTGACTTAATTTAAAGGGCAAATGGGAGCATAAAATCATACAATAAAATAGTCGAATACGCCTACTTGCCATCAACAGTGACTTATACACTTAAGTAGTACATTGATATAGCTCCTTTTATGATGCTTACTTTCAAGAGTTACATACAAATATGTTTCTGAAGCCTCTTGATATGTTGAAACTAGTTCCCTATCCATCTTGGTTTCTTTTTCCCCTGTACTAAGTTTATGTCTTTTCATTTATATCTAATTTCTTTTAAAATTTCATTCCTCCTTTTTTTTTTTTTTTTTTTTTTTTTTTTTAAATTCATTGTTTCTATGTATTGCAATATAATAGTTGCTTGGTTTATAGTTTTTGTTCTGCCACAAGTCCGATAAGAATGAGTTTGTTGTAGGCGTTTAAATATATATCATCAACAACAACAAACAAAGCATTTTCTCAATTACTTGGGGTCAACCATATGAATCATACTTTTCCATTTCCACTCTAGGAGTTAGAATGTATGGTTTTTCTAATATCTTTTAGATCAACTATCTTTATTTTAGGTGAAAAAATTCTGACCTGGTTTGACAAATAATATATATACTCCTTTTTACATGTTTCCTTCATTAAATAAATCATTTTAAAAAAATTATATAACCTATTCTTGACATATAGATTTGGTTCTTTTATATGTGTAGTAGGTGTGCAAAGGTTTTAAAGTTTCAAAGGCTAACCAATTTTGCAAGCAACCACTTCAAAGGGTTTCGGATATTAAGCTTCATCATGGACCTAATGAGTGAAGAAATTATGCATCCTTACAATAATCATGCTATATAAGTTCCTTTTTTTTTTTTTTTTTCTCTCCCACATAATATTTTCTTTTCACTCTAGGTTTCAGTATTCAGACAAAATATAATCAGTATGCAGTTTGCATTGTATAAATATTGTCTTTTATTAATGTTAAATCATTACAATGTTGTAAGCCAATGCATTGTATATTTGTATAAGTTTTCGATAGCATTTCCCTTGAGTTGTTACTATTTCAAATGAAATATATAATATATTTGATTTGGTTTGATTATGTTTAAAATCAAGAAGTTGAAATGTAATTCTATTATTCTTTCCCAGTCTTCCCCTCGGTAAAGAACTTTTAAAGTTATAATGGTCTTGTGTTATGAGTTTCTTTTTGCCAAGTTCTCTGTTTAGGTGAATTATTAGCAAAGAGGATTGAATGATTAATAGAGAGAAATAACCGTCTTTCGGGGAAAAAAAATGACAGTCTTGCAATGAATTTACACCACAGACAATTGTCAAATCCGATTTAAGAAGAGATATAGTTATTGTCTTGAAGTGCAAGATATTTGGGTGGGTATATAATGCCAGTTTTGTGGCTTTTGCGTTGCAATGTATTGTGTGTCGTTACCTTGAGATGAACTTTGAAAAGGATTTATATAATAATTGTTAGGAATAATCACCAAACAATATTTCATTATGAGGTGGGTTTCTCAAATCACCAATCACCAAATGGTGGAACCCTAAATGTTTATTCAACATTGACCATTAAACATAGATACATTACTGTTCAAGTATGTAACATGAATTAAAAGTAACATCAATCAAACATATTTTTAAAATGACATTATAATTTAAACGTAACATGTTTCAAACATGAATTATATGTAGCATCAAACTCAAATTATATGTATCCTCACAATTAAGTTGTAACATGTATCATTTGTTAATTTTATATGATGTATAAAGTTAAACGGAACAATCATTAAATGAAAAATCAAACATGTTAGAAGCATGTGCTTGATTTCCCCTTGACTTTGGTTTATTTTACGAATCTTATATATATAATAATGAAATAATTTGTAATTTATATTAAGAATGTGTTCCTACATTATATGAAATTTAATTTTGATTGTAATTATAAAATCGTTACGATGAAACACATGTTTGGTTTCCCCCTTGAGTGAAATAAGTTGTGATATTTATTAAAAATGTGTTTCTACACTGTATAAAATTTAGTTGTGATAATAATTATGAAATCGTTATGGTGTTATTCTAAACACGTGTTTGGTTTCCCTTGACTTCGGTTCATTTTATAACTCTCATATAATACACTACATTAAAAAAAGTTATAATTTATGTTAGAAATATGTTTCATTTTTTTTTTTTTTAAATGACATTATAATTTAAACATAACATGTTTCAAACATAACTTGTGGCATCCTAACATAATCATAGTACATACCATATGTTGATTTTATGTGATTTTATTAATATGCAACCTGAATCAAACGTAGTAACATGTCTCAAACTCAAATTATTTGTAACCTCACAATTAAGTTGTAACATGTATCACTTGTTAATTTTATATGATATATCAAGTTAAACGGAATAATCATTAAATGGAAAATCAAACATGTTAGAAACATGTGCTTGATTTTCCTTGACTTCGGTTTATTTTACGAATCTCATATATATATAATAATGAAATAATTTGTGATTTATATTAAGAATGTGTTCCTACATTATATGAAATTTAATTGTGATGGTAATTATAAAATCGTTATGATGTGTCTGGTTGTACTTGAATAAAATAAGTTGTAATGTATGTTAAAAATATGTTTCTACACTATATGAAATTTAATTTTGTTTGGTTTTTACTTTAATGAAAGTTATTATATTTGTTACAAATAAGTTCTCATATTTTAATTTAAGCAATTCCTCAAATCAAATATTACCATTAGAAACGTAATATTTATGACTATATGTATCAATATATTTATAGATACAAGAGAAAAAAATTAAAAAAAAAAACCTAATTATGTTAATAGAAATCAACAACGGTTACGAATATTAACCAATTTCTAAAATCAGTTATTTCTCAGTTGCAAAGAGAAATTGTTTATCTAGTTACATAAATATATATTTCTATAAATATTGTTTTCTCTCTCTAGATTTTCTCCCTAACTATATATATTATCTATTTCATATATATACATATATATATTTTTATTTGAAAAAGAAAGAAAAAAGATGAATGGAGTTGCAAAATTGGAAACATGGATATGATACAAGATCGGAGTTTTCGGCACGACGATTGTTTCCTGCAGTGAATTCTAGGAGAGGAGGAAGCTTAAGATCTTGGTCTCAGTTAGCGTCGGAAAACTCACGCGCCACCGCATCGTTGGAGAGGAAGTTGTGCTCTTTTGAATCCACGACAAACTCCATCTCTACATCCGCCATGGTTGGACCTCTGTGTGTGAGAGGTTTAAGATTTCGTTTTTGGTCTTTAATTTTGAAAAGAGAAGTTTAGAAGAGCAACAGAGGAAGACAGAGATGGGAGGTACTTGTATTGTATAATTTTTTTGTATTGTAGATTGTATGGTATAAGTGTATTTGTATATAGTATTTGTGCTTATGGTAAAAATTAAATTAATTGAGTAAACAATTTTATTTTTGTGCTGAGTTGGCGATAAGTAAGTGATGATGTGGCACAATTTGTACAAGTGGCTAGATCATAGCCATTGGATCCTCAATGGACCCTTTCTGGTGAGAGGTGCCATGGAGAGGATTCGCCCCCCAAAAAGCCTTGCTCCGAGTAATTTGTTCGAGCCCATTTACACGGTAACTCAATTAGTCCATTGTATTTCCAATAATTCGATGAATCAAGGAGCACGATTAGGATTGGCGATTAAATGCATTTATTTTAAAGAACAATGATGCATATTTGGAATTTTATTCGTAAGGGTATTTTAAGAAATTGAAATTGTAATTGATGAAATTGAAAAAAAAATTAATTGAATTTTACTAGTTGCTTTTTTTAAATTTCAATTTTAATACTTCAATTATATGCCACCGAACATAATCTAAATATATTTAATAATATAAAAATAATAATTTTAAATGATAGAGATATTAACTTGGTAAAACTTTTGAATGAGGTAAAACTTTAATATTTTGACTAGCGGATAAATGTTAGCACTTTTATTCCTTTTTTATTTTTATAAATCAACAAATAGTTTGAATGAAATGGGAGCAGAGAAAGAATTCTCATTCAGTGGATACACCCCACTATCGTATAATGGATATACTCATTTGGGTCCTACATCTTTCTCAGTTTAGCGTATTTAATGAATTGAAAAGCATACAACTCTCCATTTTGTTTCAACTCTTTAACCTTATGGTCAATTTTTATTCATTCTCTGTCTTTTCTTCTTACCTTTAAATTTATGAAGAGGGATGTAATCACAAGGTCCATAAGACTCTATAGCTCGTTAATTATTTCAAAACTTGTTCATTCATTCTCTCGCGTCTGTTTCCTTTTTTTAACATCATCAATTAGATTTATTTCAAGACCATGTATTTTAAATATTTGTGTGTCTTTGTAGAGTTGGTTTAAGTTTGAGAGTTATAGGAGTTATTTATTGAATTTCTATTTATAAGTTCCATAAAAAAAAAAAAATTTAAATATATATTGATCCAATATATAAAAAACAAAATAAAATAATATATATATTAATCCAGTATATATCAAATCCACACAGTTGTTAGAACTCATTTGAGATTGTTGTTGGAATAGAAAAAAACACTTTTATTAACAGAGCTATCAAAAAATTGCAATAAACATATTAGATGTTTGGTGACATATTATAATAAGTATTTTTCATAATTAAAATATTTATTTATTTATTTGGTAATAATTTTTTTAAAACACTTTTATTGTTAATTTTACAATAATATCATTTAATATAATGTTACCATATTTAATAATAACAATTTTATTAAATAAGTGGTATAATTGTGATTATACAAAATAAAATGGATAAAATTGTCTAATAAAAAAAAGTTACAAAAAATATTCAATCTCTACTCAGAAGGCAATTGTATAAGCTCAAAATTCTTCAAAACAATAGCAATTCTTTAAAATAAAAGTGTTTTTAAGGGGTAGAGAAGCAATCCCAATCTCTGAAAACCTAAATGAAATGTTTTAGTTAAACTAGATATTTGAGACTTTGACCATTGGAAGTAGTCCAATCTCTGCATTCCACGATAGTTACATCATTTGACAATTTGACCAGTGGCAAGTAATCCAACACACCTACATTCCACGAAGAATATGTTAGAGAATGGAAAATGATTGTTGGCGTAGACAAGCTTAGTTTAGGGTTTCGTAGACTATCATTGTCTTTGTTCAACTTTTGATGAACTTGGTCCATTGTTTTGACAGTTTTGGGCTCGTCTGTTGTATTGGGCTTTTGGCCTGTTTGGACCGTGTACAGTTACATAATCAATACATCTTAACTTTCGGAAAAAAAAAAAAAAATGATTGAAAATGACACCACAAACATAATCTCAAGGACCTTACTGCAAAAACAAAACAAAACTCAGAAAAAGGATAAACAAACCACATCCACTCCACCTATGCATAAAAACTTGAAAAGTAAGGTAATACATTATTTTTTTTTATTATTATTTTTAAAAAACCTCTCACACACGCGAGTTTGGAAAAACGTTGTTGATCTATTAATTTGGTAAAAAAAAATTCACAAACTATTCAAAAGATCTGTAATGTGTGCCCATGTGCAGTAATATTTCCGTTAATATTGCGACTTTTATGACCATTTTGCCCGTCACCAACTTGTAATACTCCAATATTAATGGACACAAAATTCCTTCAACTATTAAGGATATATATATTTTTTTAAAGAGAAATTGTGGCATTTTTATGGGTTTGTAGCTTTTCTTTACATGACACTTGCGTTATTTTATGCTATTACTAATTAACGAGGAAGAATCGGGATTTTCTCATGTGTCACTTTTATTCCTTGCCAAATGTACCAAATTTACATAGTGAATGGAACAATTTTAAATCAACAATGTAACTATATTAAATTTTCATTTTAATGGTGTTATACCATTGAAATAAGATGTAATATGTTACATGAGTGTTGTATTTTCAACATAAATGTATTGTATAACTTTTAAAAAAATTATTGAATGGGTGATACATTTTGTAGTGTAAGTGTGCTTCACTATATAATATAATTGTATTGTACAATGATGTAATTGTGTTGCACCAGTACACTAAATCTGAACTCACTAAGTAAGTATTATTTATATATATATTTCATAGATCCTAATTTAAGATTTTTTTAATGACATTGTAAGGTTTGTTTGTTTGTTTTGTCAGTCATAAAATAAATATAAAAGACAGTTAATAAAATAAAGACTTTTTATAATTGAATTTTCAAAATACAGAATCAAAGTAAGAAACAAACAAAGCATACTGTTAATACTTGGATATTATATATATATATATTTTACCCTAAAAAGTTTGCTTATAGTAAACTTGGTCGGATTAAAAAAAAAAAAAAATTATAACCATCGAAGTAGTTATATGATGATTTGTTGACTGAACTTTTTTCTTTACCAAAAAAACTAGTCCATATGATGAAGATGACACATTTTTATTAGTGCCAGTGTCCAAGTGGGCATTGTTGGACCATAGCCAGTGCTCTTGGTCAACAATAGACTTCATTATTAATAAACCAACTTTCTTTTCAGCGTAATTTCTTAACCATTGAATTGAATTATCAACCCCATTACCCACTCAACGAAAAAGCTAAAAATCCCCCCGCAAGATTCAGTTCCAAGTCGCAAATGCAACACTCTGGTCATTTTCTTCACACCCCCAAACCAAGTCAATGTCTCTCCTCCATTCTCTTCTTAGACCATTCCTGCTATAGATTCGGGTTTGATATGTGTGTGAATCTGTAAACCCTAACCCTAGATAACTGAACCCAAACCAGATTCAATCTTTGCTCTTCCGATCAACGATCTCTCATGACTTGTTTCCGAGTATTCAGGTATATTCTATCAGTTGTGATTGTGTTTTTGTGGATCGTTTGTGTTGCGATCGGCGATGATGATGTGAAGTGCTTGCAAGGTCTGAAGAGCTCGTTCAAAGACCCTCAAGGTAAGCTCGCAACATGGACTTTCTCCAACAATTCGATTGGATTTCTATGCAAATACGTCGGCGTGTCTTGTTGGAACGATCGCGAGAACCGTCTGTTCGGTCTCGAGCTTCGTGATATGCAACTCGCCGGCCAAATTCCCGAGCCTTTACACTTCTGTCACAGCTTGCAGTCTCTGGATCTCTCCGGTAACGATCTATCCGGTTCGATTCCTAAACAAATTTGTACTTGGTTGCCTTTTATAGTAACCCTAGATTTGTCTACTAACAATCTCAGTGGTCCAATTCCGGACGAACTTGCTAATTGTTCTTATTTGAACACTCTGATGCTGTCGAACAATAAATTATCTGGACCTATACCTTACCAGTTCTCAAGTTTGGGTCGTCTAAAGAAGTTCTCTGTTGCCCAAAATGATCTGTCCGGACCGATTCCACCGTTCTTAGATGGTTACAATTCGGCCGATTTCGCTGGGAATGATGGACTTTGCGGTAAGCCGCTTGGGAAGTGTGGTGGTTTGAGCAAGAAGAATCTTGCAATTATAATTGCGGCCGGAGTTTTTGGGGCTGCTGCATCGATGTTGCTAGGTTTTGGCATTTGGTGGTGGTATTTTACAAAGTCCAGCCTGAGGAGGAAGAGAGGGTATGGGGCTGGAAGATACGATGATGGGAGTTGGGCTGAGAGGTTGAGGTCGCACAAACTTCTTCAGGTTTCATTGTTTCAGAAACCCCTTGTGAAAGTTAAGTTGGCGGATTTGATGGCTGCGACCAACAATTTCAGTGCAGAAAATATCATCATCACAACTAGGACGGGAACCACTTATAAGGCTGATCTTCCTGATGGGTCTGCACTTGCAATTAAGCGGCTCAACACTTGCAAGCTAGGTGAGAAGCAGTTTAGGTGGGAGATGAATAGATTAGGGCTGCTTAGGCACCCGAATTTAGCTCCCTTGTTGGGGTTCTGTGTGGTGGAAGAGGAAAAGCTTCTGGTTTATAAACACATGTCAAATGGAACTCTGTATTCACTATTGAATGGAAATGCAGCTGAATTGGACTGGGCAACCAGGTTTAGGATTGGTTTGGGTGCTGCAAGGGGGCTTGCTTGGCTTCATCACGGCTGCCAACCTCCCATCTTGCATCAGTACATAAGCTCTAAAGTGATTCTACTTGATGAGGACTTCGACGCTAGGATAATGGATTTTGGATTGGCAAGGCTTATGACATCTTCTGATGCTAATGAGAGTAGCTTTGTTAATGGGGATTTAGGTGAATTTGGTTATGTAGCTCCAGAGTATTCTAGCACAATGGAAGCTTCACTAAAAGGGGATGTTTATGGTCTTGGGGTAGTGCTCCTGGAGTTGGCTACTGGGCAGAAACCTCTTGAAGTCAGCAACGCTGAGGAAGGATTCAAGGGAAGTTTGGTGGATTGGGTTAATCGGCTCTCTAGTTCTGGTCAAATTAAGAATGCCATTGATAAGGCTCTCTGTGCAAGGGGCCATGATGAAGAAATTGTGCAGTTCCTGAGAATTGCTTGTAATTGTGTGGTTTCTCGGCCTAAGGACAGGTGGCCAATGTACCAGGTTTACGAAGCATTGAAGAGCATTGCTGAGGGCCAAGGTTTCTCTGAGCAATATGATGAATTTCCTCTACTTTTCGGCAGGCAAGAAACTGGCCGTCCAATTTAACTTTGCAGCAAATGGAAGGGAGAAGCATGACGAAGTGGTTTACACTTTGCTGTGTAAAAATTTTCAACATCTTGTGGTAAGCTCTCAAATGCTTTCATACCAATCAGTGCGTTCTTCATTTTATCTGGTTCAATTCCCTTTTTATTGGATATAGCTGTACGATATACTAAACTTCTCAAAACTGTAGTTCCTCTTATTTGGTAAAATCTGTTCATTTGCACTTTGTTGTACTGAAAACGGCCTCCAAGTTCTTTTGATGTTTGTAACATGCTCGTCTTTGTAGTTTTAAGAAATTTCATCTTTATCATGTCATAATTGTACCCAACTGAAGGGACCATTATTGGTTTGGTTTTATGTAAGTCTTTGATTTGCTTTATTTAATGCATGGTCCTTTCCTTGCTACTTGATTAGATATCCTTCCATTGTAGTCAATGATCACAACCTTTCTATGAAGTCTTACTAGAACTGGGGCACTTATACTGCTGTCAACAATAACCTTTCTCTGTTCATGTGATTTTTATGACACTTGTTTGTAAATGTCTTGATGTTTATGGTTTTATGATGTATGTAAGTATTACTTGTTTGTTCTCTAATTTCATGATTTGCATGGTCAAGAGAGTTTGTTGATTCTTCTTTCTGCTGGATTGATTGGTCTAGTTTCTGAGACAACCTTGTACTTGGGAAAAAAATGATTGATAATTTATAAGCTTGAATTAAAAGCTCAGCTTTAGGAATAAAAACAAAATATGGACCTTTTTGTTTAGGGAAATGATTTGTACACTGTTGGGAGTGGCTGAAATCACGGGATGGATATAAATGGGGGCCAAGAACTCCCATCGGTGGGAGTAGCACTACTTTTTTGTTTAATGTTTTGACATATTTATTTCTTTTCGAAAAATAAATATGCAACAACCCTCACCTTACCTGACACAATATTGTCGGCTTTTGACTCCCCTGACCAAACTTCCCAGGAAGTCACCCATTCTGGTACTACTCTTGCATAAGTAAGTTTAACCGTGGAGTTCTGATGGGTTCATGACCATCACGGCTTTAAAACGCGTTGTGTCATATAAGGGTGTTGAACCTACATATAGCACTTGACCTTCACCGTCCCCAGGCGATGTGAGATTATGACACCCATAGCCTGCCAGTGTACCCGCCCACATCACACCCGGCCACAAAGTTTGTCGCAAAGTATGTTTTTCTTGAAGAAATTATGAAGCCTAGAATCCATTGGATCATTTAGAGTAAATATTGTGGATGAGTGGGAGTGTTTCAGTACAAAGAAAGTAAGCCTTCAAAGTTTAGGGCATATCTTGCTAAACCAGAAACGGTACCTGTAATTTTACTGTATAGAGCTGAGCATTTTAGAATGACCCTTTGTTGCATTGCATAGAACAGTGATTGTGACTGCAAGACCATTCTTTTCCATTAACTACTAGTATGGTAAACAATTGGTTCTCAAGAGTTTTTGTTTTTGTTATTTCTTACTCCCTAGCTATGTTAAACCAGTTAACTCTAGTTGTTTGTGAAGTGTCGCAGTAGTGTCATGTGTCAATTGAAGAAACTGGTTGATTTTAGGGAATTAGTAATTGAAGAAAAGCATTGCTTGAAGAAAGTAATTTTTTTTTTTTTTTTTTTTTTTTTTTTGTTTTTTCTTCTAATTGTTAAAAAAGAAATATAAAAAATGGTACAGGGGAGAGTGACAATTTTCCAGATCTTAAGAATCTCGGATGGCTAACTACTACTTATAGAACCATTTTGCGGATAGATGTTGGTATACGCATAGCTAGGGACGGAAAAAGAAGGGAAGGAAGAGAAAAGAATAGTGTTATAGTTTTTCATCTTGTTTGAAAAAGACAGTGGTACATTTTTATCTTGTGTGGAAAAATATAGTAGAAAGAAAAGGGAAGAAAGTGGTTTGGAAGGCTCATTACTTCAACTAGTCCCCATGTTAGGCTTCAAGGAAGGAGTCTGGCGAACGAATAATCATTGAGTCCTCCTCTTTAATCATATGAGTTGAAATGTTAAAAACATAAGCAAAATATAGAAAGGTTTCTCTAGAGACCCTGTTTGACCTTAGATTTTCCTAATAAATTCTGTTAAAGTCTTTTGTTGGTTATAGTCGCATCACAACTGTTTCACTGGTAGGCGCTATCTGGTCCATCTCTGAAATCAAAATTAGAGTAGTGAGAATTGTGAATAGAAATACTTTGTAATTTGAGTTGATGATAGTACTTTGTTAAAGAAGTGAGAGCCTTTGGTTTCCTTTTTGCCAGTTTGCGCTGCATGAAATGAAGCAAGATAATAAGCTTGAAGCTACAGTAAAGGCTCTCACTTCTAAGTCGTCTTTGCGTTTGTGCTCTCAATTATTCATATCCAATTTTACACGGTGATCAATGATGTCTTGTCACTATGAGAAGAAGCTGAAACTCGAGTCCAATAGCTCGCAGTAAGTGGGGGTATAAGCGATTTTTTTGCATACGATCATCAGTAAGATAGATTTTCTATTCTCTTATTGTGTTTTAATCGAATGTTTGACACTTTGGGTGGGGCTTAACCATTCGGTGCTTATTTTATTTATATGTGGTACGGCGACATTTCCGTGTATCATGATCGAATGTGTTTCATCTTTTGAATAACAAAAACAGCACGAGATTGGAATCTGTCTCTTCGTCTCGTGCAACAAAAAAGGGGAAAATTAAAAAAGGTGTGTAAATTTGAAAATCTCACTTTAGACCAAGTCTTTGTTGCTTCTTGGAACAATCAAAATCAAACCAGAAAAAGAAGCAAAGGAAGAGACAAGTAGAAAGGAAAAAGCAACGAGAAGAGAATTTGCTGTGTATTTAACAATGTAATCATTGGCTTTTTTACTGGGGATCATTGCCCGTGATAAAACGCTCCCCAATCCTTAAAGAGTATTTCTAATTTGGAAATTAAATCCACATATACCACTTTTCAATATTTAATTATGTATTTATTTCCTCCCTATTCCCTTCGGGAATCTCCAAAGAAAATTTACTTGCTGATTCGGAAAGAGTACCGACTTTAATGGGTGGAATTCCATTATTTTGGGAACACAAGAAGCACTTGATAAAAGTAAACCCATTGCCCCTAAACTATACTGCTCCGGAGTACATTACAAGCCTACGCAAGAGCTACAGAGACTTTTAACACATTTCTCGGGTAGTGCTGTATTTTTCTCGCACCATTTTTTGTCTCTCGACTCTCTCTTTTTCATGGAAAGTAAAATGCCAATCTCTAACTTCCAAAAAAATGAAAAAAAAAAAAGAAAAAGAAAAGAAAAAGAAAAGAGAAAAACCAATCTCTCTCTCAATATTTGTTGGGACAATAAGATACTGACTCTGTTGCTATAACTTCAAAAGTTTAGTCTTTCTCAAGGTTTTTATTGTACTTACAATTTTTGGGGGAGAGAAATTTTGATGAATCTGATGCCCATACGTACGTGATACATTCTTTTACATATGCTTCCTTGCAATTCATGCAGCCAACCTTCACATGTAGTGTGCAATGCATGACTCAGAAAATACTATAATAACTAATTTACAACTTAACGATTTGTCTTTTTTTTTTTTTCAATAAAAAAATAATAATAATAAGAAAATAAAAGAAAAAAGATCTTGTTTTTTAGCTAACAAAACACTCTACAACACCCAAAAGTGGAGCAGCATAATTAACAGCAAAAAAAAAAAAAAAGACCTAACCTAGATATTTAAATTCACTCGTTTTCCAATGCCATAGAAACAAATAGAACAAACAAATCTCAAATCTCAAATCTCAAATCTCAAATCTCAAGTACAAACATGTCTCTATTCTGCAGTACATAAATCTGGAGCTTGTCAATCTCGGTGCAAAATCCTCTCCGGTTGAACAGTGTGCAGTTTTCTCCATTTTAGAAAATAGAGGAAACTGGACACAGTGGGAGGAAACTGAAGACTGTTGAACTATAGAGAATCCCGATCCGTCAATCCCCCTCCCACTCGCCACTTAAACTTGACCAGGCGGTTGTCTAAACTTCACTGCTGTTTTCCTGAAGTAAAAATAATTTGTCAAACTGTAAAAGCATGTATGATGGAGAAGAGGGTCAGAGACATATACTATATCATTTATATATAATATTGGAACCATTTTAGATTATGATTATGTACTTTAAAATGTGGTGTCAAATACAAAAAAATAATTTTTATATCCATAGCACGGACTTATGATAAACTTGATTGGCAATTTTTTTTTTTTCTTCTTCTTCTTCTTGTAAGTACTCACGCATACTTTTTGCCATGTCCGGCCTTGAATTCGTTGACTCCACCCCTCTTTAGTTGGCCTAAATGACGATTCATTAAATGGGTTTGTGAACCTAATTTGTTGAACTCAAGTGGAACTTCAAAAACGAATTTTAAATTTAAATTATACAATAAAGCGCTCTATATGTTCCCTATCCTAAATTAAAGTATTGTTGCTCTTTTTAACTAAAAAAAAAAAAAAAAAAAAGGTGTTGTTGCTCTTCTTCCCCATGTCTTTTTGTCTTTCATAAAAATAAGAGAAAGATTGAATTAAAGAAGCTTTAATTAAAAAGGGAAGTTCATGTACAGTGCTTTGTTAATTATCTGCATCATACAATAACATAGAGAAAAAGACAAATATGTTTCCCTCCTAACCCCACACACGCGCAAGCAAACACACACACACACACACACACACACACACACACAAAACCACCTATATGCACTTTGTACTTTACTACTTTATGTAGCTAAGAAATGGAACTTTGATGATTTGGCTTTAAAAATTGGACAAAATTTCATTTTCACCTCATATGGCATGTGCATCCGTTTTAATAGAGACTATGATCATGAATCATATTCACAAAATCCAGATTGATAATAGGGTGAGAATTTATGAAATGAACATCAATTCTCATGAAATTCAGACTAAGGTGGTACATGATAAAAATTAGGAAATTCTGTGTTTTTGTATCATAACAATTAACAAGTCTGCTTCCATCTTAAGTTTCACCTGAGACTCTGCGTGTATGATTAACTTTAAAAACACGATATATGAGTGCGTGTAGTTGTAAACACGCATATATATATATATATAGGGAGTGATAATTAAGTGTGCATGAATATAAAGTGGATACATACACATATATGTACCTGTTATGAATAGGATCAGGTCCATTGGGTACTCTTCTCTTGCTCACATAATAAACAGCAGGCCTCTTTGTTCCAATCAGCTTCAAGACATCTGAGTTTGTGGTTGATGGAATCGTCGTTATTGTAGCTGTTTTTGTTGCCCGATTGGCTACAATATTTGCTACCAATAAGAAGCAGATAAAACCCATCAACACAACAACTCCCAGTGAGGTTATCAGAGTGTGGTTACTACCACTTCTGACACCCATATATATATATATATATATATATATATATATATTATATCTCTTTTCGAATCTTCTAACCGTCCTCTTTAACGCAGAAATGCCAAAAATAGGAATGAAGATGAGGTTGAAACGATCACGTTGATGTTTGTAATGAGAATTTAATAATGCATCAGGAGAGCACACTGAGCAGAACAAGAAAGGCAGAGAGTATAGAAAAAGAAGTGACAGAGCAGAGTGTTTTTAGCTTGGCGGGTGAGGATAGATTGGTCTTATTTACATATATACATATATATATATAGAGAGAGGGGGGTGGGGGGGGGGGAGAGATAGAGATTAGTAAGGACAAAAGGAAATAAAGTAGTGTATTATTGCTTTTAAATCGTTATTGCTTTTTACATGGATTAGGGTCTAGGCTCTCTAGGGGTAGAAACTCTTCCTTTAGGTGGGTGAATTTTTATGTAGCAAACAAATGGGACCTCTTTCTCTCCCTATGTATTCCAAAAGACATAGGGCCTTGTGCCTAATCCAATAATTTCTCTCCCAATAATAGAATATAAGGTATTTGAATGAGAAGTCCGGATCAAAACCGTCTCTTGCGCAACAATGAATGAGGTATTTGAATGAGAAGTCCGTATACACGGATCAAAACCGTCTCCTGCGCAACAATGAATATGTCCCAGCCTGTGAATAATATATGGACACGATTTTGTCACGTCAATTAGTTAAAGAAGAGAAAAGAAAGTAAATCAATTTTTACTAAAGACATATTAGTGTATACATATAAAGTTTATCACGTCACTTAGTAAAAAAAGACAAGAGAGTAAGTCAGTTTGTAGTGCATACATACAAAATCTATACATCCCAACTTTTTCTTTAACAACATTCTAATATTTTTCGAATATACATTCCAATATTTTCTTAGAATAAGATCTACTATTCATCTATTTCTCTTGTTAAGAAAATGTTTGAATGTTGATCTTGTATCACAATATTTTCCTAACGTACATCCCAACTTTCTCCTTACTAGCATCCCAACATTTTTCTAACGTGTATCCCAAACAAGATAAAATAATGAATAGTGTGATGTTGGTAAGAGGAAAGTTGGGATGTTGGTAATTTAGTTTTTAGTGTAAACATAGAAAGTCTATACATTTCAACTTTCTTCTTAACAATATCCCAATATTTTTCAAATTTCTCCTTACTAGTATCCTAACACAATGAATCGTGTGATGTTGGTAAGGAAAAAGTTGAAATGTAACTTAGGTTAGGAAAATGTTGTGATATACAATTTATACTAAGATATGTTTATTTATGTATTTGTACAATAAATGGGATGTTGATAAGGAAAAAGTTGGGATGTAGGTTAGAGAAATGTTGTGATATACAAGAAGTTGTAGGTTAGGGAAATGTTTGTGTAGAGAGAAAACAAAAAGAGCAAAAAGTTAGTCTGGTTTTGATTTGGTCTCGTATGTACGTGTGTATGTATATATAAAAGTTTTGCTTTTTTAATTTTTAACTTTACGATTTTAACTCATTGGCTGTGACCGGTTCTACGGTTGCGCAGGAGACGATTTTGATCCCATATACACACATGTATACAACACATATTTAGTGGCACCTCATTTTGTTATATTATTCCAACATTTGATAGATAAGATTATATTATCATTGTTATTATATATATATAGCACACAATGGCAGAAACATCATGCACTGAACTAACCCTTTATTCAAACCCGTGTTTGACAATTTGTCAAGTGTCTTTTTCATTCAAATTTAACAAACATCCAAACGCCGCTCTGTTTCTGGACCAGCTTGTCTTTAAACTATACTGATCAGGGATGGGAGGGCAGGCTGTCAGTGGTCTTCTTTCCTCGTTTCATTACTCACTCATGCGTTTCCTTCCCCATAAGTGAACATCATACTGCTGATTGGTGAAAGCCTGTCTTGGCATCAAATGACAAACACCATCGCTGCAAATGTTGCATTTCTGTAACGGAGGACATCAAATTAAAATTTGATGGAAAAAAATTTAATGCTTTGAATTCTAGTAACAATGTTCAGAATCTCATTTAAAGGGGAAAATAAGTAAATACATATATATCGACGCCACAAAAACTTTCAATACAGAAAAGTTAGTTGAGACAAGACCATCTTGAGTTGAATTGAAATTTGTTACACTCTAAACAAACTATGTCCCTCTCAACTTCGCGTTGATTCAATCTTCTAGTACCTAAAAAATCAGTAGGGAATTCCAAAAGTCCTTCAGAAGGCATTGACCTGCAATATTTCTTCCGCAATTTCTATAGAAGATGCTAATGCCAACACAATACATCGGTACATTTAGTAATATGGTGGCCACATATAGCATTTTACCATGCCCATTGGAATCATGAACACCCATCATCATAGCCAATGTGGCTTGGTCAATTTTGACAGCAGTGAATGGATCATCAACTACATGCCATGGCATCCTCTGCACCAATTAACCTCCGAGTATCTTTTCAATTCCCACTTCCACTCAAACATTTCCTGCTGCTGGCCAAATTGACTTCTCCGACTTTCTCTTTTTCAGTGCCCAACTGGGTCCATATATTGCAAGATGTGTTCGGCCAAACCGTCGATCTGCTATCTGCACTTTCAAGTTACAACTCAACTCAAACATTGTCTTACTAAACATAAATAATTAGAGGCGTATCACAAAATCACAGCTCCATTTTTTATTTTATTTTCAAAATATAAGCATTTAAGTTCTACATCATCATCAGACGTATTAACTACTAAATTCACATTCAAAGAAGGCAATCAGTCCATCTCCACGTACATCCTTAAAATTAACACGTGTCTAAACATTTCAATAAATTAGCAGTCAAAAGACTAACCAATTATCTTTTATCTCATAATACTATATGTCTGTAGACGATACAAAGGTCATAGTAAGTACCTTAATGAGGCATCCACATGTATCTAGCATGTCAGTTCTTAAAGCATACTCCACTACCTAGAAAATAAAAATTAGAGTTTCATAAGAAATCAGAATAAAAATATGAACAAAGAGCCATGCTAAGAAGTAAAAGGGAAACCACAACTTACTATAAAGGTATTTTCTCCAACTACAAACGAATTTGAAATTTGATCCATCAATACTCCATAATCCACTTGTGTGTAGGGAGGTGTAACACTTATATAATCGAAAGGCCCATCTTTACCTACACAAACAAATCTCAACTTGCAACAACTCTAAATGAACAGACAATCAGAGTGGTAATTGAATGACATACTAAATGCAGTATTCTAAGACCAACAATACATCGACTGAATACCCAAGATTATTATTTTCAGAGGAATAAATCATCTACCTACATAATTGCTATTTGAGAGAGAGAGAGAGAGCAAAAGGTAACAAATACCTACGAATTGTTTTGCCTGTTCCAAGAACCTTTCAACTTGGACAGTATGTATAACTGATACATCAAGAAACCCAGTCCATTCTAAATTTGGCCGTAGAACATCTGAAACAATCCATGGATCCATCTCAACAAAATGCACCTGAGAATTTACGAGTACAGGCAGTGGGCATTTCAGCACAAAACAAGAAAACTGTGAAAGTAACTTCCATTCTAACTGTAAAACTATCTCGTTGCACTTTATTCCAGTCACTCTATTATCCAAATATACTGAGACCAACGAGCCAATGGCCTAGCGGCATCAGCCTCTTACTTCCCAAAGGGAGGTCAGGGGTTCAAGCCTCAGAAGAGACAAGTGTGCGTGAGTACCAAACTAGGAAAAAAATATATATATACTAGAAAGCAATTCCGGCCTTTATTATACTATTTTCTATTTTGCAAGTTCAAACTATATGTTCAACAATAACTTATCAGCTAACAAAGAGGAAACCAGATGTATCCAAAAATTCATAACTGATAACCCATACTACAAAGAAATGCGTTTCAAATAAATAATATACCTCAGAACATCCTCGACTGATAGCCTCGATACCAACAGATCCTGTACCACTGTACAAGTCTAACCAGCGACCCGGCCTCAAGGATGCAGGACAACCACCAGCCACCTTAACAAAAATAAATTACGTTCTTAACAACAACAATAGAAGTATCAAACTAGAATCTTCATGATTGTTCAATTCAAGAGGAAGACACTGATATATCAGAACATGTTAAATTGTTTACACGACTAGGATAAAATTTCCGATAAGATCTTTACCTGCAGAATATCAAAGGCTGCACCTTTCACAACTTCCATCATTGGGCGAACATCCATGCCTTTTGGTGAGAGCAATTTCATCCTTCGAGCCTTTCCTCCAAGCACCTACATAACTAGTAAAAATTTGGTATATCATTCTTTTTAGAAGAGAAGTATCTTATATTACCCATCTTAAGACAAAACAATATGCAATTCCTCTCTCCTAATGATGAGCCCTCAGGCCTCAATTGATTGTGTTAACCCTGTATTCACGTTTTAACTTTCAAATGATAAAAGCTAATATTTAAGGGCACATTTATGTTTCGGTTCTTTAGGGGTGGGCCTTGGCGTAATGGTAAGGTTGCTCATTTATGTTTTGGGTTTTTGAGGGTGGGCCTTAGCGCAATAATAAGGTTGCTCCATTGTGATCTTTAAGTCGCGGATTCAAAGCGGGAAACAGCCTCTCTGCATCCAGAGGTAAGGTTCTGTACATCTAGCCCTCCCTACACACTGCAATGGCGGAAGCCTTGTGCACTAGGCTAGCCCTTTATTTAAGCTTGGATTTTTTCAACTAGATCACACCATTTCCATTGGTGACAACTGAAAAGTAGCTAGATCACAATGTTTTGTCCTTTAATAAGTGGTTAGATCACACTTACCAATAATGTAAATTCATTGCTTAAAAATTATGCCTAAAACGTTAGCTTCTGAAAATGCCCTGTCTAAATATACGATGTCTTAAACTCAAATACAAGTCATAGTGACGATATAACTTTTCAAACATGCTTTCAGCTCCTCACAAACAACACCATATTTATGAGCAAAGACGCTAATTGAAAAAATAAAACTTGAAATTCCAACCAAATGTATGAAGTTTTCATCTTTGCATTATCATATCACTACAACTTTTTACACATATCTACTAAAATTAATCAGGTAGATGATAAATAGAAACAAACGCAAAGTTACCTGAAGTAATTTATGGGTCCCCCTCGGCGGCTTAGGTTCCTCTAGTTGGACTTGTTTTCCTCTTCTTCCTGTCTTCTGCAGCTCCTTTCTCCTCAGTTTCTATATTAAATTCACATTCAAAACCCAGCCATTGCAAGCATATACATCTACAAAAACATATTTTATAATTTTATATAGTGTATATATATATGTGTGTGTGTGTGTGTGTGTATTTATGTATATGAGACCTTTGGAGAAGGTTCTGATAAGAACTCATCAGGATTGAGACCGTATTGTTCCAGTAACTCTCTCTTCTGATCAGTCGCCAGTCCATCCTTCGATTCTGATTTCGTCAGGTAAAGAAAGATTAACAATCTTACATTAAAGAGAAAAAAGAATTCAAAGATTTTAATCAAATTGATCGATTCTAAAAAAAAATAGGACGGTGAATTATGGAATGGAGAGACTTACTGTAAGAGAAGACTATGACGGAGGAGCGGCGTGGAGTTGTGGATTTGAAGGAGACGGGGATGAGAGCAAGATTGGGGCAAGACGAAGAAAGGTTGGAGGTGGTATTGACGCAGGGATGAGAGAGAACTGGGGATAATGAAACCGCCATTACTAGGGTTCAAATTTGGCCACGGGAGTGGAGATTATACAGATGCATATACTATGATGGTGCAGTGTGAGAAAATGCCATTAGTGGGAGATTATTTTTGTTTAGGATAAGGTTTTTTCTTTCTCATTTATTTATTTGTTTTAGTACTTTCTTTTTTCTTTGTGTTGAAATAAAAATAAATAAAAAAATTATGTGTTGCTGACACTATTTACATTCAAGTCAAGATGCGTTGAAAAGTGAGACTTCAATACTTATGTTTCGGATCATCCACTGAAGAGTAAACAACAACACATGAGAAAGAAAAAAAAATGTAAATTGTTAACACTCACGTCCACAGCTATAAATTATTTTTTCAAACACCTTAATTCATTTATCAGACAAAGTAAATATCTAAATTTTCTAATAATTAATGCACACACTCATTTTGTCCCACTTAAGATTTAAACGTTCAACTTTTCACATTCAACAATAGCTGAATTAAATTATTTTTAAATATACAAAAATAACGAAAATATAATAAATCACCAGGTTAGAAAGTTTTTCCAATTTTATTTTTTTTATTTATTTTATTTTGTAGTAGAAGAAGTCAAAACGTGCATATTATGGTCATTTGGAATAAGGTCGGCGCTAACAAATACCAATGGTGAATTTATGTATTGTATGTAGAAAATATTTTTCTATTTTCAAATAATTAAAATTAGAATACATTACAAAAACTCTTTTTATTTTTTTAAAATATAAGTTTTTTTAAAATGATCTTTTATAATTTTTTGAAAATAAATTTTTATTTTTAAAGTATTGAGAACTGTTTTTAGACTTAAGAATTGGATAAATTCAAAGAAAATTTTACATGCCCATTTTCTTCTTAATAGACTCAGTTGATGGACATAAATTGAAAAAAAGTCCTAAATTTTTATCAAATAAATCTCAATTAATCCTCATTGTGTCACTAGCATCAGAATTCAATCATATGACTATCTGATGCATAGAATTATCAAACATTTGGTTCTTAGTCATTTTCGAAATATTGGGGAAGGACATTAAATAAGAAATTGCAAAAAAAAAAAAGAAAGAAAAAAGAATGAACATTAATTCCTCTCTGTCTATTTAGGTGCAAAACAGACCTACAAATAATTCAGATTTTCCTGAATGGTCTACAAATAATAACAGCATCTCTAAAGCTACCGTGTTGATCCAAAACAAAGAAGAATTAGATAGAAAATGGAAAAGAACCAAAAAAAATAATAATAAAAAAAAAATTACAAAAGAGGTAGTAATTAAGCTAAAGAAAGAGAATGAAATTAAAGAGACGAGTCTAGGAGGCACGAGAGCCCACACATTGCCGGAAAATGGCAGTGAAACCACACCTTTGAGCCTTTTTTTCAGATCTTGATGATGATGAACTGGAAGCCATGGAGGGCTTAGTTTCAAATCCAGAGGGCGAGGACGTGATGGAAGGGTGCTGAGAATCAACAATATCATCCTTGAGATGGAAGTTGTTGTTATGGTTTTTCTTTGGAGCTGTGGATGCGGCATGAAGCTCGCCAGATATTTGAAGATGATCGTCCCAAATGTGCCCCGACGAGCCCTGTCTCCGAAATGAAACTGACGATCTCTGCAATGAACCCATGGATTATTGGATCCCAATCAATCAATCAACCACCTCCTTTTATTTATTTATTTTAGTTTTGTTCTGTTTTCTCCTCGCTTTCCTTTTTTAACTAACATAACGGTTTTGTTTATGGGTGTGATTTGTTTTTTAAAATTTGAGAGAGATTGTTTATGGTTATTTGGGACACTTCTTAATTTGAGGAGAGGAGAGAGTGAGAACTTCTTTCATATTACAAGTCCAATTAATTAAAAAAAAAAATGAGAAGAATACTGAACATCCAAGTGTTTGGCCAAAAACAGAGAGTTTATTGAATTGTGAAAACTTCAACACCTGACAAAGTGTTGACAACCCTCCAATTAGTGGATGTCTTTAAAGATCAAAAAAATAAAATGTTGCATATAGTTTATGCAGTAACTGCGTTACATTGCTTATACAACAACTATTTCATATATTTATTATAGTACGTTAAAATACTATGTAAAATTTAAACAGGACCATGATCCCCTAAGGATTGATGCATCCATGAACTGCATCACAAGCAACTTTTTTGGCTATATTGATTACATTTTTCTCGTACTTATAATATTTGTTTGATAAGCTTTCCGTTATAGAGCCAAAAGCAAAGCCTGCATTGCTACATTATTGTAATTAGTAGTGATGTTGCACAAAGTTTACACCAAGCAATCTCCACAAACAAAGGCAGTCTAGCTAATTAAGAGGTCAGAAATTAAAATATTCATCCAAAAGAACAGGAAATTCGATTTGCATTTCACTGTGTTTATCTAAGATTGCCTCCACAAATGAGTTTGGAGAAGATGAAGCTGCTTCTTCAGTACAGTGCTGTGTCTGACCTCCACTAGTAGTAATACTAATCCCTTCATGGTAAAATGTGTCAGCTTTGTCATGCCTAATAACTCGGCTGAACACACTTTCATCTATGCCTGCAGGCTTGTTCCATGGTAGTGATGGTGCCTCCTCATTCTGTAATCTGATTGTAGGACTAGCGAATGATAGTATATCGCGGCAATTATGGTCTTGTTGTTGCGCGATATCTGTGGACAGAAAAGGGTCACCGAGAAGAAATTCACTCCATCTAGAGGGAGAAGAAGGTGTGAGTTGAAGGTGAGATGGTTGGTAAGAGAGGGATTGAGGTGAGCTCAGTTGGGTGACACTAGAAGAAGACGTGGACGAAGTAGAAGAGGCGATTTCATTGAAGAAATGGGGTGGGATGGTAATTTCTTGGTTCATGACTTGGTGGAACTGAGCCACATTGTCCCATAATTGGTTCATAGCAAAGGGGTTGTCTGGGATGTTGGTGGTGGTTGAAAGTCCTGTTGAGACTAAAGATGGTTCTGATTTGGATATTGATGTGTTGTTTACTGAAGTGATTTGATTTCTGGTGTTTGGGAGGACACTGATGTTGCCGTAATCGGATAGGATCTGGGAGAATGGCTTATGTGTTATAGGATCAATTCCCATCTTGGATAGCTTCTTCCTCAGCTTAGTGTTCCAGTAGTTCTTCACATCATTGTCTGTTCTTCCAGGTAATTGTTTTGCAATTAGAGACCACCTACACCATACAAACAATGTACAAGAAAGAGAGACAATCATTTTTCTTGAACTGCTTGCTATAGGAAACAGGTTGTTAAAACTATGGTGTATAATATAATCTACATGACGGTAAGGAAAAATGTTCATGATCAATGAGACAGCTATTAAATGGCTCAATTATCCCAATTAAATAAAATGTTGACAGAGGAATAACAGAACACCCCATATTTTGAAATGGAAAAAAGGGAGAACCATAAACATACATAGAGAGATACCCACCTGCTGCCTATAGCTTTATGAAACTCAAGAATAAGCTGTTCTTCTTGGGGTGTGAAGTCATCATGCTTGAGGTCAGGCCTCAGATAATTAGTCCACCTAAGCCTACAGCTCTTCCCACATCTATTAAGTCCTGTACATAAACTCATCATCCAAACATATTAGAATACACATATTTTATTCTACTTCACTCTCTCAACATCTTAGATTAACCCAAAGTTTTATTATTTTTAAAGTTTAATTATTTATATATTTATTATAGAAAATTTGAGAATCCAAAAAAAAATGGGGGCTGTAGGAGAATAAAGGAAGCACATATGTATATAAATATCTTAGAAAACCTGCTTTTTGGGGAACCAAAGTCCAGTTGCCAATTCCATGTTTGGCTACGTAGGCAAGTATTTTTGCATCTTCTTCTGCTGTCCAAAGCCCCCTCTTTACGTTGGATTTATCACAGCAAGGAGGTCTCCCCATTGAATGAATGATGGTGGTGTCAGAGGGAATTCTAGAGAAAGAAAGTGAGAGAGAGAGAAATGTAATGGTATGGTATGGTATGGTATGGTATGGTATGATGCAATGGTACAGCCTTTTTTACAAGTACATTTGGAGAGGAATCATTTAACAAGAAAGGAGGCAAGAAAAGCATGTAATTTGGCTCCCATTTAACAACAATTGCATGATTCTATCACCATGGAATCACAAAACGGTTTCATCTCTCTCTCTCTCTCTCTCTCATGTGCATTGTTGCTCCAAGAGTGTTAATAAATGCATTCAGGTTCAAAATGAGTGAGTTCTTTTGTTAAGCTTTAAACTAGTAACTGATTTTGATTCAATGGTGCCTGGTATGGAAGGCTTCTTTATGCATGGGAATATTCACAACTGACATGCTCTTAACTGTAAATCAGGTCAGCGTGACGCACTCTACTCAAATTAATTTACATATTTAACATCTTATTTTCATTTAAACTTAATACTATCACTCCTATAATGCTAAAACTTTGAATTGACTTGGTGTGAGTAATGCAAGAAACAAGGCCGATTGATAATGTGTGACCTTATAGGCACCCAACTACTCCGTTCACCACACACTTTGCTTACCCCGAGTAACTTCCTCACCGTTTACCACATGCTCTGCTTACCCTGACTAACTTCTTCATGGTGAAGATCCCCATCTGTAAGTACTTGCCGCACACATTTCACAAACGGCCCTTTTTGATATTTCAACTCTCAATATTTGATATGTATTTTGAATTTTTGATATATATATATGTATATATTATTTTTCAATTCATAAGTGCAACTGTCAAATCACTCAACCACCTTCCTTTCCTCAATCTTTTTTCACCCCAACCAAACACCAAGAAAGAAAGACTCATTTTTCCTAATTGTATCCACACATTAATCATCATTTCCTTACTATCAAATTTTCCTCCCTTCCAACCAAAAAGAGCATTATTGCTTACAGAATAGATTCATTATGTCATTGTTCAACCAAGTTAAACTAATGCATTCATTAAGTACACAAAATTAAATAAACTAATTTCCGTGAATTCATTATAGATCACAGCATTCTGTCTTCTCGAGGTCAAACAATCACAGAAAAAGGTAATAAGTAAAATGAGGCATCATCCGTCAAATGCAACAGCTTGATGAATGATTTAACACGGGATGAGTCTTTATGAATAATCAATGCTTCAATATAATAACAACTAAAAACTGTCCGAAAACAATAGTAACTACAAAAGTTGGATCCAGATGATAACTTCATGGATGCCTCAAGCCTCAATACAGCATTAACTCCTTTCACTTTTCTCTCTCTTGGGTTTATAAAAAACAGCTCAATGTTATTATACACAAGCAGCAAAGGGTAATCTTTTGGCTTGTAAAAGAAAAACCAAATGCCAATGCCAGATAAAAAGGACTACTATGATGAGCACACCTTGCAGCTCTTCCTACAAAATCCAGTAGCATCTTCTGTGCCCACCATATACACAGGATTCTTTTCACACTCACCAGCAGCAGCCCACCGACCACAGTTCGCATTCTGATCAACGCAGCCACCAGTTGCCGGTTTCTTCAATGCTTTCTCAAAAGACCTCACATGAATCCATTTGGTTGCAGACCACTTCTCACCCTCAATGACAGGGCAGCTCCCGTGCAAGCTCATTGGGTCTGGAGTTGCATCGGTATGAAGACTATAAAACAGCAAAGCATCGCCCTTTTCTGGTTTCACTGCAAGTAAGAACTTAAACAAAATAATAAGACAACTGGAAAATACAGTAAATACTGACATGCATATTGCTTGAAACAAACTACAAATAAACAACTCTTCTCTTGGCGTTTCCTATAGTTGTCCTAAAATATCCATACTCCTTTATTTAGATAGAGACAAAGGGGCGATTTCAGTGTTTCACACAACTTGGATTGTTCAAGTCACATAGCCACCTTCTAGTGACAGTAAATATATCATACACAATGTAAGTACAAAACAATTTTCAAATGGGTAATACAGAAACAAATAAAATTTTCCATCTGGATCCTACTCTCATGCCATATCTTATGGTATTTAAAAGAATGCTTAAAAGATTAAAATTGTGTAGTTAGAAACACAAAATGATGAAAATAATTTTGAACCATCAATCACTAAACATAATTACCAAAAAAACCCATTGGGTAATCCTCCTCTCAGTTACCCCGCCTTTTGTTCTTTGTTAAAGCCCCCAGACCTGTCCAGACAACTTTTGGTGATTCAACACTTCACAGGCATTATCGAGAATCAAATCCACTTCCAACACGTTACACTAATAATTCCACATAATATGAATAATTACTTTCCTGGAACAATTTTCTCAAGTTGACCCATGAAGAAGCAAATCCATCAAATGCATATATAAATATAAGTAAATATACCTGAATAGCCCTTTTTAGCACAATCAGACAAGTTGACATCCTTTGGTTGAGTCTCTTTTCCCTGCAAATAATTAAAACTTCATAGTTAGCTCCTGTGGAGTGGAAAACACCATGAAACCAGGCCGAATCAAGTATCAGATACCTCTGAATCGGGAAAGACAGTTTCTCCACCCTTCTCAACATCGGACAAATACATAAGTACAGTGACAACCCTGTGACCCCCCAGTTCTTGATTCTCTTTGTCATGAAAATAATCATAATGTGGCTCATACTTTTGACCATGCTCATAATGAAGTATTTGAATCGACTCCCCGTTTTCTGATTGCAACATCAGGTTAAGTGAGAAAATAAGGAACATTTTTCACAATAGTGAGACATGAAGCCAAAAATCAACACAAAGCATGTTACCAGTTTACCTATGGGAAGGAAGGTCCAAGCAGCAAGTCTGTCCTCAATACGAGCAACTACTTCATCCTGTAAAGACGAAATAAAGAACATTAAGTAAGCTTTACAATATGGATAAATTATAGTGAAATTCATAACAGAATCATCTCTCAAATTAGTTTCATAACCAAGGTGGTGCATTCTATATGAAACCTGTCCAGGGAATGTGATGACAGTTCAAAATGTGCAGATTGTTGCCAACATTTTTGGTCAAAACTTTTATGCTTGCATTCTATAAAACCTGTCCAGGGAATATGATGACAATTCACAATGTGCAGATAGTTGCCAATATTTTTGGACAAAACTTTTATGCTGCGAATAAGGTGGCAAAGCTCACCGCACCAAATGCTAAAGACCAAAGCACCTTCTCAAACACCTCTCAACAATCTATACAGCAAGTGAGCAACAATATATACAAAGAGCTATCATCCATTCTAAATTCTCAATCGTTGCAAAGAATATAAGGTACAGGGTAAAATGCCCTTCCTCCCCAGGGCAATAAAGAGAAGCAAAAAATAAAAACTAAAAAATCGGAGAGGGTTTATTTTATTTCTAAGAGGACTGAGAAAGAACTGTACTCCTGAAAGCTAATCATTTTGCACACTTTCAAGACCGAGGATGTTCGAATTACAATTAACAGCCTTAGTCCTTCATGATCCAGATGATCAAAACATCACATGAAATTATCTTCTGTTAACAATAGTGGCGAATTTCAATCGTTATCCTCAATGCTTTTATATAGCAGGCACCAATAACAAACTTCATTTTCTCTTGAATCAAAGAAACTGGCACTACCACACCACCACCATCACTAATAGTGCTACTGCTGCTACTACTATTAGTAGTACAGATCCATCATCCTACAATTATGCCCTATCTGTTGCAGCTGAACCATAAACCCACGTTACCCACCAAAATATGAATGTGACACCTAAAGCTACTAAGATTTTTATTTTTATTTATTTATTTACGTAAAGCCATTTAGGATGGAACACAGTAAAACTGTTGCATGACAACATCATTTACAATTATTTTACTAATTTAATTTTCCCCTGCCCTAACTATCAAAATTGCTGCAGGAAAAGAAAAGTAACTATGACAAAGCCTAATTTATTTGACCAATGCATCCTCAATGTTGACTTCAAATTGCTGCAGTGATGGAGCTGATAATATTTCTAACTGGACCATAAATTGTTTTCTAACAGGACCAAAGACAATTTATCAACAGATAACAGGTTTCATGTCGACAAATCAGTCATTCACCTTTTTATCATTTTGACAATTTCAACATCATGATAGAAACACATCCTGACTTTTCAAAAATGGATTGAATGATTTGGCAAAAAATGGACAATTTATGCAGATTGTGTGTTGCCAAAACAGTCTTTCATATTTTAGTATTTTGTATTAGAAATACATCCTAACATTTCAAAATAAATTGAAGCAATTCATTTAGCCAATTTCTAACTGATTAAAATGAAATCTACATTTAGCATTTACAAAATTCTAGGCACCTCATACTCGCATTCAAAAGAATAATATATATATATATATATAGTTATCCCTGATCTATATTCAACCCTACACAAATGTTGGACAGAAATCAGTAAAGTCATTTTGTGTCTTTAGTTTCACTCTGCACTAATTTTCAGTAACCAGTTTGCAACAGATTTTAACTTCCAACTATAAAATGGGGAAAAAGATCAATAATTTTAGAAAGCCTAAAAGGGAGAAGCCACCCTGCATACACTTACTATGTTATGGAGGGATACATAGTTATGAAGGCAAAATTCCTTGGAATAATTTAAGTCTAATATTTCGGGCATATGGGAAAGCAATGATCAAACTTTTCGCCGGGTTCATCTCCAATTTAGAATAAAATTCTCATCATAAAATTAGCGCTTACATACCAAAATCCAAATGGGTTCACCTCTTTCTTAAATGTGCTCCATGTAAGTGAGTTAAGACCATAAAAGCTCAATACGCAAAGCATGTATACATCCATAAAACAGAGAAGCATGTGGACATCCATAAAACCTAAGTGACAGCAACAACCATTTAGCACATGGTATGAAATAAGGATCGAATAGGAGTTTATGAGAACAGGAGAGAAAAAATAAATGACAAGAAAATAAAATAGCACACACACAAATGAGAAAAAGATTTACGTGGTTCGGTTATACCTACGTCCACGGGGACAAAACAGAACAATATTTCACTATGAAAATAAAGAGATACAAAACAAAGTGGCTCACACCCAAAACACAAATAAACCCAAGCTCTCACTCTCTAATTGCTATTGATACAAACTTATTCAATTGATTTCGAATGCCTTACACCATGAGGAGCACAGGCTATTTATAGCCAAAATGGGTCACCAAAAATACTTGCCGAGCAAGTATTTTAAGTACTGAGCTTGCTGACATCTTTCAACTTGCTGACCATGCAAATATACTTGCTGATCACATACCATGAATGGTCCAACATGGCAAGACTAAAAGCTTGTAATTGAATCCACATTCATTTGATTGATGGAGGCTTGGTTGTCCCCACAAGATGGTTATCAAGATGCTGATGTAATGGGTGATGCACTACACTTGCTGTGTGGTGCAAGTTTGGCAACCTAAATTTTTGAGCCACAGTATGCCAGTGCAGTTGGTAGCTTGATGTATGCAATGGTTTTGCACTCGCCCTGATATTTCACATGCAATTAGTGTTGTAGATATATGGAAAACCCAGGGAAAGAGCATTGGCATGCGGTGAAGTGGATTCTTCGGTATTTGAGAGGTACTATAGATATTGGTTTAGTTTTTCAGAAGAGCAGTGATGATTTTGGCAGCGTTGTTGGTTTTGTGGACTTCGACTACGCTGGTGATTTAGTGAGAAGAAGATCTCTGACATGATACGTCTTTACTGTCTCAGGTTGTGCAGTTAGTTGGAAAATAGCTTTGCAATCTACAGTTGCTCTATCTACTACAGAAACAGAATATATGGCGACCACCAAAGCAGTGAAGGACACCATTTGGCTGAGAGGTTTGGTTAGTGATTTGGGTTTGAAACAGAGCTCAACTTTTATTTATTGTGACAGTCAGAGTGCTATACATTTGACCAAAAATCAAATATATCACGAAAGAACCAAACACCTTGATGTCAGAAATCATTTTATTCGGGATGTCTTATTAGAAGGAATTACTACATTGAAGAAAATTGGCATAGCTGAAAATTCGGCGGATATGATGACAAAGTCCATTCCGGCTCTCAAGTTCAAGCATTGCTTGGACTTGGTTAGTATTCTCAAATGTTAAAATTGCCCTTAGGGGCTTTGTGGAGAAGACAATTTGTTTAGCAGAGATACAGTGGCTCATTTGAATTTTTCGCCAAGGTGGAGATTTGTTAAAATTGCCCTTAGGAGCTTTGTGGAGAAGACAATTTGTTTAGCAGAGATACAGTGGCTCATTTAAATTTTTCGCCAAGGTGGAGATTTGTTGAATACTGTGGCTTAAAAATTGATGTTGCCAAACTTGCATCACTCAGCAAGTGTAGTGCATCACCCATTACATCAGCATCTTGATAACCATCTTGTGGGGACAACCAAGCCTCCACCAGTCAAATGACTGTGGATTCAATTACAAGCCTTAGTCTTGCCGTGTTGGACCATTCAAGGTGTGTGATCAACAAGTATATTTGCGTGGTCAGCAAGTTGGAAGATGTCAGCAAGCTCAGTACTTGTAATACTTGTTGAGCAAGTATTTTTGGTGACCCATTTTGGCTATAAATAGCCTGTGCTCCTCATGGTGTAAGGCATCCGAAATCAATTGAGTAAGTTTGTATCGATATCAATTAGAGAGTGAGGGCTTGGGTTTATTTGGGTTTTGGGTGTGAGCCACTTTGTTTTGTATCTCTTTATGTCCATAGTAAAATATTATTCTATTTTCTCCCAATGGACGTAGGCATAGCCGAACCACGTAAATCTTTGTATCATTTGTGTGTGTGCTATTTTATTTTCTTGTCATTTATTTTTTTCTCTCTTGTTCTCATAAACTCCTATTCGATTCTTATTTCATAACAGCACCCCTCCAGTTCCCAAGTCCCCATTTTAATTATAGAGCAGCTAACTCTTGAGTTTTAATACCGCCAGCAATTTTCCAAAAGCATAGGCCTCAATGAACATCCGAGTAAATATATATACCTTCATGTCTCAGTAGTTATGGTTGGATCCTGAGACGGGAAATAAAAAAACACATATGGCATGCCTTGGTAATAATAAATTCATAATGCTACTGCGCAACATTTCACTGGTATCTAGCTTTGGGACATACAAAATGGTCTTCCACTTTTTGTTCTTTATTTTTACTTTTTCTGGTAAGTCAGGTTAATACTTCTATCATGAGCAACAAAGCAGGTCAGAATAACTGCTTACAAGTTTAAGCTGAATCAGCTGATCATCCACCAATCTAAGAATTGCTCCTTTCTTCATCTTGGGACTGATGATGAGATCACAAGCACAACAAGGGCAGATAAGGCTATTGCGGCCCTAAAATAACTAAACAGAAATAATATTTGTGCAATTGATTCTGTGTGGTTCACAAATGGGTGGTTCAAACTGGGATAGATCCAAACAAGGCCAAAAATAATTCAGGCACTGTTTTAACAGAATGAGTGACTCAAGAAAGGGGTTCAAACACAAATGAGGAAAGGTTGGTTCATTTCATAACATCATATTGATCATACTTCTATTCTGACTAGGTTTCCTATCCCATTAGTTAATTTCAATTTTTGAAAATTTATTATTATTATTATTATTATTATTATTATATGTTTTTGAATTGAGATCTTTCCCATTGTCTATGTAACTAATTGTACTCGCTGATTGCTTTGCAAACGTAACAGATCTTAATAAACATATAAAACCGAGTCAATAGATAAATTATGTTTTCCGGGTATTGAGAATACAATAATATCTTATAGATGATTTGATTTGTTAAAAGAATACTCTATGTAATTGGGATCAATAGCAATCAGGACAACACAAATACAATTATCATTCTACGAAACAGTCAATCAATCATTTGTGTAGCATAAAATTTGTATGTAACAATGTGAATAACTTATGCTTTCACATATTATCTGCATCAATCTCCAACATGATAAAAGAATTAGTGCAATAAAAATTAATAAATTATGACTGAATGAAAGTAGTTGGCAATATATCATCATTGAATATCATTAGCAATTGAAGATAGAGAGGAAGTTTCACTAACCTGAGCCTTCCTAAGAAACATGCCAGAACTCGTACGAACCTCACTCGCTATACTCTTGCCTGATTCATTGTCGGCAACCATGGACTTCTCTAGCTTATCCTTGGCCTAAGCTCCCAAATTCAATCAATTCAAATTCTAAATGATGGAAAAAGATGCAATAACTACTAAAGGAATGAAATACCTCTGTTCGGTTGAAAAAACAGAGAGACAATACATGAAATACAATTTTGAGTTTCACATTTTAGTGATTGTTTAAGGGCTACTTAACATTTTTACTGTTTTAGGCACAATTGAGTAGAATTTTTTTCCCTATTGGGTTGATTATGAAAAATCTAACACTTCATTTCATAACAGAGCATGAGTTCTGTTAAATCAATAAAAAGGAACTCTAAAACAAAAAAAAAAAACAAAACAAAACAAAAAGAAAAAGAAGCAATATATAGATAAGAAATAAAACCTAACCAGAATGATGAGATGATCACACTCCTCATCTGTTAAAAATTTCCTATAGATGAAAGCCCTGTATAATTCCACACGACACCAATCAAGACATGAACAACATAAAAAAGCTCGATAAGCATTACAAAACAAATTATGTGTGTTAGAGGAGACAAAATATCACCTGGGACGCCACGATAGTTGGGTGACTCGAGTAGGATCAACAGGAGAATTTGAAGGACCAGTCGGCAATCTGATCACAGATCCTTGTCTGAGAAAAAAAGGAAAAAAACAGATGTCATCTATTATCTTTAATGGCGTATAAACATGTGTTTCTATATATATATATATGTATATAGGTGTATAAATAGAGAGAGAGATAGAGAAAGATGGAGATACGTTTTCTTATCTCCGAGCCATCTTGGAAACCGAATAGCAGAATGGGAGAGATCAGGTAATAAGAAGAGGAAACAGAGAGAAAGTGAGAGAAAAACACGAGAATCCATGAGCAATACGTGTGTTTCTTGCAAATCACTGTTCTTTGGAATAATTTATACAGAGGAACACCATAAACGGAGGCGTTTTTATTTGTTTGGATGGCGAGAAATACAGAGAGGATTTACTAGAGAAAATTCAGGGCAAAGGAAAACGAACTGGACAGGTTAGCCTGGTCCGGTCTTCTCTCTCTCTCTCTAAAATGTTTCTCTTTATCAGACTTTGTAATGGGCCCACTTGATTTAGTTGGGATTTGTCATTATGCACACAAAATCTGGAAATGAAATATAGATTGAATGATAAAAAAATAAAATAAAATTTAACACCGAATGATAAAAATGTAAGGGTTAACTTTCAGTTACACCCTTGTTATTTGTCCAATTTTTCAAGGGGACTTTCCCACGTTTATAAAAACAATAAATAAACGTAATAACTAATTTACTCTTTTATCATTTTCCTATATACACTTGACCAAATAACAAATTTTATAACTCCCACCAAGATTAGTTTTATATGTTGAACCAAACAGTCAGCTAATTTTCTATCATCCCTCATATCTCAATAGCGAAGTCAGGTTACAAAATTAGACTCATTGCTTTGCAGTTCAGTTTAGAGTCTCAACGACTCAATGTCAAAGTTTCAGTGACCTACTGATATAAGCATAAAGCTTGAGAGACTAGGAAGAAAACGGAGATACATCAACCTAACTGTGAGCTTTAGTTTCGACGAACTTCAATTTTAGTAGGCTACGGTCCAGTGAGCTTTAGTCAAACGTACAACTTTTAATACCAAAATCGTTGAGGGTATAAATTGAAGTGGACGAAGCTGCAATAATCATCGACGAGTTTTTCCCTATTCTTCGTTGAATTCAGACAACCAATACCAACAAATGAGTACCAGACCGAGTATGCTCTCAATCAGATCCGCGAGCTTGATGGATACATATGGTTGAATAGATGATTTTATTAGATTATTTCAATGATATATTGATGAGAATGGTTGAATTAATGAGTTAAATTGAATTGTTGTGGGTCGGATTTGAAGAAACGATGGGATGGAGGTTATGAAACTCAGAAATTCTCTATTTTCGCGACCTCATCGACAGCAAGAAATTTCGTGATCCAAGCCAGCGAGGGCGACCCAGGCCTCGAATATGCCGACCGGATCCTCGCCGTCGTCAACACAGGGGGTGTAACTGAAGTTAACCCAAAATGCAATAACATTTTACGGATTTGGTTTTAGCCTATACTGGAATTTAGGTTTAAGTAAAAGTCAAATCATACCCACCCTAAAAATACTTAATCAAACAAATAATTAAAAAAAAAATAACGTTTTGATTCAAACTAAAATCGGATGAAATTGTACATATCCTAATTTTTTTTTCTATTTCTCAAACTTTTTTTTTTCATTTTTTGCAAAATATATAGAAAAAATTTGAATTTTTGTTAAATTTACAATAATACCCTCTATTTACTTATAAATTTTTGGCATTTCAAATAATAATTTTTTTTATAACTTTCTTTAAAAAAATTCATACTAATAAATTGCATGTTGGAAGATTTTATTTAGTTGTTTTTTTTATTCATTTTACTTTTTTTAACTTCCACTTTTTTGCTACTACGTATTAATTTTCATCTAAGTTGTGAAACGTTACAATAATATCCTTTATTTTACTTATAAAATTAATGCATTTCAAATTATAATTTTTATTTTTGTAACTTTCTTCAAAAACAAATTCATACTAATGAATTACATGTTAGAAGATTTTATTTTCTTATTATTTTTACTTTCACTATTTATTTTTATGTAACTAAAAACACTCTTGAAAGATTTAAGAAGGGACATTATCATATTTTTGTTGCGCAGTTGTCATCATAAGTATGGTAGAAGCCATTATCATGGGGCCAATAAATTAATAAAATGATAACTAGATTGAGAAAGGGTAACGAGATTTGTAAATGAAAACCCATAATAATAGTCTTATTTATAAATAGTTTATATATATATATATGACTAATAAATAAGCATTGTCAAATTTATTCTTGAAAATGATGAAAGCTAAAAGGGTCCCATTGTTTTGTATAAAATATTTATATAATAATTCTCTCCTTTAGGACAAGTACAAAAAAATTCAAGAATTGTTATTCCATGCCGTACAGTTGTCAAATATTCAAAGTGTACCAAGAAAACAAATATATCCTCAACTTTCAAATTTTAAAAGCCAAAAAATAAATTAAAAAAATCAAGTTAATATGTAACATTTGTTGAGGCTTGAGAGTACAACGACTAATACCAATGTGTTTTTGATTGAAACCAAGGATGTTATTTAGGGCTTATGTGGAGCCATATGTCACGGACTTAGAGATTTGGCGTAGCGGCACGGCCCGTGCGGCACCAAAGCGTTGCTTCAGCTCGCGCAAGTACCTTGATCAGCCACCACGACCTGCCCTCCCAAGGATATATGTTGACTGATTTCGACCTGCCTTGGTCTCATCAGGGGAACGGCTCCAGCTCCCGACCAGTTTGTGCAGGGATGACCAACTCCCTTATTCATAGTCAAGTTTACGACCAGCGACAAGCTCCTCGCACCTAATCGAGTCGACTTGCCTGAACTCTGAAGAGGTACCATCCTATGCTCCTGCACGCCCCTTCCCTGCAAACCATTTCCAGTCAAACTCTGTTCTTTGCCAACCAGCATGCGTGTCTTCCATCCTCCAAGCGTCTTAGGAATCACTTCGTGACACTCTCCCCCACCCAAATCCTGCGATGCCCTCGTCGCAATGCGGCGCTTCACCACTACGTCCACTCCGTTCCAAAGTCTGCCTCTAAGCGGTATGCTCGCCTTCCCACCATCGCTTCCTTGTGCAGCTCCCTGCACTGCACTCGCCCAATGATAGGCCTCGGACCAAGGGAACGTCCACTCCTCAAGGACGTGATTCTTCTCCGTCATGCTGCCTCCGCGACATCTCGAGCAAGCAAGGGCCTCCTGCCGACTTGATGCTCGCCCTTCACCATGGTTTGCATCACCCAAGGACTAAGCAAGAACTTTGGTGCGCGCGGCCCTCCGGCCCTCCAGTGCGCAACTTCAACGGACTCCTCTTCCTGGGGAGATGGAGGCTCTCTCCCCAACTGCATTGATTCATCCTCATCGACGCAACTTAAGTGCACCGTCTTCATTCTCTGACCCCTCCCGGACCGACAAGGGGGCACCCCACCGTCTTTTACCCCAAGTCCTGTTCTGATACCATTTGTCACGGGCCTAGATATTTGGCGCAGCGACACGGCCCGTGCGGCACCAAGGCGTTACTTTAGCTCGCGCAAGCGCCTTGGTCAGCCACCACAACCTGCCCTCCTAAGGATACATGCTGAGTGGTTTCAACCTGCCCTAGTCTCATCAGGAGAATGGCTCCAGCTCCAGACCAGTTTGTGCAGGGATGGCCAACTCCCTTCTTCATAGTCAAGTCCACGACCAGCGACAAGCTCCTCGCACCCAATCGAGTCGACCTGCCTGAATTCTGAAGAGGTACCATCCTGTGTTCCTGCACACCCCTTCCCTGAAACCATTCACGGTCAAACTCTGCTCTTTGTCAACCAGTATGCGTGTCTTCCATCCTCCAAGCGTCTTAAGAATCACTTCGTGACACATTGCTGTCTAAAGATGCGAGTTTGTCAATGGTTGGTTATATGAATTAATATGTGCATCTGAAAACCATTGATAAAAAAATAGAATTCTGCCAAGGGCAATTAATGAATTTAATGGTGTTGACATGATTTCTAACTTCAAAACATTTCAAAGTTCGTGTCAATTTTAAACCTTCAACGTATAAAATTGTTATTATATGTAATTTACGGATTTTTCCTCATTTTAAAAGTTTAGAGTGTAAATTCTATACAATCAAAGTGAGTGTATAAGTTTGTTATTAAACCTTTAAAAAAATAGTATATAAATATTGTCTTGAATTAAGAAATTTAGAATTTAATAACTGAATTCCTAACCTTGAATTCAGTTATTCACAATGATTAATTGGTTAATTTCCAATCAAGCAAGGTCAGGAAAATAGAATGTCCCTTCTTATGTTGGATTCAAAATAGCTCTAGAACGAGAACTTTACACAACTTTGAATGAAAATAAATTAAAGAATGCGTCGTTGTGTAAAATACATTATAGTATACGCATTTATATCTATACCAACATTTTTGTACAACAATAGAAGATATAAGATTTGATTACAACTAAATTACTATAACAAATCTGTTCTAAACTAAGTGTACATAAAAAGAAATGCAATAAAAATGTAATACTACATAATTGAAAGAAGGTGTTTTAAGTCGGGACCTTTATGAGTGTCCTCTAGCTATTTATATTTGAACCATTCAATAGTTGTATTCGCCTGTCAACTTTAAAGTCAAATTTCAGCAGTTATATTTTCAATTTCAAATACAAAACATAAGTTCATATTTATCAATTCTCTATTCACTCTTTTATCGCCACGTGTCCTCCAAACTCAGCTTGTCAATACCCTTATCATGTTACCACGTGTCTCTAGGATCAAGTTTGCATTCACCTCTCGGTCCATGTGGTATTCTTAATTTACCAAATTACCACATCTTCCAAGCCTATGCAGCAAAACTCAGATTGACCACTTTGGCATATCACTAAATTGAATAAAAAACTTAAGTTATGGTGCAAAGTGTAAACACAAATATAATAGTTATTCAAATACATCAATTAGGGGAGAAAAAAAAAAAACTATCATCATCCACCTCTCATTTTATTATCACTAATCTTGAGGCAGACTTGGATAAATTTTGAACTTTAGTTGTTTTATGTCAATTTTGGATAGAAGGAAAATTAATGCTAAAAATAATAAATAAACAAATAAGATATTTTCTTAAGCTGAAAGAGCAGTGACAAACTCATCATTATAACATCAAACCCTCATTTTAATTGTCAGCAACCAGAAAAGAATATCACAACTTCACAAAGTATGCATCCAAAAGAAAAGCTTATGTGTGCAGAAGAATAAAGCACAACCTTGAACAATTCAAAAGGAAACCACAAAGATTAAAGGAAAAGAAGTATAGATAAAAGCTCACTGTGACATTGACACTTTTCACAAAACACTACCATGAAACTTTACCACGATTCGTCTATATCAAAATTTCTCTTGTTCTTTCACAAATAAAGATTAACAGTGATATGAAATAAAGGGTGAATTTGGAAAGGGACTGAAAATTACAATTAGAGGGCCATCTTTTGAGAAATTCCCATAGGTACAGGCTCTCAGTTTGAGACAGCTAAAAGAATGAATACAAATATAGTGACAAAGTCCGCTTCCTTTTTTTGGTTTCTTTATTTCATGAAATATTCAAAAAAGGAAAATATGTTTCATGTGAATCCAGTGCCTGTAGCTGCTGAAAAGCCGAACTGAAGAACGCAACAATTTGATAACAAGAAAGAATAGATCATCTTAAAGAAAACAAGATTTCATTGAGGATATGAATACAAATCAGCAATGAAAATCTACATTGCACAACAACAAAACAATACATTTCTTTCCACTCAAAATTCATTAGAAAAATTCAAAATCTAAGTAAGGACCTGATGATCTATTGGAATCAAAACCTCCCTTGTCATTTGGAGACAAGGATGGCTTGGATGTTTGATTAAGGAATGCGAGATCAACTAGTTTAGGAATCTCTGGAGGGTGAGTACTACGAATGAGAGCCCAATTAATACTTATGAAAAATGGATGATGTTTTATCTCTGTAGCACCTCGCTTGTACCCTAATCTTTTTTGCGGGTCCTTTACAAGCAAACCCCGGATCAAATCCTTTGCAGCAAAACTAACTGCAGAACCATCAGGAAATTTCAGTGAATGGCCAACAACGTTAAATAATGTCTCTCGGTTTCCATTGCCTTTAAATGGTGTTCTCCCATGTAACAATTCGTACAAGAAAATACCAAATGTCCACCAATCAACAACACTCCCATGACCATCTCCTCTAATTATTTCAGGGGCTAGATATTCATGCGTCCCTACGAATGACATGGATCGAGCAGCAGTTGGCTCTGCAATAAGCACGGGGAGTGAATATAAATTTACCAAAGTTGTTCTTTCACTCCTCACCTTTGATGTTTTGGAGTTGAAAAGACGAGGCTTGAAGCAAGAGGGTTAGAAGCAAAAAGGCTCTACGCAAACTGGTAATTTGCATGCTGGAAAAATGCATGATGGTTGGATACAGTATGAAGAGATCACACAAGCGGCCTCATTACTGGACTTAACAAGAGTGGGGCTCACACAGCATCTTAAAGACAAATCAAAATCAGATAGCATAATATGTCCATCTTCCCTCACCAAAACATTTTCGGGCTTTAAATCCCTATATGCCACCCCCATCATATGTAGATACTCAAGAGCAAACAGCACTTCTGAAGCATAAAACCTACAAGACAAAACACAAAGTTGTTAGTCAGCTAATTCACACTTCGATTAACATGCACTGTGTGCTGAGATTGTACTGAAGCTCAATGTAATGAGGATCAAAATGAATCAATAATTCATTATCGTCCAATAAAACCGCTGAACACTAAAAGGTATTACCAACATAATTGCCAAACTTTTACATATCTGGAGGTATATATATCTTGAGCTTATTATGGTGATAGGATAACAGATAATCCAACTAATAGGAAGTTTTTTTGGGGATGGGTTAATTCTGTACCAATAAAATAAGGTCTATCATAACTATCACAAACACAATTTTAACTTGAGTTTTAAGCATTGCCACCAAGCCCTACCTTACTGTTCCATGTTTATGAGCATCAAAAGCAATACATTCAACTTTTCAAGTTCTTTAACTCATTTTCCTACTCACTTGTTATTAACATTTTCAAAATGGAAGTGTCTACAAACAAGCACTTGGGTTCTCTCCCATTTCTCCATGAACACTTTTATTAACATCTTCCTTAGTTAGCTTCGTTACGCTATCAATCAACAGATGAAAATCAAATTGGTGACAGAAATAGGCGAAAATAACAAATATAAACATGGTAATTATCGAAAACAAGAACTAACCTTGCTGCTTGTTCCGTGAAATGCTTTCCCGGCTGACGCAGCCGAAGGATATGAAGATCTCCCCCACTGCAAAACTCCATAAGCAAACACAAAAACTTCTCTGTCTCAAAATGTGAATAAAGGGTTGGAAGAAACGGATGGTCCAATAAGCCCAAAATTTCCCTCTCAGTTTGAGCTCTCAACAATTTCTTCCTTCCTCACAATGTGCAGATAGCTGCCATTATTTTTGGACAAAACTTTTATGCTGCGAATAAGGTGGCAAAGCTCACCGCACCAAATGCTAAGACCAAAGCACCTTCTCAAACACCTCTCAACAATCTATACAGCAAGTAAGCAACAATTATACAAAGAGCTATCATCCATTTTAAATTCTCAATAGTTGCAAAGAATATAAGGTACAGGGTAAAATGCCCTTCCTCCATGGGGCAATAAAGAGAAGCAAAAAATAAAAACTAAAAAATCGGAGATGGTTTATTTTATTTCTAAGAGGACTGAGAAAGAACTGTACTCCAGAAAACTAATCATTTTGCACACTTTCAAGACCGAGGATGTTCGAATTACAATTAACAGCCTTAGTCCTTCATGATCCAGATGATCAAAACATCACATGAAATTATCTTCCGTTAACAATAGTGGCGAATTTCAATCGTTATCCTCAATGCTTTTATATAGCAGGCACCAATAAAAAACTTCATTTTCTCTTGAATCAAAGAAACTGGCTCTACCACACCACCACCATCACTAATAGTACCACTGCTGCTACTACTATTAGTAGTACAGATCCATCATCCTACATTTATGCCCTATCTGTTGCAGCTGAACCATAAACCCACGTTACCCACCAAAATATGAATGTGACACCTAAAGCCACTAAGATTTTTATTTTTATTTATTTATTTACGTAAAGCCATTTAGGATGGAACACAGTAAAATTGTTGCATGACAACATCATTTACAATTATTTTACTAATTTAATATTCCACTGCCCTAACTATCAAAATTGCTACAGGAAAAGAAAAGTAACTATGACAATGCCTAATTTATGTGACCAATGCTTCCTCAATGTTGACTTCAAATTGCTGCAGTGATGGAGCTGATAATATTTCTAACTGGACCAAATATTGTTTTCTAACAGGACCAAAGACAATTTATCAAAAGATAACAGGTTTCATGTCGACAAATCAGTCATTCACCTAAAGCCAAGGTGGAGATTTGTTGAATAATGTAGCTCAAAAATTGAGGTTGCCAAACTTGCACCACATAGCAAGTGTAGTGCATCACCCATTACATCAGCATCTTGATAACCATCTTGTGGGGACAACCAAGCCTCCATCAGTCAAATGAATGTGGATTCAATTACAAACTTTTAGTCTTGCCGTGTTGGACCATTCATGGTGTGTGATCAACAAGTATATTTGCGTGGTCAGCAAGTTGGAAGATGTCAGCAAGCTCAATACTTGTAATATTTGCTGAGCAAGTATTTTTGGTGACCCATTTTGGCTATAAATAGCCTGTGCTCCTCATGGTGTAAGGCATCCAAAATCAATTGAGTAAGTTTGTATCAATATCAGTTAGAGAGTGAGGGCTTGGGTTTATTTGGGTTTTGGTTGTGAGCCACTTTGTTTTGTATCTTTTTATTTCCATGGTAAAATACTGTTCTGTCTTCTCCCAGTGGACGTAGGTACAGCCGAACCACGTAAATCTTTGTCTCATTTGTGTGTGCTATTTTATATTCTTGTCATTTATTTTTTTCTCTCTTCTTCTCATAAACTCCTATTCGATCCTTATTTCATAACAGCACCCCTCCAGTTCCCAAGTCCCCATTTTAATTATAGAGAAGCTAACTGTTGAGTTTTAATACCGCCAGCAATTTTCCAAAAGCATAGGCCTCAATGAACATCTGAGTAAATATATATACCTTCATGTCTTAGTAGTTATGGTTGGATCCCGAGACAGGAAAAAAAAAAAAAAACATATGACATGCCTTGGTAATAATAAATTCATAATGCTACTGCTCAACATTTCACTGATATCTAGCTTTGGGACATACAAAATGGTCTTCCACTTTTTGTTCTTTATTTTTACTTTTTCTGGTAAGTCAGGTTAATACTTGAATCATGAGCAACAAAGCAGGTCAGAATAACTGCTTACAAGTTTAAGCTGAATCAGCTGATCATCTACCAATCTAAGAATTGCTCCTTTCTTCATCTTGGGACTGATGATGAGATCACAAACACAACAAGGGCAGATAAGGCTATTGCGGCCCTAAAATAACTAAACAGAAATAATATTTGTGCAATTGATTCTGTGTGGATCACAAATGGGTGGTTCAAACTGGGATAGATCCAAACAAGGCCAAAAATAATTCAGGCACTGTTTTAACAGAATGAGTGACTCAAGCAAGGGGTTCAAACACAAATGAGGAAAGGTTGGTTCATTTCATAACATCATATTGATCATACTTCTATTCTGACTAGGTTTCCTATCCCATTAGTTAGTTTCAATTTTTGAAAATTTAATATTTATTATTATTATTCTTATTATTATTATTATTATTATTATTATATGTTTTTGAATTGAGATCTTTTCCATTGTCTATGTAACTATTGTACTCGCTGATTGCTTTGCAAAGGTAACAGATCTTAATAAACATATAAAACCGAGTCAATAGACAAATTATGTTTTCCGGGTATTGAGAATACAATAATATCTTATAGATGATTTGATTTGTTAAAAGAATATTCTATGTAATTGGGATCAATAGTAATCAAGACAACACAAATACAATTATCATTCTACATAACAGTCAATCAATCATTTGTGTAGCCTAAAATTTGTATGTAACAATGTGAATATTTATGCTTTCACATATTCTCTGCATCAATCTCCAACATGATAAAAGAATTAGTGCAATAAAAATTAATAAATTATGACTGAATTAAAGCAGTTGGCGATATATCATCATTGAATATCATTAGCAATTCAAGATAGAGAGGAAGTTTCACTAACCTGGGCCTTCCTAAGAAACATGCCACAACTCGTACGAACCTCGCTCGCTATACTCTTGCCTGATTCATTATCAGCAACCATGGACTTCTCTAGCTTATCCTTGGCCTATGCTCCCAAATTCAATCAATTCAAATTCTAAATGATGGAAAAAGATGCAATAACTACTAAAGGAATGAAATACCTCTGTTCTGTTGAAAAAACAGAGAGACAATACATGAAATACAATTTTGAGTTTCACATTTTAGTGATTGTTTAAGGGCTACTTAACATTTTTACTGTTTTAGGCACAATTGAGTACATCAAAATCATTAGTTTATTCCTCCCTTTTTTTTTTCGGTAACTTGTTTAATCCCTTCATTTCATAACAGAGCATGAGTTCTGTTAAATCAATAAAAAGGAACTCTAAAACAAAAAAAAGCAATATATAGATAAGAAATAAAACCTAACCAGAATAATGAGATGATCACACTCCTCATCTGTTAAAAATTTCCTATAGATGAAAGCCCTGTATAATTCCACACGCCACCAATCAAGACATGAACAACATAAAAAAGCTCGATAAGCATTACAAAACAAATTATGTGTGTTAGAGGAGACAAAATATCACCTGGGACGCCAAGATAGTTGGGTGACTCGAGTAGGATCAACAGGAGAATTTGAAGGACCAGTCGGCAATCTGATCACAGATCCTTGTCTGAGAAAAAAAGGAAAAAACAATGTCATCTATGATCTTTAATGGCGTATAAACATGTGTTTCTATATATATATATGTATATAGGTGTATAAATAGAGAGAGAGATAGAGAAAGATGGAGATACGTTTTCTTATCTCCGAGCCATCTTGGAAACCGAATAGCAGAATGGGGAAGATCAGGTAATAAGAAGAGGAAACAGAGAGAAAGTGAGAGAAAAACACGAGAATCCATGAGCAATACGTGTGTTTCTTGCAAATCACTGTTCTTTGGAATAATTTATACAGAGTAACACCATAAACGGAGGCGTTTTTATCTGTTTGGATGGCGAGAAATACAGAGAGGATTTACTAGAGAAAATTCAGGGCAAAGGAAAACGAACTGGGCAGGTTAGCCTGGTCCGGTCTTCTCTCTCTTTAAAATGTTTCTCTTTATCAGACTTTGTAATGGGCCCACTTGATTGAGTTGGGATTTGTCCTTATGCACACAAAATCTGGAAATGAAATATAGATTGAATGATAAAAAAATAAAATAAAATAAAATAAAATAAACACGAATGATAAAAATGCAATAACAATTTACGGATTTGGTTTTAGCCTATACTATAATTTAGGTTTAAGAAGTAAAAGTCAAATCTTACCTACCCTAAAAATACTTAATCAAACAAATAAAAAAAATAACGTTTTGATTCAAACTAAAATCGGATGAAATTGTATATATCGTAATTTTTATTCTATTTCTCAAACCTTTTTTTTTTTTTTCATTTTTTGCAAAACATATAGAAATTTTTTTTTTTTTTTTTAAATTTACAATAATACCCTCTATTTACTTATAATTTTTTGGCATTTCAAATACTAATTTTTTTTTATAACTTTCTTTAAAAAAAATTCATACTAATAAATTGCATGTTGGAAGATTTTATTTAGTTGTTTTTTCATTCATTTTACTTTCTTTTAACTTTCACTTTTTTGCTACTAGGTATTAATTTTCATCTAAGTTGTGAAATGTTACAATAATACCCTTTATTTTACTTATAAAATTAATGCATTTCAAATTATAATTTTTATTTTTGTAACTTTCTTCAAAAACAAATTCATACTAATGAATTACATGTCGGAAGATTTTATTTTCTTATTATTTTTACTTTCATTTTCACTATTAATTTTTATGTAACTAAAAACACTCTTGAAAAGATTTAAGAAGGGACATTATCATATTTTTGTTCCGCAGTTGTCATCATAAGTATGGTAGAAGCCATCATCATGGGGCCAATAAATTAATAAAATGATAACTAGATTGAGAAAGGGTAACGAGATTTGTGAATGAAAACCCATAATAATAGTCTTATTTATAAATAGTTTATATATATATATATGACTAATAAATAAACATTGTCAAATTTATTCTTGAAAATGATGAAAGCTAAAAGGGTCCCATTGTTTTGTATAAAAAATTCGTATAATAATTCTCTCCTTTAGGACAAGTACTAATAAAATGAAGAATTGTTATTCCATGCCGTACATTTGTCAAACATTCAAAGTGTGCCAAGAAAACAAATATATCCTCAACTTTCAAATTTTAGAATTCAAAAAATAAATTAAAAAAATCAAGTTAATATGTAACGTTTGTTGAGGCTTGAGAGTACAAAGACTAATACCAATGTGATTTTGATTGAAACCAATGATGTTATTTAGGGCCTATGTGGAGCCATAGCTGTCTGAAAGAGGCCAGTCTTTCAATGGTTGGTTATATGAATCAATATGTGCATCTGAAAACCATCGATAAATAAATAGAACTCTGCCAAGGGCAATTAATGAATTTAATGGTGTTGACATGATTTCTAACTTCAAAACATTTCAAAGTTTGTGTCAATTTTAAACCTTCAACGTATAAAATTGTTATTATATGTAATTTACAAATTTTTCTTTATTTTAAAAGATTAGAGTGTAAATTCTATACAACGAAAGTGAGTGTATAAGTTTGTTATAAAACCTTTAACAATGTTTAAAAAAATAGTATATAAATATTATCTTGAATTAAGAAATTTAAAATTTAAGGGCAGAGTATTTCCTAAAATGTAATTATACGTAATTTACGAATTTTTCTTTATTTTAAAAGATTAGAGTGTAAATTCTATACGATGAAAGTGAGTGAATAAGTTTGTTATTAAACCTTTAAAAATGTTTTAAAAAATAATATATAAATATTATCTTGAATTAAGAAATTTAAAATTTAAGGGCAGAGTATCTCCTAAAATGTAAAACTACATAATTGAAAGAAGGTGTTTTAGGTCGGGACCTTTATCAGAGTGTCCTCTAGCTATTTATACTTGATCCATTCAATAGTTGTATACAACTGTCAACTTTAAAGTCAAATTTCAGCCGTTATATTTTCAATTTCAAATACAAAACATAAGTTCATATTTATCAATTCTCTGTTCACTCTTTTATCGCCACGTGTCCTCCAAACTCAGCCTTGTTAATACCCTTATCATGTTGCCACGTGTCTCTAGAATCGAGTTTGCATTCACCTCTCGGTCCATGTAGTCTTCCTAATTTACCAAATTACCACATCTTCCAAGCCGATGCAGCAAAACTCAGATCGACCACTTTGGCAAATGACTAAATGAATAAAAAACTTAAAGTTATGGTGTAAAGTGTAAACACAAATAAATAGTTATTCAAATACATCTATTAGGAAAAAAAAAAAAAAAAAAAAAAATCCACCTCTCATTTTATTATCACTAATCTTGAGGCAGACTTGGCTAAATTTTGAACTTTAGTTGTTTTATGTCAATTTTGGGCAGAACGAGAATTAATGCTAAAAATAATAAATAAATAAATAAAAATAATTTTCCTTAGGCTGAAAGAGCAGTGACAAACTCATCATTATAACATCAAACCCTCATTTTAATTGTCAATAACCAGAAAAGAATATCACAACTTCACAAGTATGCATCCAAAAGAAAAGCTTATGAGTGCAGAAGAATAAAGCACAACCTTGAAAAATTCTAAAGGAGACCACAAAGATTAAAGGAAAAAATGGTATAGATAAAATCTCACTACGACATTGACACTTTTCACAATGCATCCTCAGCTCAACACTTCAACGAAACTTTACCACGATTCGTCTATATCAAATTTTCTCTTGTTCATTCACGAATAAAGATTCAGAGAAAGACTAGGGTCCATCCCGATTCTAGACAAACAGTGATATGAAATAAATGCTGAATTTGGAAAGGGACTGAAAATTACAATTAGAGGGCCATCTTTTGAGAAATTCCCATAGGCACAGACTCTCAGTTTGTGACAGCTAAAAGAGTGAATACAAATAGTGATAAAGTCTGCTTCCTTTTTTCGGTTTCTTTATTTCTTGAAATATTCAAAAAAATCAGGAAAATATGTTTCCTGTGAATTCAGTGCCTGTAGCTGCTGAAAAGCCCAACTGAAGAACGCAACAATTTGATAACAAGAAAGAATAGATCATCTTAAAGAAAACAAGATTTCATTGAGGATATGAATACAAATCAGCAATGAAAATCTACATTGCACAACAACAAAACAGTATATTTCTTTCCACTCAAAATTCATTAGAAAAATTCAAAATCTAAGTAAGGACCTGATGATCTATCGGAATCAGAAGCTCCCTTATCATTTGGAGGCAAGGATGGCCTGGATGTTTGATTAAGGAATACGAGATCAACTGGTTTAGGAATCTCTGGAGGGTGAGTACTGCGAATGAGAGCCCAATTAATACTTTCAAAAAATGGATGCTGTTTTATCTCTGTAGCACCTCTCTTGTACCCTAATTTTTTTTGCGGGTCCTTTATAAGCAAACCCCGGATCAAATCCTTTGCAGCAAAACTAACTGCAGAACTATCAGGAAATTTCAGTGAATGGCCAACAACGTTAAATAATGTCTCTCGGTTTCCATTGTCATTAAATGGTGTTCTCCCATGTAACAATTCGTACAAGAAAATACCAAATGTCCACCAATCAACAGCACTCCCATGACTATCTCCTCTAATTATTTCAGGGGCTAGATATTCATGCGTTCCTATGAATGACATGGATCGAGCAGCAGTTGGTTCTGCAATAAGCACGGGGAGTGAATATAAATTTACCAAAGTTGTTCTTTCATTCTTCACCTTTGACGTTTTGGAGTTGAAAATACGAGGCTTAAAGCAAGAGGGTTGGAAGCAAGAAGGCTCTACGCAAACTGGATCAATGCATGATGGTTGGATACAGTATGAAGAGATCACACAAGCGGCCTTGTTACTGGACTTAACAAGAGTGGGGCTCACACAGCATCTTAAAGACAAATCAAAATCGGATAGCATAATATGTCCATCTTCCCTCACCAAAACATTTTCGAGCTTTAAATCCCTATACACCACCCCCATAATATGTAGATACTCAAGAGCAAGCAGCACTTCTGAAGCATAAAACCTACAAGACAAACACAAAGTTGTTAGGAAGCTAATTCACACTTCGATTAACATGCACCGTGTGCTGAGATTGTACTGAAGCTCAATGTAATGAGGATCAAAATGAATCAATAATTCATTATCGTCCAATGAAACCGTTGAACACTAAAAGGTATTACCAACATAATTGCCAAACTCTTACATAACTGGAGGTATATATATCTTGAGGTTATTATGGTGATAGGATAACAGATAATCAAAATGATTAGCACGGAATAACCAATAATAACGAACCCTGTGCTGAATAATTTAGGGTGGTTTTGTTTTTCAGTATTTAAGCAACTCAAACAATAGAATACAACTAATAGGAAGTTTTTTTGGGGTTGGGTTAATTCTGTACCAATAAAGTAAGGTCTATCATAACTATCACAAACACAATTTTAACTTGAGTTTTAAGCATTGCCACCAACCCCTACCTTACTATTTCGTGTTTATGAGCATCAAAAGCAATACATTTAACTTTTCAAGTTCTTTAACTCATTTTCCTACTCACTCGTGATTAACATTTTCAAAATGGAAGTGTCTATAAACAAGCACTTGGGTTCTCTCCCATTTCTCCATGAACACTTTTATTAACATCTTCCTTAGTTAGCTTCGTTACACTATCAATCAACAGATGTAAATCAAATTGGTGACAGAAATAGGCGAAAATAACAAATACAAACATGGTAATTCTTGAAAACAAGAACTAACCTTGCTGCTTGTTCCGTGAAATGCTTTCCCGGCTGGCGCTGCCGAAGGATATGAAGATCTCCCCCACTGCAAAACTCCATAAGCAAACACGAAAACTTCTCCGTCTCAAAATGTGAATAAAGGGTTGGAAGAAACGGATGGTCCAATAAGCCTAAAATTTCCCGCTCAGTTTGAGCTCTCAACAATTTCTTCCTCCCAGCCAACAACCCTTTATCCGTAACTTTAATAGCAAACAAACACCCCCCGTCCCTCTCAACTCCGCCAAGTACACACTCCCTATATCCCCAAACCCAAGCTTCTTCAAAAGCCTAAAATGTCCCAAGCCCAAGTCCCCATCTTTGCCCTTCTTCACGCATTGCATCACATCCTATCTACTGTCGTTACCCTTATGAGATTTGGAATGACAAAAGCTTCTAAAACTAATCTCATTCCCATCAACACTGTTACAATAACTAGCAGAACTCAAACTACTCTTCTCACAATCAACACATTCCCCACCTTTATTCATAATTTCTTTCTCCTCCGAACCACCGTCACTCAACTTAATACTACCACCATTATCGGACCCAGTAACAGTACTGCTACAAGTTTCGACACTAATAGTGTTGTCAATACTAAGATCCTGAAAAGTGGCCGTCAAAGTTTTGGAATCACCATCAAAGGCACTGTTACTGATTGGTTTGTCCATGGCGGTTACTAGAACGGAGCTCAGATGTTGGATGAAATGTCTAGGTGAAGAGTGAGTTGTTAAGAGTGGTTTTCAAAGTGAGTGGTGGTCAAATGGAGTTTCACCGCCGCCGAGGCGGTCAAAGAGAGTAAGAGAGACGCGGGCGCGAAGTATAGAGACCATTGGGACTCAGAAGGGGGTAAAAAACGGTATTCAAATTTGAAATGTGAAATGGGGTTTGGGTCATATGACTCGTATCTTACACTGTCCCAGAAATGCAACAGCTTATAGACAAAAACACAGATGAACAAAAATATACATTTAGTATTATACATATGCCGAGAGAGAGTGTGTGTTTTGGGAGTTACGAGGAAGACAAAAGGCTTTCTTATTTTCTAAACAAGGTTCCAACATTTCTATGGCACCAGCCAATACCGTTACTGTGGTTACAAAGAGCAAGTATGAGGTGCAACTTAGGTACGTTGTTTATCAAGCTTTGGTCGTTTATAAGGTGATGGTGCAGAGGAAATTAATTTTTACGGTTAAATCAAGGGTTGATACGTACTAGGTTAATGGTGTTGACGCACAAAGAGGGTCACATTACCGGATTTAAATGATAAAATTTTACTATAGAATAATATTTGGGTCCAACCTAGGTTGGATGAATTTCATCCAACCTGTTGATGTACCGATCTAAAATAATTGTTCAAAAACAAAAGTTAGGATTTAAAACATATATCCAGAAAGTAAACTTGTCTTAAATATTAGACCACATTAGCAGGTTGGATGAACTAGGTTTGATCAAAGTATTATTCTTTACAATATTTATTGGTGAGTTTAAATTGATGAAATTTCACGATTGAAATTTATTATTTATAATGATTAAATTTTAAAATATATGCAGAAGAGAATTTTGATCCACCAATAAGTTATAATATGGTTGGATATTTAAAAAAAGTTTTTGTATGGGTGATAAGAATCTATAATTGTGGGGTGAAGTTTAGGTTATTGGCATAACTGAATCTTTTATCTAATTCATAGAAGAAATTATTAGATGGTCTTAAACCACTCTAATCACAACTGTTGTATCAAGAAAATTGGGTCCAAAAAGTTTAATGAAATATTACAAAGAAGAAAAATATTTTTAAAATTAAAATTTAAAATCTTCCAAAAAAAGGAAAAGAAAAATATTTTTAAACCTAATGATGATAAATTAGCATGGTATGATAAGTGGAGCCCATGTTCGGTTCTACTTCACCTTATCTCTTGAATAAAATTTAATTCTTATAAATCCCCAACTAGAGCAGAATGAGATATGATGATGGTTCATGATTAAATAATAATTTTTTGCGTTAATAGGGGTTGTTAATTATCAGAAATAGAGAGATAAAGAGAGAGCCAGAGATATGTGAAATGTAGATATTCTGTATATTGAAGTATTTGTAATACATGTACAAGGAGAGATATATATAGGCTAGAGATCACCAACGGCTATACAACAATTATAGTAATTATCTAGACTAAGGCTATAATAATGCAATTATGGTAGTAATATAAACAACGGCTATATTCTAATTATGTTAACATCCCTCCTCAAACTCAAGATGGTAAAGAAGAATCCAACTTGAGTTTGGAAACTAATTCCCGAAATCTACCTGGCGGATGAGCTTTAGTAAAAATGTCAGCGGTTTGATCAGCGGAAGTTACAGAATGAAGGCGTACAGTGCCCCGTACAACATGTTGACGCACAATATGACAATCGATTTCAATATGTTTGGTGCGTTCATTATGAGTAATGTAAATAGCACTTCGATTATCACAATAGAGAACAGTGCCAGTGGAGTGAGAAATACCTATATCTGTTAAAAGCCATCGAAGCCAAATAAGTTCTTGTGTGGAATCAGCAAGGGCACGGTATTCGGCCTCTGTACTGGATCTGGAGACAATAGATTGTTTTTTACTGCGCCAAGAAATGAGAGAGTTCCCAAGGAAGAAGCAGTAGCCAGTAGTGGAACGTCGGTCAATCGGATCACCTGCCCAATCAGCATCAGAGTAGGCACGTAACTCAAGTGAAGAATGAGAAGAAAAATGAAGGCCCTGAAACATAGTCCCTTTAATGTATTGAAGGATGCGTAATATAGCAGTATAATGAGTAGATCGAGGTACAGATAAGAACTGGCTAACAAGATGCACGGCATAAGCGATGTCAGGTCAAGTAACAGTAAGGTATACTAAACTACCAACCAACTGTCGATACAATGTAGCATTACTGAGGAGTGTACCATCTAGAGGAGTGAGCTTGACATTGGTCTCAAGTGGAGTGGGAGCTGTTTTGCAATCCGTGAGTCCAGCACGAGCAAGAATGTCAGAGGAATACTTGGCTTGGGAGAGATAATAGCCATCCGAATCAGAGAGAATCTCTAAGCCTAGGAAATAACTGAGGTGCCCAAGATCCTTCATATCAAAATGATGACTAAGAAAATTTTTGAGTGCAGAGATACTTGCAAGATCATTTCCAGTAATTATCATGTCATCAACATAAAGTAAAAGAAGAGTAATACCAGAGTCAGTCTTGCGGATGAAAAGACTGGAATCATATGAGCTTGAAGTAAATCCAAAATCTCCAATTGTAGCACTGAATTTTGCAAACCACGCCCTTGGAGCTTGTTTAAGACCATATAGTGCTCGACGAAGTTTACAAACTTGGTGTGGAGAATGGTTATATCCTAGAGGGGGTTTCATATATACTTCTTCAGTGAGATCGCCATTGAGAAATGCATTTTTCACATCCATTTGAAACAATGTCCATTTGCGTGCTGCTGCCACAGCCAATAGGCTACGGACAGAAGTAAGTCGAGCAACAGGGGTAAATGTTTCCTCATAGTCAGTGCCATATTCTTGGGTGAAACCCTTTGCAACAAGACGAGCTTTGTATCGTTCCATAGAACCATCAGAATGAGTTTTGATTTTGTAAACCCATTTACAGCCAACAACAGTTTTGTCATAGGGAGGAGCAACCATGTCCCAGGTTTAAGCTTGTGCGAGAGCCTGTAATTCTTCTGCCATAGCTTGCTGCCAAAGGGGGTTAGAACTAGCCTCGCGGTAGGATTGAGGCTCATGATGAGACATGATAATAGAAAAACACTGGAAATCACGTAAATGACTTGGAGGTTTTCTTACCCGATGAGGAGGTTTAGCAGTAGTGATGATATCTGATGAAGAAGATTCAGTAGCAGGACCATCAGATGAAACAGATTCGTTAGGTAAGGCCATTTGTGGGAGCTCAGATAGAGATTCAGTAGCATGAACATCAGATGAAGCATATTCATCAAGTAAAGCCATTTGTGGGAGCTCAGATGGAGACGTTGTATCAGGAGTAGTGGTTGGGATCTCAGATGAGGATATGATATCTGTGTCGACTGGGAAAAGTTCAACTGAAGAATCGGTAAAAAAGGAAGGAGTAGAAGATGAAGATAGATGGAATTTGGAGAGAGAAGAGAAAATTTTGTGTTCCCAAAAGATGACATGACGAGAGATACGAAGACGTTTGGAAATGGGATCCCAACATCTGTATCCTTTGTGTTTAATTCTATAACCCAAAAAACAACATAAACGAGCCCGAGGCTCTAATTTGGTGCGTTCATGAGGTTGAAGCAAGACAAAACAGGCGCATCCAAAAACTTTAAGTAGGTTATAAGCCGGAAGGATCCTATATAAGCGTTCATAGGGAGATTGATTGCCAATAATATGCATTGGAACACGGTTAATGGTGTATACAGTAGTGAGAGCTGCTTCCCCCCAAAAACGCTCAGGACAGGAACTGGATATGAGAAGAGAACGAACAGTGTCTAAGATATGTCGATGTTTACGTTCAGCCCGCCCATTTTGTTGGGATGTGCCAGGACAAGAAGAGTGAGAGATCGTGCCATGTTGGCGAAGAAATTTTAGAAAATTTGTTTTATTGTATTCCATAGCATTATCAGCGCGGAAGATCTTGATGGATCGGGAAAACTGGGTTTTGACCATGTTTGCAAAATCATAGTAAAGTTGGGGTAATTCAGAGCGATTTTTCATGAGATATAGCTAAGTAAATCGTGAGTAATCATCAATGAAAATAACAAAGTATTTGGATCCTCCTATTGTAGTGTGAGGAGAAGGTCCCCATATATCAGAGTGAATTAGGTCAAAAGGAGCAGAAGTAATAGATGTGCTTTTATTAAAAGGTAAAACAGGTTGTTTTGCAAGTTGACATGGTAAACAAGTTACATCATCAATTTTAACTGAACCTAATTGACCAGTTGACACTAAGGAGCGTAAACGCCCAATAGACACATGACTTAATCGGGAATGCCAAAGGCTAAGTGAGGGAGTAGAGGTTGCTGAAGCAACGGTGGAAACTGTAGAGAGCCGATGAGAAGGAATGCGTAGATGGATGAGCTCAAAGAGACGTCCCACTTTACGGCCTATCCCAAAGGTCTGCCCTGTTTGTGGATCCTGTACATGATAACCGGAATTAGAAAAAAATGACATTAAGTCCAAGTTCACATATTTGACCAACAGAGATAAGATTGATTGTAAGTTTTGGTATATGGAAGGTATTTGAGAGTGAGACATTGGGGGTGGAAATTTGACCAATGTGATTCACATGTAAGTGAGATCCATCAGCTGTATGAATTGTAGGTGTATTGATAGTAGGATTATGTTTAGAAAACATTGTAGAATCAGAGGTCATATGATTACAGCAGCCAGAATCAAAAAACCAAGAATTACCCGAGGTAACTGACATAGCAGTGGAATGAGGAGTACCATTATTAGAGAGAATCTGCTTAAGAAGAGCCTCGATATCATTGGTAGACATCGTTGTGACTGTAGGAGCTGGAGGACAGGACCCCTCAGCAGTGACAACAGTGAAGGATGAAGATGGGTGTCTGTAGCTAGATGAAGTACCTCTGGAAGAATTGGTGCGAGATTGCCAATTCTTGGGACAATCACTCTGGTAGTGACCCGGGCCTTTCTTGTGACAAAACTTGCAGATTCTGGTGGGACAGGTTAATAAAGCGTGGTCTGTGTTGTGACAATAGGTACACTCCTTGGGAGAGGAGAAGGATGAAGCTGGTTTCTTTCTGGGATAATGAGTAGCAAGAGCTGCATCGGTAACCTGAGGTTGAGATGTATTTAGACGAGTTTCTTTTGAAAGAAGCTCAGTTATAGCATCTTCTAATGTAGGCAGAGGATGCCGATGAAGGAGAGAGGCTCGAACGGGTTCAAATGAGGGTTGAAGAGCCATAAGAAACATGATGACACGTTGGCAGATGACACGTTGGCGATCTCGATAGGTAGTAAACTTTGTAGCATCAGTAGCACACGACCAAGTAGGTTCAGAAAGAGATAGTTGATCCCAAATAGCATGTATTTCAGAGACAAAGGTACTGATAGATTGACCAGGCTGTTGAGTTTTGCTGTGAAGATTGGTTAGAAGTTGATATTGATGGGCGAGATCAGTAGTGGTGTAACGGTGCTTTAAGAAATCCCAGATGGATTTTGCATAATTAAACCGGCCAAATTCAATACTAATGGATGAAATACAGGTGTTGCGAAACCAAGTAATAATTTGATGATTTTTGCTATCCCATTCTTCAAGACGATCACCATATTTTTCTTTTGTTTCTGTTTCGACTTGCACTGGCTCAAAGAGATCACCGGTAATAATGCGCCATAGCTTCTTACCTTTAAGAAAACTAGACATAGCTTGAGACCAAAGAATGTAATTTGAGCAACCCTCCAAGGTAGTGCCAATAGGATGAGAAATTTCAGACCGGTCCATAACTTGAAAATATATGAGACTGTGTACCTGGTGAATAGTTTTGATTACTGCCCCCAAGAGCTCTGACTGCAGCCCCTAAAATAAGTTTGATTTAGGTCCAATAGCTCAATTGCCCCCATAAACACAATATATTATAAATATATATAATATTTATGGAGAGAGATTTAGGATTTTGCTTTTCTGGGGGAGATAAAATATATATAATATATTTTAGGTGAAGATATTATATATATATAATATTATATATTTTTGGTAAGGTAAAAGATAAAGATATAATATATAATATATTATATATATATATATATATATATTATATATATATTATGGGTATAATATATATTATATATATATATTATATATAAATATATATAGAGAGAGAGAGAACATAGCGATGGCAGAGGAACACGGCAGAAAAATATATACAGAGGAACACGGCTGAAGCCAGCGACGGCAGAGGGGCAGCGGCAGAACACGGCTGAACGCTGCGGAACACGGCTGAAGTCAGTGATACCGGCTGAGATCTATTCGGTGACGGCGAAAGAATCCGGCTGAGATCGTGAACCCGAATTGGAACAGCGGCGGACCGAATTGGAGCAGCGGCTGAGATCGCGAACCTGAACTGGAACAGCGGCTGAGATGGCGAACCCGAACTGGAATAGCCGGCGATGAAAAACTGAAAGATATGGGTGTTGATGTAGGTAATCGGTTTTGTATAAATTGTTGCAGAGAGAGTGGCAGAGAGGAAGAACTTCTGAAATATATGGGTTTTGTAGATTTTGTAGTTTGCAGTTGCAGAGAGCAGCGCCGGCGGTGAGGTTAGGTGGTGTTGTTCAGATTAAAAATATATATATAAAGATAAAAAAAAGATAATAATAATTCATGGCTCTGATATCATGTTAATTATCAGAAATAGAGAGATAAAGAGAGAGCCAGAGATATATGAAATGTAGATATTCTGTATATTGAAGTATTTGTAATACATGTACAAGGAGAGATATATATAGGCTAGAGATCACCAACGGCTATACAACAATTATAGTAATTATCTAGACTAAGGCTATAATAATGCAATTATGGTAGTAATATAAACAACGGCTATATTCTAATTATGTTAACAGGGGTAATATAGAGAATAAGAGAAAAAAAAGGAGGGAGAACAAAGTCACCCGGCTGAGAGGGAGTGAAAAAGGGAGGAGAAAAAGAGGTCGGAAAAGTGGAGGAATTATTTTCTGATATTTCTCACAAAATATATATGTATATATATTTGATTCTTGGAAAATTGATTATTATTTATTTATTTTTTGAAGCCAAGATTTTACAATCTAAGTTTGGTTGATGGTGATGGACATGTACGGAGCTAGACGGGGCTCATTGTGGCATTCCAATTCTCTTTATTTGCGTTAAATTCGTAAGATTTTGTTAAAATTCTTATAATCACCCACTAACTTTTTGATAAAACCAATTTTATTTTGAGTTTAAAATATTACTCCGTATATCTTATTTTTAGTTTAGGAATGTACCCTTTATAATAATTATCTAGGCGTTTGGCTATGGTTCATACAACAATTTATTGTCTCCTTCACACCAAAATGTCACATTGGATTGTGCCTGAATGATGACTTGAAGGGCATGTGCTCCCCGTAGAGATAAACTAGAGAAATATTGAAAAGACCCAAACAACCTGACTTGTTAATAATGGTCATTTTGGATGTGAATATGGACTCTAATTAATAAAGATACTCGTGTCAGCAAGTGACGCTTGGAAAAGAAGGAGAGCAACACTAGTGGGAGAAACAGTGAAAATTGTATAAGAAGAGAAACTGATTCAGTGAAAATGCAATCTAACCAATGCGGATTTCACATTAATCTGCTTAATTTGTCCAAGAAAACTCGTGAAATGCAATGGGAAGTTCAACAAAGGAATCATTTTCATATTATTCTACTCTAATTTTGATTTTTAATGAAAGAATTGATGGGTACCTCACTTTTTCTCTCTCTCTCTCTCTCTCTTTTTTTTTTTTTTTTTTTTAGAATCCAATCGCTAAATTCATAAAATCAAATGTTTTTGGATGATGGGTTTACCAAATCCAAAAAAAAAAATAATACTACTAATGTCTTGGTGAGCAAGGCTCTAAAGTTTGCTTCAATTCACGAAATCGGCAAGGCTGAGTGCCAACTGTCGAGTATACGCACGGTCCCACAGGATCAAATATTCCATCTCTAAAACGGTAAAAACATTGCTACTTGCAATCAACTTCTTATATCAAACACTCGCTGAGATATGTCGCCACGTGTTCAGGATTTCATGTGAAACAACAAAAAAACCACCCAGCCCACTCGACCGCGCGTAGAGTCATACGTGCCCAAAAGAAACACAGAGCGTCCTTATCGCTCCACTATATTAGTAGAGCAGCAGGCGTACTCGTTCCTACACATGCAACTTCTTTTCTCTCTCTACTCTCTCTCTCTATCTCAAACCCTCGAGAGCTCTCTCTTTCGGATAGAAGTTTTTGCCGGTTTTTTCTTGCATTTTTCCACAGGTGACTTTGCAGATTCAATAATGCTTTTCCATTGTTATTATTTACAGTTTACGCATATATGCTTGTTTTTCTTTAATCGATTTCCGATTTCGTTTTTGGTGTTTGCGATTTATTTGAGCTGATGCTCTGGTTTTTTTTTTTTTTTTTCCTGAGTTACATATTCTGTTTGGTTGAAGAGAAAATGAGAGAGATCAGATGAAATGAGATTTCTGAGAGAGGTTATATTCATTTTTTCGCAACTCGTTCCTACATATGCAACTCTCTTTCTCTCTCTCTCTCAAACCCTCAAGAGCTCTCTCTTTCGGATAGAAGTTTTTGACAGTTTTTTCTTGTATTTTTCCACAGGTGACTTTGCAGATTCAATAATGCTTTTCCATTGTTAATATTTACAGTTTACGCTTGTTTTTCTTTAATCGATTTCCGATTTCGTTTTTGGTGTCTGCGATTTATTTGAGCTTATGCTCTGTTTTTTTTTTTTTTTTTTTTTTTTTTTTTCCTGAGTTACATATTCTGTTTGGTTGAAGAGAAAATGAGAGAGATCAGATGAAATGAGATTTCTGAGAGAGGTTATATTCATTTTTTCGCAACTGAAATAAAATAAAATTGTTGATTAATGATAAGAATACTTCTATATAGCTTATTTTGGTACTTTCATTTTGATTTTCTTCTTCGTTTTATCCTGAGGACCAGACGAAATACAGCTTTGCTTATCTTCTGACATTGTTCACGATTTTTTTGGTTTAAAATGATTTCATTGCAACAAGAGGCTAAACGGTACAAAGTTTGTGTGGTTGAGCATCATCTATGAAGCTATTCGATGTTATTTTACTTTCTGATAACATCTTCATGCTTATTGTATATGGTCTGCTTTGTAGATTTGAATATGTGGTTGAGCATCATCTATAAAGCTATTCGATTTTATTTTACTCTCTGATACCATCTTCATGTGTATTGTATATGGTCTGCTTTGTAGATTTGAATACGTAGGAAAGAACAGATTACTATGCTTATGCATAATTATTTCGTTTTCATTTTCCAATGAAATTTATGGTTTATTGTTTCCAATTTTTTTTGCTCAACGAAACAGAGGATTAATGTAAAATAATTCGGTAATGTAAGTTAAGTAGAACTGATTTATTTTATTTTTTATTGTTATTTTTATTTTTTGGGGCTAATGTGATTTGGTAGAAGGAAGAGATGATTCAAGCTTATAAGACCGAGATTATTTTCATTTTTGGTGACCGATAGAAAATATACATGTTAATCAATGATACTAATACTTTATATAGATTATTTTGGTATGCTCTGTTTTGGGGGGCTGAGACAGTGTGGTTAATGAGTCTTATATATTTCATTGTTGCAAGATATCTTATGGTAAAGTATACTTTTACATTCAACTGACCCTGAATACTACTATAATGGTTACACACAACTGGTTCTGAACAAGTGTTGCATTACCTATATCTGCACTAGTAGCTCTTTTTGCTCTGTTTACTGATCCAGTATCTTCCGTGCAGCATTCTTTGATCCCTGTCCACAGTTCTTATGCAGGAAGGGAAAGTGATCGAGAAAGGGGAGCCGAGTGGTGAGAAACCACAAAAAGTGTCTGCACCACCACCACCACCGGCACCGGCACAGGCACCGGCACCGGCACCCCAAGGACGGGCAACCTTCAAAGTAAATGTTAAACATGTCACAAAACTGCCCATTCCAGACGGCAAACAAGCTGGCCAGATGCGGATCTCGGTAGAGGGTAATTCAATTTTGTTTGTTGTAATTATTAATTTTAATTATTATATTATTATGTTTAATCGTGTATATATATATATATGATCATGCTATACGGTATGCAGTGTCCGTCAACTTGGAGAAGGCCCAAAGTAGCACTTCCCGGGTAATACCTGTGGCTTCTCCACACTCTCTGTGGAACCACCCATGCCAATTTGACATGAAGTGGCGGGATATTGTCAGCGGAACTACTTTCTTGACACTGGAAATCTTTGACCACTCTACAGAAGGAGCTTCAACTTCAGTTGGCCAAGCTTCCAAATCTTCAGTTGGCCAAGCTACTATATCCTTGGACGAGTTGCACCAAATGGGTCCCAAGGGAAAGGCCATCTTAAATTTGTACAACACTGGGGAGTGCACAGTGGAGATTTCGTATAGCTTCGAAAACAGGAGTGGAAAATTGATGAAGCTGTTGAAGTCTATCGCTTGCCATGCCGCCCAAAGCGTGGTTGGATCCACTGCTGACTCCATCACGAAGTTGGCGCTTGTGGAGGTGGAGAGGGGATTGAGAGAAGAATAGGTCCATAGGGGTGGTTTTTATTCTCTCGTTTTTAGTTTGAAGATGCTTCTGGGTTGACAAACTTACTTTGTTTTCTCTTTTCTTTTCTTTTTTTGTTTTTTCAATCTAAGACAGGGCGATATGATGGTGTATGAAAAATGGTTTATTACTTT